GTCTTTTTGAGATGGTCTCCCTGTAGCCCCAGCTGGCCTGGATTCACTATGGAGACCAGGCTGGCCTTGAACTCACAGAGATCTGCCTGCCTCTGCCTCCGGAGTGCTGGGATTAAAGGCATGGGCCACCATGCCTGGCTTGGAGAAATGCTTTTTAAAGAAAGAATTAAGGTTAAACAAGGTCCTCAGGCATACTCTAATCCAGTATGACTGGTGTCCTAATAAAGATTAGGAGTGTTGGGCATGGTGGCTTATGTTTGTGATCCCAGCACTCAGGAGGTAGAAGGTGGATCAAGAATTCAAGGTGAGCCTTGGCTATATAGTGAGTTTGAGGCCAGTCTGGGCTATATGGAATCAGAGACAGAGAGAGAGAAAAAAAGAGAGAGGTGGGGGAGACACACAGAAAGGGCTGGGTGTGGTGGTACACACCTTTAATCCCAGCACTTGGGAGGCAGAGGCAGGTGGGTCTTTGTGAGTTCGAGGCCATCCTGGTCTACATAGTGAGTTCCAGGCCAGCTGGGGCTACAGGGAGACCCTATCTCAAAAAACCAAACCAAACCAAACCAAACCAAACCAAAAGACATACACAAAGGGAAGACATGAAGGCACAGGGAGAAGATGGCTACTGAAATATATAATTAGCTACCTAACCTAAGTTACTCCATCTTTCTCAGAATAGCTATTTTATTTATTTTAAAATTTTATTATTTTTATTTTATGTGTATGCGTGTATTGCCTGCATGTAGGTAAGTGCACCCATGTTGTGCAATGCCCGAGGAGGTCAGAAGAGGCTGTTGGATCCCTTGGGACTGGAGTTACAGACAGTTGTTAGCTGCCATGTGGGTGCTGGGATTTGAACCTGGGTCTTCTGCAACAACAACCAGTGTTCTCAACTGCTGAGCCATCTCTCCAGCCCCAAGAATAGCTATTTTAACAGTAACCTCTTTTCCACTTATGGGAAATACTTAAAACAGCCTTAAGTTCTAAGAACTAGCTCAACCACAAACCAGTGGAACGTGCTAATCTCAGACATTCTACAACAGGCTAACTACTTGTTTTTGCTTCTGTAACTTGCTTGCTATTTCAGGTCACCTTGACATGTAGTACGAGACCACCCTGTTATTCAGTGACCATCTGGTAACTGCTGATTTTGACTTCTGTTACAATGCTTGTTATGGCTAGGTAGCTAATTTTAAAAATTGCAGAGTTGTTGCCAGGCGTGGTGGCACATGCCTTTAATCCCAGCACTCGGGAGGCAGAGGCAGGCAGATCTCTGTGAGTTCAAGGCCAGCCTGGTCTACATAGTGAATTCCAGGACAGCTGGAGCTACAGGGAGACCCTGTCTCAAAGAGATCAAAAAACAAAAACAAAAACAAAAAAACCAAAAAACCAAAAAAAAAACAACTGCCGAGTTGTACAGTTGCCTCACTTGTCCACGCAGTAAGACTATTAATTGGTAAATTCAAATTCTGCTATGTTGTACAAACCTGATTGGCTCACAGATGTTCTGTTTAAACTATGGTTTCTGTAATCCTATAAAAACTCTAAATGGAGCCGGGCATGGTAGCACGCATCTTTAATCCCAGCACTCAGGAGGCAGAGGCAGGCGGATCTCTGTGAGTTCAAGGCCAGCCTGGTCTACATAGTGAGTTCCAGGACAGCTGAGGCTACAGGGAGAACCTGTCTCAAAAAGACCAAAAAAAAAAAAAAAAACCAAACAAAACAAAACCCTAAATGGTTAATGTTCGAGGGCTGCTTCTACTCCTGAGATAAACAGCCCGCCGCTGGTAATAAAATATTACCTTGTTACTTTCTACTAAAATGGTGTTGGTGATTTTTTTAAATGTAGTTTGTGAACTCTGACCTGCAACAGCTACCTGTAAGCCATTGCTCAGTTTGACAGATTATAGGAAACAGCTGCATAGCACCCTGTGGTTCCTGCATGGAAGCTGTAGACAGAAGGTATACCAGCTGCTTTTCCCTGACAAGGTTCTTCTCTGGGTCTGGGAAAGAATGCACACACCTTTCATTCAGTTTCCACATGAACATGGGCTGCCATGTATATGGGGGGGTCCCCATCTATCCTTACTGTAAGTCAAGGGTAGACTGGAGTCAAGTGCAGCCACAGCAGTAGTAACTACAGGAGGCTGAAGGGAGGTGTTCTTTTCCTTAACCAGTCCAGTATTGTATGGAGAGACAGACATAGGTCTGGGTCTTCCTTACCTCAGTTTCCAAATCCTTTCTTACACTTTAGTATCACAGGTGCAAATGGCTTTATGGACAATGTATCCTTTGAGAAGGCAAATACTATAGGGTGCTAAGTTACTACAAGTGACGGATGTTTAAAACGAACACTGCAAGAACATGGCAAGAGTTAGGAAAATGTCCATTTATTCATGTGCACTCCTAGTAACAGGAAAAGACAATCACAACTGAAACCCAGCTGTCTAGAAGTAATGCATAATGCTAATACAACATTCAGAGGGCAAAAATGCTTTAGTTACCAGTGGGCCCAGTCAGCTAGCTTCCTGAGCCCTTCTACTCAAGCACCTGGAATGTTCTTAAGACCACATGCTAACTCTGCACAGGGACAGAAAGGGAGCTGAGAATTGCCACTTACAAGCACAAATAATAAGTACAATAATTATAGCGGTGACTGGTATATCCCATGAGCTGACCAAAGAGTTAAGCACGACCTAGAAAACCCTGTAGTGAAATGAGTTGCAAAACATTCTCCTTCATCAGTTCTGCGGAAGGGAAGACTGTGATGGGAGCCCAGGCTGAGATAGACTTCCCTTTCTTCTCATTCTTCCCATCCACAACTACCTGATACTTGGGACTACAAGGCACTAGAACCAAGCTGCAGAAAGGTGTTCCAAGCTCCAGTTCTTGGGATCTGGAGAATATCCCGGCATGGATCTTTAGAAACAGATGCTAAAAATAGCTTCTCCTCCTCTTTCGGTCTGTCCCTGACAAACAGAAAACCAAGTAGAATCTGTTTGCAAAGGATGAAAAGTTTAGTGCACCTAAATTTCCTAGGAAGACTTTTCCATGAAAAAGAATTGATTTTTCAGTGACAGAGGAGTGAGGAAGCATTTAAGGAACATTTCTGATGTTTTATGGAAAAAGAGAAGGCAAAAACATAAAAATACCATGTGTAAAACTCTCAAATTAAAAAAATACATTAAAATTGAAAAAAAATATAAAAATAGGGCTGGGACTATAGCTCACTGGTAGTGTGCTCGATTAGCATGTGTGAGGCCTTAGGTTCAATCCCCACTACCAGTGAAAATAAAAACAAACAAATGGAAAACGACCCCCAAACCCTCAGTCTTCTTGGAGGCACCCAAAACTGTCTTGGTGATCATGAGCAATTACAATTTATAATGGAGAAGCAATGATGGTGATGGGAGAGAAGCACTGTACCACTTATTGCATGTGACACAACATATTACCTACCACCTCATTCCATCCACTCTTTCCTGTAGATAACTAAATTTCTTCCAGATTTCCCCCCAAAATTGTACACCTACACATCAAAAAAAGCTACCCCAAGAATATCTTTTTTTTTTTTTTGTGGACAGGCAGCATCAAATCCTTAGCTAAAGGAACCCAGATGCCTTGAATTTTCATGTTATCAGGAGAGCAAGGTGAGGTGGACCTGGTGAAGCAAGCCTGCGGTCCTAGCACTTGGGAGGAAGAGCCAGGAGGTTCAGAAGTTTAAAATCGTAGCTACATAGCTAGTTTGAAGCTAGCCTGGTCTACATGGGACTTTGTCTCGAAAAGCCGAACAAAACTATAAATAAACTAGCTTTAAAAAGATCAAGGGCATTGCCGGGCGTGGTGGCACACGCCTTTAATCCTAGCACTCGGGAGGCAGAGGCAGGCGGATCTCTGTGAGTTCAAGGCCAGCCTGGTCTACATAGTAAGTTCCAGGACAGCTGGTGCTACAGGGAGACCCTGTCTCAAAAAGACTGAAAAAAAAAGCACCTTTTTCTTTTCGCTGTTAGAACCCATCACTCAGCAGTGTCTGGCCAAACAGCTAGCAACAATGTCCCAGTCTGACCACGTGGTAAGATAGGCTTGACGCTAAAGAATGGAAACTAGAGAATGGTCCAAGGTGAGGTGGCAGTTACACCATTATCTACCGATAATGGTGAGATGTGGGATTTACAGTGGTAGGAGGTGCTGAAAATACAGCCACACCTGAGTAGGGTTCGGTTTTCAGGGATAAGAGGGCCCCGTTTACACCAGTGGAAAGGCAGGTAGCAAACGCTTATATTCCTTGAGGAAGTGATTAGGTCTGTGAAGGAAGAACACTGGTGATGTGACTGTGGCTTGGTGGGGACAGAAGATAGAGGGCGTATCTGAGGCTCGAGTGAACAATTCCTCTTCCTCTGAGCTGAGAAACCAGCTGGGAAGGCGGAAGCATAAGATCCCCAAATCAGGTCCACCGATTCGGCCTCCAAAGTCCGGCCAGGCCGGCACAGCAAGCTTTCCGTGCCCCTCCGCTTAGGCTGGCCTGGAGCGAGTCCCGGGAACAGCGCCGAGCACCGGTCCGAGAAAGCCTGGCACGCCTGGCCGGGATGTGGCTCTGGGCTGCCGACCCACCAGAGCAGGACCGGACGCAGGCCTGGCTGGGCAGAACAGGTCCCCGCGCTGTGGCGGGACCGTCCCTGGCTCGCACGTCGGGCTCAGCCCGCAGAACCCGAGCCGGTGGGAGGCCAGGGCGCCAGGACCCATCATAAGTCGAGCAGCTCGCGCGCCGCCATCGTGGCAGAGGCGGAGACGTCGCCGGAGGGCGGGGCCTCCCGAGACCCAAACAAGCCCACGTGCGGGGGCGGGACCGCCTCGGTGACGTCAAGGCGCTGGCGCGGAGGGGGGCGCGCGCGCCGTACCCTCGCCGCGGGCCGTAAAGCGCGGAAGGTCGCGGGCCCCCAGCTCCCGGAACTTTCCGCCGCGACGTCCCGCCCTTCCCCATGTCCTGTGCGGGTTTCCGGCTTGCGGCGACCCTCCTCAGCCCTTGTGCCGCGCCTCACTTCCGCCGGGGCGTAGCCGAGCGCACAGCCCGCGGCCGAGTGAGGTAAGGAGGCGGCCACGGGCGGTTCCGAGTGGCTGCGACCTGCTGGTCCGCGCGGCCTCGGTGACCCGCGGACTCCCGCGTCCTGCACACTGCTGTCCTTACGCTCTGGGCTCCCGGGCGGCCGTCCTCGCTGGCTCGGGCTCCCGGCTATTCCCTAGGCTCCGAGGCGGTGCGCTTGGCGCCGGAATTGAGTGAGCGGAGCTGTGCGGGTCTCGAGGACCCGCGTCGGCCGCCCCGGGCCTGGGTGGGCTCTTGGCTGAGCGGCCCGGGCCTCGCTGCAGGCTGCCCTCGGTCTGGGGGCACAGGCCCCCGCCCCCGCCCCCACCATACCCTGCTACTTGTCCCACGTCTCTGCAGGTGGCAGTGTTTCCCCGCCTGAAACGGGCGGTTCGCCTGTGCTTTACTACCTTTTAATAGTGATTAAGACTGCTGTGGAGTCCGGCGGAAATCACCTCTCAATGTCTAAATCAGGGGCCGTGGGCTTTCCAGTGGGTGACCTTAGGGGACTGTTGTGTGTGATACCCAGATTGGCATCCGCGGTCTCCAAGCCCACTTTATGCATGCTGTAAGCATGATGTACAGGGATGGTGATGTGGTCAGGGGCCCAGGTGGGGAGACAGCCCAAAGGGTCCACTTTTCAGTGGCAGAGATTTTGGTCTTTTTGAGACAGGTTCTCCCTGTAGCCCCAGCTGGCCTGGAACTCACTATGTAGACCAGGCTGACCTTGAATTCACAGGAATCCGCCTGCCTCTGCCTCTGAGTGCTGGGATTAAAGGCGTGCTCCACTACGCCCTGCAAGTGCTGGCACATTTGTTGTGGTTTAAAATATAATTTTTATGGCTGGGCCTGGTGTCTCAAAAAGACAAAAAAAATTATTTTTATGTGTATGAGTTTTGCCTGTGTGTATAAAGTGCACAGTGTGTGTGCAGTGGCGGCGGAGGCCAGAGGTGGCATCGGATCACCTGGAACTGGAGTTATGGACAGTTGATAGTGACTTTGTAGCTGCTGGGAACCGAACCTGTGTCCTCTGCAAGAGCAGCCATGCTCTTGACCACTGAGTTCCAGCCCTATTGTTTGTTTGTTTGTTTTTTGAGCTGGTCTCCTGCTATAGCCCAGGCTCATCTGGAATTTAGGACAGTTCTCCTGATTCAGCCTCCTGAGTGTTGGGATTATAAGTGTGAGCACCCTGCAAAGCTGGAGCTGCCATCTTAATGATAGCAAGGTCTGAGCAGAGGCCAGGTGTGGTAGTGAAGGCCATTCCAGCACTGATCTCTGGGAATTTCAGGCCAGCCATGGCTACCTAGTGAGATCCTGTGTCAAAGAAAAAAAAAGGTGAGCAGAATCAGCCTGGGTCTTAAGGTTATTTAGCGGAGGTTATTCTTCATAGAAGAGACTATCACAGTTTTGTTTTTTTTCTTTACCAATTTTAAGAGAATATAAAAAACCCTTGCTCCTTGCTGTTTTGTTTTGCTGAGTTTGACCTCGTTGGTGTCCTTTGGTTCTGCTTCCAAACCTGCTGCTTTCCTCTCCTTCCTGCTGCACTTCAGTCCCTCTGCTCTCCTCTTGCTCTTGAAGGTCACAGTGAGCACAGAGTGCAGCAGTCTTTTTCTTGGCCCTACCAGGCTGGGCTTTGAACATGGTTTATTATTTCCTGAAACTCCTGTTCAGTCTCGTTTTTTTTTTTTGGCTTTTTGAGACAGGGTCTCCCTGTAGCCCCAGCTGGCCTGGAACTCACTATGTAGACCAGGCTGGCCTTGAACTCACAGAGATCAGCCTGCCTCTGCCTCCCGAGTGCTGGGATTAAAGGTGTGAGCCACCAAGCCCGGCTTCATTCTTTTTCTAGCAGAATGAACATGGATTATTAAGGAAAAATGAGAAAATGCCTGGAAATGGAAGGGAGGGGCTATAAAGGAGGAATACTCTGTTTTTTTTTCTGACACCTTTGTAACTTTTTCCAGCTTGGGGGTGAGCTCATAGTTTTGTCTCACAGCTAGTGTTTGCTCACCTGTATTTCTTTGAAATCCATAGTGATAAGTGGTAGGCCAGACTTGCAGTTGAGTAGAATCATTTTATATAATTAAATTTTTTTTTTATATTTTTATATATATAGATCAGTGTTTGCCTGCATGTATATAATTGCACCCATGTCATACAATGCCCAGAAGAGGGCATTGGGACCCCTGGAACTGGAGTTATACACAGTTGTTAGCCACCGAGTGGGTGCTGAGAATTGAACCTGGGACCCTGCAAGTACAGTCAGCACTCTTAACCACTGAACCATCTCTCTAGCTCCACAGTGTTCTGAGTGATGCTTTGATGTCAGTTGACCATTCTTGCATTGTTTGATTTAGTCTTCCACAGCTCTGTGAGGTAGATATTGGTAGATACTCCTAGCCTGTGTAACAGATGAGGAACGTGACACAAAGAAGTTCAGTAACTTGCTCAGAGTCATACAGGTAATGAGATGTAGAGAGAGTTGACACCTAGATCTGTTTCTAGAGCCTGGGTTTCCCCACTGAATTGCTTTTACTCCCCCATTCAAGTGGCTTACAGATAATTAAACAGGACAAAAAGTTCTAGAAGTACATGGTGTCATGGGAGAGCACAAGAGTCCCTTAACCAAGGGCTGCACCATCATATAGATGTGGAATAGACTATGCTCTAAGGAGATATCTTGATTCGAGAGGTGGGTGACAAGATCTGTGCTAGTTAGAGGGAACAGTGCCTTCAGGGCCTGGGCATGGAGAGAAAGTGAGGCCTGACATGTTTGAGGAGTTAGCAGTAAGTCTGCTCCATCTTGGTGAGAATATAAGAGGAAAGGAGAGCAGTGAGGCCAGAGATAAAACCAGGTCGTAGTAAGGAGCTTTGACTTTTCCCTGAGAGCATCAGCCTAGCGCCGAAGGTTGTAAGCAGGGCCTTGAAGTAAGATTCCCATCGTGGAAGTCTTGCTTACCCAACTGTGTTCAAATTGAGGTGTATGGGAGGAAGGTGTGCAAAGTAGATGCCGCAAGCCTAGAAGCTTCTGCATGTTCTGGCAAGGGATCTGGAAAGAAGTAGATGGATCCATGTGAGATTTGTGATTCAGATGTGTTAGGCCTTGAATGAGGGCAAGAGAGATGTGAAAGGGAGGAATCAAGGTGACACTCTGGATTCCAGTGTGTGGAGCCCTTTGGGGACATAATGTGGGCAAGATGGAGGGTGTTTACATTTGGATATGCTGGCTTTCCCTGTGGGATCAAGTGGGCATGGCCATTCTGTGCTTGATAAGCAGATCTGAAGTTCAGGATGCTGGATTCTTGGGTCAGGCCACCAGTTAGAGTGAAACTAAAATCACCCTGGGGGAGGGTGTTGAAGAAGTAGGCCTGGGGTAGAAGACAGGGTCCAGTGAAGAGGTGAGCCAGGAGCTGTAGAGATCAGTCCAGGAATCTCTGTGCAAGTAGGAAGGAGTGATCTGTGATTTTTTTTTGGAGGGCGGGGCGGGGGTCTTTTTAAGACAGGGCCTCCCTGAAGCCCCAGGTGGCCTGGAACTTGCTCTGTAGTCCAGGTTGGACTCCAATTCACAGAGATCTTACCTCTGCCTCCCAAGTGCTGTGATTAAAGGCATGAACCACCATGCGTATGGAGTAGTGAACTATGATAGTTCCAGGAACATTTGCTCTGAAACTAGCAACCTAAGTGTTCTTGGTAAGAGAAGTGTCAGTGCTGTGGTAGGGCCAGAAGGTGGGGACTGGGGGAAGGTAGAAATACTTTTTATGTTTATTAATTTACTCAAGTGAAAAAGATAGGCTTTGAGAATATGATTTATTTATTTGAGACAAGTCTTACTATGTAACCTTGGCTGGCCTGGAACTCAGAGATCTGCCTGCCTGTGCCCTCCCATGTGCTGAGATAAGAGGCATGGGTCACCACACATGGGCAGGGTTCTACCACTCCTGTATATCCCCAGCCCAAGAATAAAGTTTTGTTGAAGAAACTCAGTGGCAGAAGTAGGTGTGATGGTACATACCTCTAATTGTAGCATTTGGGAGGTGGAGGCAAGAGCATCAGGAGTTCAGAGTCATCCTGAGTGAGTCTTAGATACAGGAGACCTAGTCTAAAAAACAACAGCCAGGCATGGTGGTGCCTGTATTTAATCCCAACACTCTGGAGGCTGAGGCAGGTGGATCTATGTGAGTTTGAGGTCAGCCTGGTCTACATAGTGAGTCCAGATCTGCTAAGGACTACATAGTCAGACCCTATCTAAAATAAAACGATAGCAACAAACAAAAAACTGGCCATTGTGCAGTCAGTAAGGTAATTGAGGCTTAAGACTTGGTTGATGGAAGACGTGGCCATCAGGGGGATGGGCCATCATACTGGTGTTGATTGTGTTGTGGGAGTGCTTTTGTTTTTTTAATTGAGACAGGGTCCTCTCTGTAGCCCCAGCTGGCCTGAACTCACTGTGTATACCAGGCTAGCCTACTGAGTGCTGGACTTAAAGGCCTGCGACAACATGCCTGGCTTTGCTGTGGGAACTCTTTTTTGAGACAGGGTCTTGCTGTAGCCCCAGCTGTCCTGGAACTCACTATGCAGACCAAGCTGGCCTTGAACTCACAGAGATCTGCCTGCCTCTGCCTCCCAAGTGCTGGGATTAAAGGCGTGCGCCAACATACCCAGCTGCTGTGGGAACTCTTTAATTCGTTCCTGAATTTGAGTTTTTGCAAAGTCTATAATTTATATAATTTATTTATTTTTGAAATAAAAACTTCAGATTTAGAACTTCTGTTTTTTTTTTTTTACTCAGGTTACTCAGGCGGGATGTGAACATGAGATTCCTCTTGGCACCCTGTTTGCCTGCATTTTCACTAACTGCAGTTCTGAGAGACCTCTGCTGATGTATCTTTAGCCTTAGAGGTCATGGGCTAATGGGGGTGCAGGTGGCATCTGTAGATCTAGAAGCTGGTAGTTGAGTTAGTGGCCACTTTACTGGCAGTGTTCTGCCACCCTGGGTCTTAAGTCCTCATCCTCCTGTATTGTCATGCTGGCATAGTCTGCCAGTAGGGTACCCTTTAGTTTCTTCAAACTTAATCAGTCCTGTGTATTCCTGTTAGATTTTGTCAAAACCCTACCTGTTTTGTTTTCCACCTAACTTCTTGTTTACTGGACTGTACTAGATCAAGTATTCAGCATCTCATATGACTGGGTTCTTCCTCTAGTTCTGGCTACCCAGCACTCACTGGATTCTGTAGTCAGACGTGTTCTGTTGGCTTTAGTGTGTGGCCTCCCCATGCCTTTGTCTCTGTCCAAACTTTACTCCTCCAAGGTTCAACTTGCATCCTAGATTCATTATGATTCTCTCCCTGAAAGCCTTAGCCTTTACCCTTTTCTTTCATTAGCCTATTATGTTATTATGTAGAAATGTCTGTGAAATACCGTGTTACTTGCCTGTGAAAATGATAAACTAAAAATTCTCTCCTCCTTTGTCTTGAACTTGTGATCCTCCTACCTCTGTCTGTGGAGTGCTAGGATTACATGTGCACCACTATACCTGGCTAGTTCTGTCATATCTACTTCAGACCAGTATTCCTGTTTCTCTGACTTCTCTGCCATGCCCAGTCTATACCACTATGCTATCCTCTGATCTGTTGTAGTGTCTTCCTAACTCAGCTTTTTCTTTCATTCCTCTTTCTACTGTCTACTATGAAGCCAGACTGACCTTTGAAAGACATACCAGATCACTTAATTCCCTTGCTTCAGGGATTTTTGTTTGTACTTGGAAAAAAATTCCTCAAAATAACTCATGCCATCTAGGGGTCATAGAATTGATTTCTGCCTGTCTCTCCAGGATTGTCTTAATCATTCCCCCTCTACCACCATGCTGCTAATACTGGCTTCCTTTCTGTTATGGGCTCATCAAATCGGTCTATCTTCAGGGTCTTTACGCATGTTTGTTCCTCTATCTAATTTAGGGTCTTTCCATATATTTTTTTCTCTGTCTAAGCATTCATATAACTGTTTCCTTTTAACCTGTCAGTACCATCCCCACCCTTTGCCTTCTGGCTCTGCCCTCAGACGACCTTGTTATTTTTTTCACGTTTTAAAATAAATTTATTTTTCTAATTTTATTTTTAAATTTTATTTATTATTTTTATCTTATGTGTATGCGTGTATTGCCTGCATGTAGGTAAGTGCACCTGTGTCGTGCAGTGCCCGCAGAGGTCAGAAGAGTCTGTCGGATCCCCTGGGACTGGAGTTAGACAGTTATTAGCTGCCATGTGGGTGCTGGGATTCGAACTTGCATCTTCTGCAAGAACAACCAGTGTTCTTAACTGCTGAGCCATCTCTCCAGCCCCTTATTTTTATATGTATATACGAGTGTTATACCTACATGTATATAAGAGCACCCACGTCATGCAGTGCCCTCAAAGGACAGAAGAGGCGGTTGGATCCCCTGGAACTGGAGTTACAGATAGTTGTTAGCTGCCATGTGGGTGCTGGGACCCGAACCCTGGTCCTCTGCAAGAGTAGTCAGCGCTCTTAACCACTGAGCCATCTCTTTAGCCCCCTTTTCCCTTTGTTTTTGTTTTTTTTTAAAAAAAAAAATTTTATTTTTATTTATGTGTATGTGTCTGTATGAGTGTATACCACATATGAACAAGTGCTGTGGAGGCCAGAATATGGGGTTGCATCCCTTGGAACTAAAGTTTCAAGTGGTTGTGAGCCAACCAGCGTGTGCTGGGAACCAAACTTGGGTCTTCTGGAAGAGCAGCAAGTACTTTTAACCATTACAACATCCCTCCAGTCCCCAGTATTATTATTATTATTATTATTATTATTATTATTATTATTATTATTTTAAATCATGCCAGTTCCTGCGATAGAACCCAGGTCATCAGGCCTATTGGCAAAGTGCCTCCAACCCCCTAAACTCCCTCTCCAGCCCTCCTTATTCTGTTTGCTTCTTTGTTTTTACATAAGGTCTCTAGCTCAACCTATTGAAGAGTTCCCTATCTAGCTGAGGAGATCTTGAACTTCTGGGGATCCTCCTGTCTCTACCTCCCAAGTGCTTGAGTTCTAGGCATGTGCCACCAGGCCTGGTTTAGACTTCCTTAGGCTTAGGCTTGTGCTTGTTTTTTGTTGTTTGTCTGTTCATTTGTCTTGTTTTGTTTGTTATAGCTATATCTAGCAAAGTGTCTGAAACTTAAGTTCTCAAATATTTGTCAAATGAATGACTGTTGTCCTTAAATCCTTTTTTAGTTAGTCCTATGAGTTAAATGGAATGAAATATATGTGTTTTTCTCTTTGTAGTTTAGATTCTTGGGATCTCCCTAGCTGGAACACGTCTCCCAGCTGGTGATAGACGTGATGCTTTACCGGTTGCTTTCTATTGTCCAAAGACAAAGAACAAGCCCAGGATGGCAGAACTGGTCGTCATCAAGAAGCAGCACGTCAGCCACCGAGGCACATTCTGTCACCTTGCCTGCCCAGGCCCAGGTGGTCATCTGCGGGGGTGGAATCATGGGCACATCTGTGGCTTATCACCTCTCCAAGATGGGGTGGCAGGATATTGTCCTTTTGGAGCAGGGCAGGTAAGGATCAAATTGACCTGGCTTAGGACTGTGTTGTGCTAATGGTGTAGTGCTCCCACATTCCCTATCTTTTCCATAGTGTCCTACTTGGAGTCAGTCTTAAGTATTGTTCAGTAGCATGAGAAAAATTGAGGTGATGTGGGGCTGGAGAGATGGCTCAGTGGTTAAGAACACTGTTCTTGTAGAAGACCCGGGTTCAAATCCCAGCACCCACATGGCAGCTAACAACTGTCTGTAACTCCAGTTCCAGGGAATCCTACAGCCTCTTCTGTCCTCTGAGGGCATTGCATGACATGGGTGCACTTACCTACATGCAGGCATAACACTCATACACATAAAATAAAAATAATAAAATATTAAAAAGAATTGAGGTGATGTTTGCCCTTTGACTTTTCTTTTTCTTTTTTGTCTTTTTGAGACAGTTTCCCTGTAATCCTAGCTGGCCTAGAACTCATTATGTAGACCAGGCTGGCCTTGAACACACAGAGATCCTCCTGCCTCTTGAGTGCTAGAATTAAAGGCATGTGCTACCACCCACCACACCTGACTTTATTTTTATTTTATTTATGTGTATGTGTATATATACCTGCTTGTCTGTATGTGCATCATGTGTATGCAATGCTCACGGATTCCCTGGAACTGAAGTTATAGGTAGTTGTGAGCTGGTCCTCTGCAAGACCATAACTGCTGAGCCATCATTTCTCCAGCCTCTCCCCTGTACCCCTTACTATGTCTTACATTATTAATGAGCTTTTCAATTAATAAGCCAATATTCACACATTAGCACTAACAAAAATCTCCCCACCTTCCGGAACTGAGGATTAAACCTGGGTTACCGCCTTGTGTACATGTTAGGCAAGAACTCTGCCACTGAGCTAGATTCACAGTCCCTAATACCCTTTTTTCTGTCCCAAGATTACGTAGGATCTATTGCCTTTGGGTTTTTTTTTTTTTTTTTTTTTTTGAGACAGAGTCTCTCTGTAGCCCCAGCTGGCCTGGAACTTGCTATGGAGACCAAGCTGACCTTGATCTCACAGAAATCCACCTAGTTCTGCCTCCCATGTGCTGGGATTAAAGGCATGTACCACCATGCCCAGCTTGGATTTATTACTTTAGTGTGTGTTTCATTTTTATTTTTATTTTATTGAGACAGGGTCTCACTGTGTAGCTCCAGCTTGCCTGAAACTCTGTGTAGACTAGGACAGGACCTGGGTTCAGTTCCCAGCACCCACATGGCAGTTGACAACTATCTATAACTCCAGTTCTAGGTGATCAGACACCCTCTTCTGGCCTTTGTGGGCATTGCACACATGTGGTGCACTTAAATACATGCAGGCAAAGCACTTATAAAATTTAAAGAAAGTTAAATATTAAGCTGGGTGTGGTGGTGTACACCTTTAGTTGGGAGGTAGAGGCAGGGAAGCAGAGGCAGGTAGATTTCTGAGAGTTTGAGGCCAGCCTGGTCTATATCACATCCATTATGAGTTAATATTTATTTTTTATTATTATTTTTATTTTATGTGTATGCATGTATTACCTGCATGTAGATAAGTGCACCCGTGTCATGCAATGCCCAAGGAGGTCAGAAGAGGCTGTCACATTCCCTGGGACTGGAGTTGCGGACAGTTGTTAGCTGCCATATGGGTGCTGGGATTTGAATCTGGGTCTTCTGCAAGAACAACTAGTGTTCTTAACCGCTGAGCCATCTCTCCAGCCCCATGAGTTAATACTTATAAGTCCTGTAATAGTTGGTGTGTTTGCATTAAATATTGAATTATTTATTGTTTTGTAGACAAGGGTCTAATGTAGCTCAGGTCGACCTTCAACTCCTGATCCTACTGTCTCTACCTCTCAGGTGCTGGAATTATAGGCGTGGGCCCCTGTGTCTCCTTCTATTCAGTGCTGAAAATTGAACCCAGGACTTTGTGCATGCTAGGCAAGCTCTCTACCAACTAAGCTATATCCTCCGACTAATCTTTTTAAAAACCTTACTTTGTGGGGCTGGAGAGATGGCTCAGGGGTTAAGAACACTGGTTGTTCTTGCAGAAGACCCAGGTTCGAATCCCAGCACCCATATGGCAGCTAACAACTGTAACTCCAGTCCCAGGGGATCCGACGGCCTCTTGTGACCTCTGCGGGCATTGCACACACAGGTGTACTTAACCTACATGCAGGCAATACATGCATACACATAAAAATAATATTTTTAAAATATTAAAAAAATAAAAAAACTTACTTTGAAATAATTTCAAATTCACACACAAAAGCTTCAAGAATAGCACACATAAGGAATTTCCCTCTTTTACCATGATTCCTCTAGTCAACATTCTGATGTACTTATTATATCATCAGCTCTCTCTTGACCTTGTATATATGGGTTCACAGCCATGTGAGCATATGTATCCTTTATTATTGACATTTAGCATAAACTGCAGACCTAAAATCTCTGGTCCTCCAAGCATTTCATATTGTGTATTCTCAAAAAGCAGGTGTACCTACTGCATATAACTATTGTACAACCCTGTACGTCAGGAAACATGGATATATATTCCAGCACATTCATAGACCTTATTCATAGTTTTCCATCCATTCCAATAAGCTCTTTGTTTCTTTTATAGTCCAGGATCTTGTTGAAGAATGTGAGTTATGTTCAACTGCCACACCTCTTACGTGGAAAGGTTCTGTAGTTCTTTCCTGTCTCTGGTGTCATTTTGCTCCTCAACCTGGTTCAGCTCATATTTTCTTGTGATCATTTTTTGTTTTTTGAGATAGTGTCTCACTATATAGCCCTGGCTGGTCTGGAACTCATTATGTAGACCAGATTGCCCTCAAACTCAGAGATCTGCCCACCTCTGTCTCCTAAGTGCTAGGATTAAAAGCATGCACCACCATGCCCAACCATCCTTCTTTTTTTTTGAGAGAGGGCTTTCCTGGGACTCACTGTGTAGACCTAGCTGACCTTAGTCTCACAGAGATTACCTGTCTCTGCCTCCTATCTTCTTGAAATGTGTGCCAGTATACTCAGCTCCTGTTTTTTCGTTGTTGTTGTTGTTTGTTTGTTTGTTTTTTTGAAGCAGGGTCTCCCTGTAACCCCAGCTGTCCTGGAACTCACAGAGATTCGCCTGCCTCTGCCTCCCAAGTGCTGGGACTACAGGCATGCGCCACCACATCCGTCCAGCTCCTGTTTTTTAAAAAACGATTTTGTGTGCGTGTATGTGTGTGAAAATAAACTGAATCCTGGTCATCTGCAAGAACAGCCAGTGCTCTTAATGAGACATCTCTCTAGCTCCTCATCCTTTTTTGGTCTTTTTGAGACAGGGTCTCCCTGTAGCCCCAGCTGATCTAGAACTCACTATGTATATCAGGCTTGCCTTGAACTCACAGAGATCACCTGCCTCTGCGTTCCAAATGCTGGGATTAAAGGCATGTACCACCATGCACAGCTCTGTTTTGTTTTGTTTTGTTTTAAAAAAAAACACATGGTTCTGGGGATTGAGCACAGAACCTTGAGTGTGTTTTGTGTTAGGCAAATCCTCTACCATAAAGCCACATCTCCAACTTTGTTTGTATCTTTTGATACTGCAAACACTATTATATTGAGGAACCTTAAATTTGTATTCATTCATAGCTATGTGAGTCTACCTAACAGTGTTTTGCATCTATGCTGTAGGCTGGCTGCTGGCTCTACCAGGTTTTGTGCTGGCATCCTGAGCACTGCCAGGCATTCCAGCATTGAACAGAAGATGGCAGACTATTCAAACAAACTCTATCTTCAGTTAGAGCAAGAAACAGGGATCCAAACAGGTAAGCAGGTAATCTGCTGTTTACTGGTCTTCCTGTCCCCAGACTCTTACTCAATACTTACTGTATTTGGTCCTGTACCAGGTTTGTCTGATCTGCTAATTAATACTTGGGTTTGAGACTTTGCTTCTAGCCACGGTGTTAGGATGAGCAAGTCATATAGCTTACGGATTGGTCTTCAATTTTCGTATCCATAAAATGAGATGCAATGTCCCAGGTCAGGTCCTTTTTCAACCCTGTAATTTTTTTGGAGGGGGTGCTGGGATTGAACCCAGGGCTCCCAGATCATCTTATAATTATTGTCATGATATGAAAGTTTTCCTTTTTTTTTTTGTCTTTTTGAGACTGGATCTCCCTGTAGTCCCAGTTGGCCTGGACCTCGCTATGTAGACCAGGCTTGCCTTGACAGACTGCCTGCCTCTGCCTCCCAAATGCTGGAATTAAAGTTTTCCTCAGCCGTTTTTATATATTTCACTCACTGAAGAATAGTAAATGGCAGCACTTAGATCCTAAACAAAGAGGAGGAAAAAGAACATATGTTCAGGTACTTGGCAGTTAAATCATAGCTTAACTTAATAACTTCAGTTAATACTATAAAACATAAACATACATTAGCTGTGTAGTTAAGAGGAAGAAAAAATAATTGTAAGCTAAACAGTACTGGGGAATAGTGAAGTTAGGCAGGGGAGTGTAAGGATATTGTCTGAACTGTTTCAAGGACAGAGATGCTAATTAGCAGTGTGATTCTATTTAATGACAAAATGGGACTGCCTGTGGAGTATTGAACTAGGTCACCAAAAACTCGGAAATAGACTTAGTACTGTGAAAGTAGTTCTGCTATGGCCTTTGGGGGAGGGGATCTTTTTTGAGACAGTCTCTCTGTAGCCCCAGCTGTCCTGGAACTCGCTATATAGTCCAGGGTGGCCTCGAACTCACAGAGATCTGCCTGCCTCAGCCTCCCAAGTACTAGGAGTACAGGGGTGCACCACCATGCTTGGCTGTCCTTGGCTTTTAAAAAAAATTGATAATGAGCTGGGTGTGGTGGTGCATGCCTTTAATCCCAGCACTTGGGAGGCAGAGGCAGGTGGATCTTTGTGAGTTCAAGGCCAGCCTGGTCTACATAGTGAGTTCCTGGACAGCTGGGGCTACAAGGAGACCCTGTCTCAAAAAAGACCAAAAAAAAAAAAAAATTAATAATGACTTTAAAAAGTTTATGTCTTTTTATTTATGTGTTTTTGGGGGGCGGGTGTGCCCATGGAGGCCAGAAGAAGTTGTCAAAAACTCCTGAAACTGGAATTATAGGTGGTTGTGAGCCACTAGACGTGGGTGCTGGGAACCATACTCTGGTCTTTCACTGAGCCATCTCTCCAGTCCTTTGTTTTATTTTGAGACTGGGTCTCTTTATGTAGCCCAGGCTGTCCTCAACTCAAAGTTCTTTTGTCTCAGTCTCCCAAGTTCTGGAATTACAGGCATGTGTTAATACCCAGCATTGTCTGCAACTTTTACTGAGGAAGGTGCCTGCCTTGTACAGGGCAAGTAGGAAACTCCCTTTTGAATTGGATTGAATTTGATGGCAGTATGATGCTTGAATCATATATTAGCCAGAGTTTGAGTTAGAAGTGAGTCTACGGAGTGGGCCCAAGATGGAACACTGACTCCCAATCTACTGATTACTACTATTTTGCTGAGTTTTGTACCTTTCTGTTGGTTAGATTTCAGGTGAATTAGGATTATAGGCTTCCTTTTTGTAAGGTAGGTTAACCTGCCTAGTTCTAGGGGTTCACAGTCTAGAACGTTACTCAACTTGTCTTTTTTATTTTTATGAGTGTGTTGTTTGCATGTATGAAAGTACACCCATGTTGTCACTGCTGGAGGAGGTCAGTAGAGGGCATTGTATCCCCTGGAAGGAGTTACGGACAGTTGTTAGCCACCATGTGGGTCTAGGAATCGAAACCGGGTCCTCTGCAAGAGCAGCCAGTGCTCTTAACCCCTGAGCCATCTCTCCAGCCCCCTTCATTTGTCTTTTATGCTTAAGCAACATCAAAGAGATTGGAAGTAGTGAAGATGTCAAGCAAGGGATGAAAGATTCGCCTTAATCTGTCACTCATTGTTCTGTACAGTGATGTAGTGAAAGAAGATTGGGGAGCACCAGTGATGGAGAATTTCTCTACAAGGCTGGAGAAATGTCTCAGTGGTTAAGGACACTGGCTGTTCTTGCAGAAGACCTGGGTTTGAATCCCAGCACCTGCATGGTCGCTAACAACTGTCTGTAACTCTAGTCTCAGGGGATCCAACAGCCTCATCTGACCTCCTCCGGCACTGCGTGACACGGATGCACTTCCCTACATACAGGCAATACATGCATACACATAAAACAAAAATAATAATAAAAAAAGGCAGTGTACACCATAGTTGTTAACTGTTTCTTGAATTTTTAAACATTTTTTATTTATACTGTGTGTGTGTGTGTGCGTGCGCGTGCGCTCCACAGTATAGTGTAAAGGTTAGAAGACAACTTTGGAGTTATTTTTTTGCCTCCTACTCTTTATTTTGAGACAGGGTCACACTATGTAGCACTGGCTGACCTAGAACTCACTATGTAGACCAGGCTGGCCTCGAACTCACAAAGAACCGCCTGCCTCTGCCTCCTGGAGTGCTGGGTTTAAGGATGTGTACCACCATGCCCAGCTGCCTTCCACTTTGTTGTCAGCTTTTTCTTTTATTGTTTTTTTTTAAAAATATTTTTATTTTATGTGTATGCGTGTATTGCCTGCATGTAGGTAAGTGCACCTGTGTTGTGCAATGCCCATAGGGGACAGAAGAAGCTGTTGGATCCTTTGGAACAAGAGTTACGGACAGCTGTTAGCTGTCATGTGGGTGCTGGGATTCAAACCCGAGTCTTCTGCAAGAACAGCCAGTGTTCTTAACCACTGAGCCATCTCTCCAGCCCCTTATTGTTTTTTATTAATTAAAACATTTAAAAAAAGATTTTTACATAGAGCCAGGTGTTGTGGCACATGCCTTTAATCCCAGCACCCGGGAGGCGGAGACAGGAGGATCTCTGAATTTGAGGGAAGCTTGGTCTCCATAGCAAATTCAGGCCAGCTATGGCTACAAAAAGACAAAAATAAATAAGTGAATGAATGAATGAATGAATGAATGAATATTTTTTATTCATTTATTTTTTGGTTTTTTTGAGACAGGGTCTCCCTGTAGCCCCAGCTGGCCTGGAACTCACTATGTAGACCAGGCTGGCCTTGAACTCACAGAGATCCACCTCTGCTTCCCGAGTGCTGGGATTAAAGGTATGCACCACCACGCCTGGCATGATGAAATATTTTTATGTTTACATTTTTATTTTTATGTTTACATATATGTAAGGGTACCACATGTGTGTCTGGTGCCTGAGAGACTAGAAGAGGGCATCAGATTCCCTAGAACTGGAGTAAAGGATGGTTGTTAGCTGTTATATAGGTGCTAGGAACCAAACCCAGGTCCTCTGGAAGAGCGATAAGTGCTCTTAGCCACTGAACCAACTCTCCAGCCCCCCTCCCTCTTACATTTATTTTCTATTTTTGGTCTTAAGCCAAGTTCTTACTGTGTTATTCAGGCTGCACTTGAATTGAGCTTCTGGGTTCCAGTGACCCTCTCCTCTCAGCTTCTTGAATATCTGGGGCTATAGGTACATCCCATTGTGCCCATTTTCTTTCTTTTTTATTTTTTTAAATTATTTTTTATTTTTAGAAGAAGCATTTCATTACAGCTTTAACATACTCATTAACAGTTTCCAGAGCAAAGATAATCTCTTTCACAAGTGGCTATAAAATTTTTAGGTTCACTGTTGAATTAATACAGTAATACAATATTGAACTCAGTATAAGCCCTGTAACCATTTCTTTTTTTTTTCTCTTTTTGAGACAGGGTCTCCCTGCAGTCCCAGCTGACCTGAACTCACTATGTAGACCAGGCTGGCCTTTGAACTCACAACAATTTGCCTGCCTCTGCCTCCTGAGTGCTGGGATTAAAGGCGTGCGCCACCATGCCCGGCTCCATTTTCTGTGTTTAAAGAATTAAATTTAGGGGGCTTGGAGAGATGGCTCAGCAGTTAAGAACATTGGTTGTTCTTGTAGAAGACCTGGGTTCAAATCCCAGCACCCACATGGCAGCTAACAGTTGGCTCAGCAGTTAAGAACATTGGTTGTTCTTGTAGAAGACCTGGGTTCGAATCCCAGCACCCACATGGCAGCTAACAGTTGTCTGTAACTTCAGTTCCAGGGGATTTGACAGCCTCTTCTGTCCTCCATGGGCATTGCACATCATGGGTGCGCTTACCTACATGCAGGCAATACATGCATACACATAAAGTAAAAATAATAAAGATTTTTAAAAAAAATAAATTTTCCAGGCGTGGTGGTGCATGCCCTTAATCCCAGCACTCGGGAGGCAGAGGCAGTTGGATCTCTGTGAGTTCAAGGCCAGCCTGGTCTACATAGTGAGTTCCAGGACAGCTGGAGCTACAGGGAGACCCTGTCTCAAAAGAAAAAGACCCAAAACAAAAAAAAAATTAAATTTATTCATTTTGATTTTATATGAATGAGTAGTTTACCTGCATGTATGTCCACCTATGCATGCCCACAGACGCCAGAAGAGGGTATCATATCCTTTGGAATTGGAGTTAGGGACGGTTGTTAGTCATCTGCATGCTGGGAATCGAACCTGGGTCCTCTGGAAGAGCAACCAATGCTCTTAACTGCTGAGCTGTCTCTCTAGTCTCCCCCCATAATGCCCATTTTTGTTTTTTTTGGGGGGGAGGGTCTTTTTAAGACAGGGTCTCCTTGTAGCCCTAGCTGGCTTGGAACTGACTCTATAGACCAGGCTGGCCTTGAACTCACAGAGATCTGCCTGTCTCTGCCTCTCAAGTGCTGGGATTAAAGGTGCACGCCACTATTCCTGGCCATAATGCCCACTTCTGACCAATGTGTTTAAACTATCCCTTAGTCTAAACACAGATAAATTTAATGCAGATTGACCCTTAAATAGCAAGTTTGTTTTCCACAGAGGTATAGACAGTTCTGTTTTCTGTATATCCTAGGATTGAGCAAATGAGTAATATATGATAGTAAATGGAGGATAAAGGTATTGAGGATAAAGAGAGCCAGGATTCTCAGTGTTGGACTAGGGTATATGAGTTGCATTTCTTGTTGCTTTGACAAAATACCTGACAAGAGCAACTTAAGGGTTTATTTGAGCTCATGCTTTGAGGATTATGCATCATGGCAGGGTACCAGTAGGGTGGAGATCAGAGTTTAAGGTGACGTACCATGTTTTGTCTATGGTCAGGATGCAGAGAGACATGAGGGCTGCTGTTCTATTGGCTTTCTTCTTTTTTTATTTATTATTATTTTTTTTAATGTCTTTTTGAGACAGGGTCTCCTTGTAGCCCCAGCTGTCCTGGAACTCGCTATGTAGACCAGGCTGGCCGCAAATTCACAAAGATCCACCTGCTTCTGCCTCCCAAGTGCTGGGACTAAAGGCGTGCGCCACCATGCCTGGTGGCTTTCTTTTTACTCAGTCTGAAACTCCAACCCATGTAATGGTACTTCTACATTCATGGTGGGTTTTGGTCCTGGTCCTAAGTTAAACCTCTATGAAATGCCATCACAGACATGCCCAGAGGTTTGTTCTCTAGGTGATTCTAAACCCTATCAGGTAGACAATCAAGATTAATTTCACAGTGGCTGGAGATATGACTCAGCAGTTAAGAGCACTGACTGCTCTTCCAGAGGACCCAGGTTCAGTCCCCGATATCCACATGGCAGCTAACAACCATCTGTAACTTTAGTTCCAGGGGATCCAGTAACCTCTTCTGACCTCCTCAGGCATTGCACAATATAGGTGCACTTACACACATGCAGGAAATACACACATACACATAAAATAAAAATAATAAATAAAATATTAAAAAAAGATTAACCATCACAGAGGTTAAAATATGGAAAGAAAGCCAGGTGTGATGGTGCACACCTGTAGTCCCAGCACTTGGGAGGCAGAGGCAGGTGGGTCTCTGTGTTCAAGGCTGGCCTGGTCTACATAGTGAGTTCCAGGAGAGCTGGGGCTACAGGGAGACCCTGCTTCAAAAAGACAAAAATATGGAAAGAAGCTCGGTAGATTAGCTCACACTTGTAATCTCAGCACTTGGGAGACAGTATTGCCATGAGTTCTTGGCCACCCTGAACTACAAAGTGAGTTCCAGGCCATCCTGGGCTAAAGAGACCATGTCTTAAAAAAATAAAACAGGCCAGAAATGGTGGTATACACCTTTAATGCCAGCACTCAGGAGGCAGAGGCAGGCCAATCTCTTGAGATTGAGGCCAGCCTAGTCTCCATAATGAGTTCCAGGCCAGCTGGGGCTATAGGGAGACCCTGTCTTAAAAAAAACAAAAACAAAAAAGAGTTGGAAGCAGGAGGATCAGGAGTTAAAGGACAGTCTGAAATTCATGAGACCCTCGATAAAAGGGCGGGCATGCTTAGCAGGTAAACGTGCTTGCCATGCAAGCCTGAGTTCAGTACCTGGAACCTATGGTGAAGGGAGAGAGCTGGCTTCCCAAAAAGTTATTTGACCTCCACTTGCATGCATGTTTATTTATGTACATCACCTATCACACACATACACAGTAAATAAAATTTTTCAAAAAGGAAAAAAAATTAAAACAACATTGAATGAAGCTAACTAGAGGTGGTATTGGGTTTTGGTTTCAGAAGACCTTTGTATCCCAAAAGAACCAGAACTTATTAAATGACTAATTCCAGGAAGCTGCTAGCTGGAGACAGCCTAGGGAACCAGGATTTGAGGCAGAGGAATGGGCTGGCCAGAACCCCTCCATTCATCCATCCATTTGTTGAATGTTCTGTGAGGGTCCAGTTGACTGTATTCAGATCATAGCTTGTTTTTGGCTGTACTGGGGAAGGAGTAGGGATCTGATCCTTTGGTGGATAGTGTTTTAAGTAGCTTTCATCAAGGATTATACTTCACCAAGACTAGAAGGAAAAAGGGGGAGAAACTGCCTTAAAAAAGGAAAGGGATGGGGCTGGAGAGATGGTTCAGCGGTTAAGAGCACTGACTGCTCTTGCAGAGGACCCGGGTTTGATTTCCAACACCCACATGGCAGCCATGAACTGTCATTAACTCCAGTTCCAGGGATCTCTGCCGCCCTTTTATGACCTCCACAGCATTGCACGACATGGGTGCACTCACATACATGCAGGCAATATACTCATACACATAAAATATTAATAAAATATTTTTTTTAAAAACATGGATTCTAGGTCACATTATTGCCTAGAAATAACTTTTAAACTTTGTAGCTTTCACCTCTATTAAGATTTTATTTTATTTTTTTGGTCTTTTTGAGACAGGGTCTCCTGTAACTCCAGGGTCTAGCACTCACTGTGTAGACCAGGGTAGCTTTGATCTCATAGATCTGCCTCCCAAGTGCTGGGACTAAAGGGGTGTGCCACCGCCCAGCCTTATTATGAGTATTTTATAGATATTAGAATTCTGTTTGACCCTCACAAAACTGAAAGTAGTTATGTCTCTGGTGTACCCACAAAGCTGAAAGTAGTTATGTCTCACAAAGCTGAGAGTAGTTATGTCTCTGGTGTACTTTAAATTTTGCTAGATGCCCAGAGGGAGTAACTTAGTTACACAAGGATATTGAGTGGAAATCTTAGGATTCCTGACAGGTAACAACCTTTAATCTAGTGGATCCCAACAACTTGCTCACTTGGCTGATTTTTCTTTCAGGTTACTTAAGGACAGGTTCAATTTCTCTGGCCCAAACACAGGATCGACTGATCTCCCTGAAGCGCATCAACTCAAGACTGAAGTACGTAAGAGGCTAGACACCTGTCCTGACTTTACCCAACTGACCTCTGACAGAGAGCCTATGAATGTCATTGTCCCCTTGTGTTCTGTGGCAGTGTTATAGGCATCCCTTCTGAGATCATCTCCCCCAAGAAAGTGGCTGAACTTCATCCTCTCCTCAATGTGCACGACCTGGTGGGGGCCATGCATGTTCCTGAGGATGCAGTAGTGTCCTCTCCCGACGTGGCTCTTGCCCTAGCAAGTGCTGCCTCCCAGAACGGTGAGCAGGTTTTTATGTATGTATGTGTTTGGGAGGAAGAGGTTGTCTAAAAAAGTGTTTCACAGGAGGCAATGATAGCAGCTCAAGTTTGGAGAAAGTATCTTCATTGGGATATTCAGTTTCCCAGTTTTGAACACTATATTTTTCTGTATGTTGTCAAATTTTTTTTGATCTTTTTGAAACAGGGTCTCCTTGTAGCCCCGGCTGTCCTGGAACTCACTATGTATTCCAGGCTGGCCTTAAATTCATCGAGATCTGGCTGCCTCAGCCTCCCAAATGCTGGGACTACAGGTGTGTGCCACTATGCCCGACTCTTGTTAAATATTTTTTCTCAAAGCCACTTTTTTTTCTTCTAAGGAACTGTGTATAGTGCTGATTATTGTGTGTCTCACGTAAGAAAGTCCTTGCCTTCCCTGGACTTGAGAAAAGCCAAGGTTACAGCACAATTGGAGGTTTAATCTATAGCTTAAATTTTACTTATTTTATGTGCATGAGTGTTTTTTGCCTGCATGTATATAAGTGCACCTATGTTGTACAATGCCCAAGGAGGCCAGAAGAGGGCATTGGATCCCTGGAAGTAGAGTTAGGGATGGTTGTTAGTCATCATGAGGGTGCTGGGAACTGAACCCCGGTCTGCAAGAGCAGAAAGTACTCTTAACTGCTGAACCATCTCTTCAGCCCCCTAATCTATAGCTTAAATGTGACCCAGAGTTAGTGAATCTGGAGAAGGCTTATTAGTATCTGGAGTATTTTTTTATATATAATTTAATTTGATTCATTATTATAGTGCTGGGGATTGAACCCAGAGCCTTAGGCATGGCAGGTAACTGCACTTAAATTCCCTGCCTTTGATTTTTTGAGAACTTATGTAGCCTAACCTCAGATTTCTGAGTGCTAGAATTACAGGTGCTCCTCTCCACATTGGCCTTAGGTTTTTGATTTTTTAAATAAAATTTTATTTAATCATTTATATTTTATGTGTATGAGTGTTGTGCCTGCATGTTTGTAAGTGCACCTGTGTCATGTAGTGCACATGGAGGCCAGAAGGCACTAGATCCTCTAGAACTGGAGTTACAGACAGTTGTTAGTCATCATACTGTTGCTGAGAACTAAATGCAGGTCCTCTGCAAGAGTAGCCAGTGCTCTTAAAACACTGAGCCATCTCTCCAGCCCTAGGTTTTTTGTTTTTTAAATTAAAGCACTGACCCCACTTCTTCAGTGTTCCTTTGGAATAGAGAATCTGCTACAAAGGCCTCAGTTTGGGAACATCAGATAATTTGCCCACTCTTTATCTTGGAACAGGTGTTCAGATTTATGACCGGACAAGTGTTCTTCATGTATTGATCAAAAAAGGTCAAGTTACTGGTGTAGAAACAGATAAAGGACAGATTGAATGCCAGTATTTTGTCAACTGTGCTGGTCAGGTAGGTTAGCAACAATACTAGGTTGCTGATAAATTATTTAACTTGGACTTTTTTGGTGTATGGTTTATTATTTTACTAATTAAAGAGACACCAGGTACTATACTGTTTATTCTTTGGACTGGGAAATTCAGAATTGTATTCTGAATCAGAAATCTATACTTATTCTGTACTTAAATCTGTATGAGTATCTGTGGCCTCTCTTTCCTTCAAGCTGGGTAAAATGCCATCCTGGTCAGAAGGCTCGTGATAAGCTTTAGCATGAATCCATGGTGTTAGAGGTCTTTTTATGATGCTATATATCATTTTATGAACTCAAAATATGAAGACTATTTTGTATGAGAACCATGAATCCATTTTCTAGAAGTAAGGTTCATCTGTCTCTACCTCTGCAGCAAACTGGTCACTTGCCCTACGTGCCATAGTTTTAAGTAATATAGGAACTAATTTTTGCTGTATGAAGTTTTTTTTTTTAATATTATTTTTACTTTATGTGTATGAGTGTATTACATGCATGTATGTGAATGCACACGTGTCGTGCAATGCCGCGGAGGTCAGAAGAGGGCGTTGGATTCTCCTGGAATTAAGGATGGTTCGTAGCCTCTATGTGGGTGCTGGGAATATAACCCGGGTCTTGTGCAAGAGCAGTCAGTGCGCTTAACCGCTGAGCCATCTTTCCAGCCCCTATATGAAGTTATTTTAATGATTGTTATTTGGGGTTTTTAGTAGAGACCAGGCATTTTATTTAAAGACTATATTTTGACCAGCAACTCTTATCTTCCTTTGATTGATTTTTTTTTTTTTGGTCTTTTTGAGACGGGGTCTCCCTGTAGCCCCAGCTGTCTTGGAACTCACTATGTAGACCAGGCTGGCCTTGAACTCACAGAGGTCCTCCTGCCTCTGCCTCCCAGGTACTAGAATTAAAGGTATGCGCCACCACGCCCGGTGAAAGGATAGTTTTTTTTTTTCTTCTTTCACTTTTTATTTTTATGTGTATGTGTGTATTGCCTGCATGTAGGTAAGTGCACCCGTGTTGTGCAGTGCCCATGGAGGTCAGAAGAGGCTGCTGGATCCCCTGGGACTGGAGTTACAGTTGTTAGCTGCCATGTGGATGCTGGGATATGAACCCAGATCTTCTGCAAGAATAACCAGTGTTTTTAACCACTGAGCCATCTCTCCAGCCCCTGAAAGGATGATTTTATGTTTTAAAAAGAATAGTATCGCTCCCCATCCAAATACTTAAATAAAGCAGGCTGAACTTGACTTCCACACTTAACACTCCAGCAAGAGCACTTAGAAGCCACTCGAACTTAATCTCTGTTCAAGAGGCTGAACTTGCTCATTTGTGTTTCTGTTCCTCTTCCCACCCACAAATTGTCCATTGTAGTGGGCATACGAGCTGGGTCTGTCCAACGAGGAGCCGGTTAGTATCCCGTTACATGCCTGTGAACACTTCTACCTTCTGACTCGCCCCTGGAACACCCCTCTGCAGAGCAACACACCAAGTGAGGACTTGTACTTTTTTACAACTTTATCTACTTGATAGTGTCCTGTCCTCTGAAAAGGAAGACTTTTCATTAAGGTCAAATTGTACCTAAAAGAGTCTTTTCTTTTCTGGAGCATGTTACAGGGAGGTGGATCCAATTCTAACTTTCCTTTGATTACTCCTTAGGAAAAGATTTCCAAAATGAGTGTGACATTAAGCACTTTTTTTGGTTTGTTTTTTGCAAGCTAATTTTAATCGCAAACAGGTCATTGAGAATGTTTGGAATGTAAGATTTAACTTAAATGCTATCAATTGTAGAAATGTAGCCATATACTTGGGTGGTTTGTTGGCTCAAGTTCTGTGAGAAAGGGTTTTGATACCATTTCAAAGAATGAACTCCGCAACTCCCCTTTCTATTAGACTTTAGCTTGGCACAGGGACAGTAATGTAGTTTGGTTGTGAGGTGTCGGCAAAACTTTTAGGTTCTTGGTAATGTTTGGGATAATCAGAGAAACCATGGGAAGATCCTCCCATATGACCTCTGAAGGTATTTTAAAATTAATGCCTATATTTATTGTATGCGATGCTGTTAGTAAACCTATTCAAAATGTTTTCTTTTTTTCTAGGAAACTGGCTTGACTGTAACCCGTTGTTTTTCTCTTCTACTCCCTACTTCCTTGTCGTTTCTTCCCTTCAGCTGTTGTGGATGCTGACGGAAGAATTTACATTAGGAACTGGCAGGGTGGCATCTTGTCCGGGGGCTTTGAAAAGAACCCAAAACCTATTTTCACTGAGGGCAAGAACCAGCTGGAAATTCAGAACTTGAGAGAAGATTGGGATCACTTTGGTGTGTGAAATAGATTATAATAATGCCTTCTGCTTGTCTAAGATATTATATTTCTAAGCATTTTCAGGACCACTTCTTTATTTTTAAAACAACTCCAGGAAGTACAATAGTAGTTAAAAGAGTTGTCTACATAGTTTGTTTGGTCTAAGGATATAGTTACACCCTATTCAAGGGTCTAAAGTATTGTTTAATGGACTTGATTCATTATTTACTGAAATCACTGCTGAAGTTTTAGGCTAAGAGGGTACCTTCTTTTGGTAAGACTTTATATGAAATTGAGTTTCTTTTTTAATTGATTTTTTAAAATTTTTAAACATTTTATGTGTATGAGTGTTTTGCCTGCATGTGTGTTAGTGTACCTATGCTGTGCACTGCCTGCAGTGGGTAGAAGAGGATGTTGGATCCCCTGGGACTGGAGTTATAGACAGTTGTTAGCCACCATGTAGGTGCTGGAAACAGAATCCATGTCCTCTGCAAGAGCAGCCAATGCCCTTAACTGCTGAGCCATCTCTTCATTCAAACTGGAGTTTTTTGTTTTTTTTTGAAGCTAAATTGTTAGGCATGATAATGCATGCTTGTTTATAATCTAAGGATGAGGGATGCTGAGGCAGGAGGATAGGAGGATTGTGAAAGCAAATTGCTTTGTTAATGTGGTCTTTCATTAACTCTTTTATTAAATCTTAAATAATTTTAATTGGTTGATGTAGTTACATAGTTCTAAATTCAAAAAATATGCAAAAGTCTTAATTTTTCTCCCATCCTGGATGGCCTATTTTTTAAATAGGCTGCTTCTTATGGGAAATTTAAAACTTTTCAAAATAGATGGAGAGTGGTGTGAGTGGATCCCCTGTGCCCACCAATCATCTCTATCCTGCTTTCATTTTCTTTTTTTGAGACAGGGTCTCCCTGTAGCCCAGCTGGCCTGGAACTCCCTATGTAGACGAGGCTGGTCTCAAACTCACAGAGACCATGCCTGGCTTTATCCTGCTTTCATTACCACTGTCTCATGGGATGATGGCCAGAGATAGATTTATTATAAAAAAAATAATAAATTATTTATTTTATATATTTTTAAAATTATTTTTATTTTATGTGTATGAGTGTATTGCCTGCATGTATGTGAGTGCACTCATTAAAGATAATGAAATTGCTTTCTTTGAGGCAAACTGCAGCTGGTTAGACGTAATCTGTGAGGCTCACAGGGAATATCTGGCTTTCTCTTGGACACATGACAGCTATCTTTTTGGGGGGCAGACTTTTTGGAGACAGGTCTCCCTGTAGCCCCTGCTGTCCTGGAACTCATTATGTAGACCAGGCTGGCCTCAAACTTACAAAGATCCACCTGCCTCTGCCTCCCAAGTGCTGGGATTAAAGCATTCTCCACCATGCCCGGCCTTATTATTAAATTTTTTAACAGTTGTATCACTGTAGGAAAACATTGCCTTTCCTGGAAAAAATTTTAGGTGCTATTTATTTATTTTTCATGCATACCAATCCTTTCAGGATTCCTATCTGCAGCCTCATAGGATTACCTGACACTCTGTAGCTCCTTGCCTTTGTAGAGAATGTTTTAACTTACTCTGCATGCCAAACAATTTGAGGTGTGTTCTATAATCCCACCAAGCTTTCTACTTTCTGAGAACTGACCACTGGCTCTTAAAAAAATCTTTGCTGAGGGACTTTTTTCAAAGGAGAGGGAGCAAGAAGTGTAAGAACTTGAAAAAATTTTGATTTCCTAAAGGTGAAGACTGTGTTTGGGTTTGTTTTTATTGCTCAGAACCCCTGTTGAGTTCCCTCCTGCGTAGAATGCCAGAATTGGAGACGCTGGAGATTATGAAGTTGGTGAATTGCCCTGAGACCTTCACACCAGACATGAAGTGCATCATGGGCGAGTCTCCTGTAGTACAGGGCTATTTTGTCCTGGCAGGGATGAACTCTGCTGGCTTGTCCTTGGGTGGAGGAGCTGGAAAGTAAGTCTTTTTTCCCCAGTCACCTGTGGACATACTGGTTTGCCAGACTTCCTCCCTTCCCAGGTTATTTGTTGTTAATGTATTCTATGACATTTTTAGCCAGATATTAATGTTAATATGATTTGAGAATTGTTGCCATCAAAGTAATCACTATGGAACACTCTCCCCATATTCCCAAACTGTTATTGTTATAAAATATTTTAGGATTTCATCATTCAGAGTTGGCCATAGAACCTGTAGGTTTTGTTTTGTATTTTTCAGTTGTAACAAATGGTGGGGTTTTGTTTTTGTTTTTGTTTTTGTTTTTTGTCTTTTTGAGACAGGGTCTCCCGGTAGCCCCAGCTGGCCTGGAACTAGCTGATCTTGAACTCATAAAGATCTGCCTGCCTCTGCCTGCGGAGTGCTGAGATTAAAGGTGTACACCAGCATACCCAGCTCAAATGTGGGTCTTGAGAGCATGTATGTGAAATTAGAAATAGTCAACTGTGGTGAATGAAATAGGCAGTCAGACTGCGAAATAAAAATTTTTAGTAAAAAATAGATACCAATAAAAATAAGCCAGTCACAGAAAGATATAAATACTATACAATTGCATTTATGTGAGGTAGCGTAGTCATAGAGACAGAATGAAAAATCATGGTTGCCAGGGAGGAGAAGGTAGGGAGTTACTGTTAAGGAGGTATGGCATTTCAGTTTTGCAAGAGGAAAAGAGTTTTGGAGATGGATTGCAGTACTGGCTGCACAATAATGTGAATGTACTCAATGCCACTGAATGAACCACACACTTCAAAATAGTTGAGCAGTTGGGTTTGGTGGTATATCCCTATAACCCTGGCACTTGGGAAGTAGAGGTAGGAAGATGAAGAGTTTATTATTATTCTTAGCAACATGGTGAGTTTGAGGCTAGCTACTGCTACCCAAGACCTATTTTCAGGAAAATCAAAATTTTAAAACATCTTAAAAAAAAATTTTTTTTTTAATTATGTGTATGTGTGGGAATCTGCATGTGAGTGCAGCAGGTGCCTGTGGAGGCCAGAGGTGTCAGATCCCATGGAGCTGGGGTTACAGGTGGTTGTAAGCCAACTGATAAACTTGAGTTCTCTGCAAGAACAGTATGTACTCTTAACCCCTGAGCCATCTCTCCAGCCCCCAGAAGTGAAAAAGGATTGATTATCTGGGTGTGGTGGCACATGTTTGTATCACAGAGAAAGGAGGGTTATAGTGAGTTCCAGGCCACTCTGGACTACACAGTGATTTCCAGATAAGCCTGGAATAAAAGTGAGAACCTGCCTTAAAAACAAAAATAAGCCAGGCATGGTGGGACATGCCTTTAATCCCAGCATTCGGGAGGCAGAGGTGGGTGGATCTCTGTGAGTTCAAGGCGAGCATGGGGCTACAGCAGCTGGGGCTACAGGGAGACCCTGTCTCAAAGATTTTTTAATTTAATTTATTTATTTTGGTCTTTTTGAGATTAAAGGCATGGGCCACCACACCCAGATTCAAAAAGATTAAAAAATAATAATAATAACCAACAACTAAACAAGAAAACCAACCCCTTCCTCCCCAAAACCAAAAACTAATTTATTTTAGCTTTTTATATTTTAAAATATATTTGCATGTATTTTGTGCTAGAAAATAATTTAATAGACTATGGTTTATAGATATGCGTTGATGGCATATAGAACTTAATTTTTTTAGATTAATTTGTTTGTGTATGTGAAAGGAGGGAGGGAGGGAAGGAAGGAGGGAGGGAGGGAAAGAAAATGTGAGTGCAGCAGGTGCCTGTGGAGACCAGGGGTAGTGGATCCCCTCGGAGCTGGAGACACAGGCAGTTGTGAGCTGTCTGACATGGGTGCTAGGAACTGAACTTGGGTCCTCTACAAGAGCAGTATGTGCTCATAAATGCTGAGCCATCTTTCCGGCCTCCCCTAATGTTTTCTTAATTCTTTAATATTGAAATATTTTTAGGTTACATAGTTCATTTGTGGGTTTTTTTTGTAATTATGACAAATCTCCAGTTTAAAAAAAAATCCATATGTAAATGTATCTGTGCAGTCCACACACCTGTTGTTCAAATATCAACTGTATATTATAATTTTAAAAATTTACTTGTAGAAAGCTGGTGAGATGGCTTAGCAGGTAAAGGTGCTTGGTGTGTAAGTCTGACAACCTAAGTTTAATATCAGGAACCCATATAAAGGTGGAAGGATTTCTCCTACTCTACAAAGTTGTTCTTCGACCTTCACAAGCCACCCCCACCCCCGTCATGCACCCATACACTCAGTAATAAAGAATTTCTTAACTAATGAAGCTAGTATTCTTGAGTAATGAAGCCAGTATCTTATAGAATGACTCTGAAAACACAGAAGAGTTCCCAGAAATATTTGGAGGGAAAATATGGTCAGATAACTGTATAATACCCAGGTGACTGTTTTATAGGAAACCTGGATATATAAATTAGAGTATATTTTTAATACATTTTAGCCTTCTTCGTAGATGTGATTTGTATTGTAAATACTTTTTAGGGAGTCCTGTCATTAGAATTAAAATTTTCATAGTGGTTCTATGAGAACAGTATTTGGATCCATGTTTGTTTGTTCCAGAAAATGTAAGGAAATTGTCCAGAGTTGTACAACTGCTTGTGACAGTGTAGGCTCTTTTGTATATCATATCTGAGACCCAACAACTTTTTCTCCCCATCTAAACAGATACCTTGCTGAATGGATGGTATATGGGTATCCCTCTGAAAATGTCTGGGAATTGGACTTGCAACGCTTTGGAGCCCTCCAGAGCAGCCGTACCTTTCTGCGCCACCGGGTCATGGAAGTTATGCGTAAGTGTACTTTTATCCCAATTGCATGGAGCTGCAGGTGTCTTTAAAATGGCCTATTTTATTATTCCAGTGGTCAGGTTTTTCCTTAGTTCTCTAATAACTGCTTTGAATTGGGCTTCTGATGTGTGAAGAGGACTTAGCCCTGTCTGATAATTAGGGAACATTTTTAGTGTATTGGGCCTTAGTAACTTCTAGGACTTATAGCTGGTGTGTAGTAGCTTCCTGTGTGTTCCTAGCAGTGCATCCTATTCAGTTGACCTGAAATGCTCTATCACTTCCTACCTAGGTTTTGAGATTATTGTTTTGCTTTTTTTGAGATGGAGTTTTTTAGAATCTACGCTGTCATTTAACTTGCTATATTGGTTAAGCTGGCCTTGAACTCCTGATCTTCCTGCCTTTGCCTCCCAAGCTCTGGGATTAGAGGTGTGTGCCACCATGCCCTGGCTTCTCATTGTTTTCTTTCTTTTTGTGGTGCTTAGGATTGAACCCAGGGCCTTCGGCATACTAGTAGACAAGTTTTCTATCACATCTCCAGCTCTCATTCACTGTCTCTCTCCTCCCTCCCTTATTCCCTCTTTCCTTCTTTACTTTTTAAAAATATTTATTACTGTCTGGGGCTGGAGAGATGGCTCAGTGGTTAAGAACCTTGGCTGTTCTTGCAGAAGACCCAGGTTCAAATCCCAGTACCCACATGGCAGCTAACAACTGATCGTAACTCTAGTTCCAGGAGATCCAACAGCCTCTTCTGTCCTCCACAGGCATTGCACGACACGGGTGCACTTACCTGTGCACAGGCAGTACACACATACACATAAAATAAAAATAATAAAAAAAATTTAAAAATTAATCTAAAAATATTTATTGTATGTGATTGTGTGTATGATGTATTTGGGGGTGCATGTGCTACAGTGCAGGTACAGTGCAGTTGTCAGAGGACAACTTTGTACAGTTGGTTCTTCTCCTGTTACCTAGATTCCAGAGACTGAATTCAGATCATCAGGTATGTGTTGCAAGTGCTTTTCCCTACTGAGCCACCTCACAGGGCACTCAGTTTTCTCTCTAAGGCAGTGGATTTGCCCAAGTATCTTTAGAGCTTAGAATTCTGAGTTACCTTTACTGATAGTTGTCCATGTTATGTACTGGCAAGACAAGAGAATACTTCTAATGCAAATACATTCTCCTGGTTTCTCCCTCTTCCTGACTTTGAAAGTTGGCTTGGTTATTCTATCTAGCTTTATTTTTCAGAAGTAACATTTTAGAAATACCTTCCTTCCTCCCTCCCTCCCTCCCTCCCTCCCTCCCTCCCTTCTCCCTTCCTTTCTTCCTTCCTTTCTTCCTTCCTCTCGCTCGCTTTTATTTTTGTGTGTGATAGTCTCCCTGTAGCCACAATTGGCCTAGAGCTCTCTATATAGACTAGGCTGGTCTTGATCTTGAAGACATCTCCCTGCCTCTGCCTTCTGAGTGCTGGGGTTAAAGGTGTGTGCCACCATGCTGAGCTTCCGTCCTTTTTTTTTGTTTTGAAGTTTTTACTTTGAGATAGGGTGTTGCTAGTTTGCCTAGACCTGGCATGGCTTGAACCCATTTGGTAGCCCAGGCAGTCTTGAATTGTCAGGACTTGAATTCTTAAACCTCAGCCATCCAAGTAACTGGGATTATATGCCTGTGCTATCAGGCCCAGCTGATAGACTGCTGTTGTCTGTTCTAGCTTTAATGTACGATCTGAAGGTTCCCCGTTGGGACTTCCAGACCGGTAGACAGTTGCGAACATCTCCTCTTTATGACCGGCTAGATGCACAAGGAGCCAGGTGGATGGAAAAACATGGATTTGAGAGGGCAAAGTTCTTTGTTCCACCCAACAAAGGTAAGAACGTCTCATTTTTTTCTTTTTTTAACTTTTCTGTTTTTATTTATTTGTGTGTGTGTGTGTGTTTTAAATTAATTAATTAATTTGTTTTTTGTCTTTTTGAGGCAGGGTCTCCCTGTATGTAAACCAGGCTGGCCTTGAACTCAGATCTGCCAGCCTCTGCCTCCCAAGTTTAAGTCCCAAGATTAAAGGTGTGCACCGTCAATGCCTGGCTCTAAAATATACTTATTTTTATTTTATATGTATGAGTATTATGCATGAGTATACGTAAGTGCACCTGTGTCGTGCAGTCTTGGAGGACACAAAAGGTGTGATTTCTCCTGGAACTGGAGTTATGGACAGTTGTTAGCCACCATGTGGTGCTGGGATTTGAACCTAGTCTTCTACTAGAACAGCCTGTGCTCAGGTCTGCTTGTTTTTTTTTGAGATAGAGTCATACTTTGTAGCCCTGGTTGGCCTGGAACTCAGTGTATAGACCAGGCTGGCCTCGGACTCAATAGGGATCTGACTGCCTCTGCCTCCCAAGTGCTGGGATGTCTTCTAGGCTGTACCAAACTATGTTGGGAACCCTCAGTATCAGTACTCTTTTTCTTTCTACTTTTTTTTTTTTTTTTTAATTTCATAGACCTTCTTCCATTAGAACAGAGCAAGACTTTTTACAAGCCAGACTGGTTTGACATCGTGGAGTCTGAAGTCAAGTGCTGTAAAGAAGCTGTGTGTGTTATTGACATGTCTTCTTTCACAAAATTTGAAATAACAGTAAGTATTTGGGAGCCAAAATAACAGATTGGGGAAAAAAATAGCAGATTGGAAAACTTTGCCTACTAATTGAATACCTGGGTTTTTTGGTTTTTTGGTTTTTTTTGTTTGTTTGTTTATTTTATGTGCACGAGTAACTGGTTTACCTGCATGTTTGTAAGTGCACCATATGTGTGCAGTACCTCTGGAGGCCAGAGGAGGGTATTGGATTCCCTGGAACTGGAGTTACCAACCATTGTTAGCCACTGTGTGTTTGTTGGAAACCAAACCTGGGTCTTCTGCAAGAGCAGCCAGTGCTCTTAACCACTGAGCCAACTCTCCAGTCCATTGTTTTTTGTTTGTTTGTTTCTGTTTGAGACAGGGTCTCCCTGTAGCCCCAGCTTGCCTGTCACTATGTAGTTCAGGCTGGTCTTGGTATCACAGAGGTCTGTCTGCCCCTGCCTCCTGAGTGCTGGAACTAAAGGCGTATACCACCATGCCCAGCATTCAACCCTGTTTTTTTTTCAGTTTTTTTTAATTTATTTTGTGTGTGTGTGTGTGTGTGTGTGTGTGTTGCTTGCATGTAGGTATGTGCACCTGTATTGTGCAATGCCCGAAGAGGTCAGAAGAAGGTGTCAGATCCCTGGGAATTGGAGTTACAGACTGTTGTTAGCCACCATGTGGGTGCTGGGAATTGAACCCAGGTCCTCTGCCAGAGCAGTCAGTGCTCTTAACTGCTGAGCCATATTTCTAGCCCCTCAGCTCTGTTTTCTTAGCTGTCACTTCAGAACTGATTTCTGAAAAAATTCTACAGTGTTTCATCTGAATAATCACATTTTTTCCTGAAATTTTAGCTCCTTATGTTTAGTTTTAAATTTCCCTAGAAAGGCTCATTTTTTGTAAGAATTGATAACTTGCTTTCTTTGTGGCTTTTTGAAGGAGATTAAACCTGCAAATACTGTCATATGGTGGTTGTCTCATTGAATTTTCTCAGCATAGTGCAGTGCTGGATGATTATGCTATCTGTCAGGTGCTTTTGTGTTTACTATCCATGCCTCATTCCTTTGCAGTCCACTGGGGATCAGGCATTAGAAAGTCTGCAGTACCTTTTTTCCAATGACCTGGATGTGCCTGTGGGCCATATTGTGCATACTGGTATGCTCAATGAGGATGGAGGGTATGAGAATGACTGCAGCATTGCACGCCTGAACAGGCGCAGGTAAGCTGAGCTGCCACCCCCTCTCCTCTTCCTTCCAGCATGAAGGGAGCAGAGCTGAGCACCCAACACTTTTGCAGGAGCCCATAGTCCTAGGGTCTGGGAAAATGGTCCATGAACTCCTGCCCAAATAGAGTCAGCTCTAAACAAATCAACCAGGGAAACAAAGAAACCCAAACTGAATGTGGTGGCTCATGCCTATATTCTGAGGAAGCTAAGGCAGAATGATTACTAACCTGGGTTACAAATGGAGTTCCAAGCTACCCTGGGCTATAGACTTGAGTTTGACCTTGTCTTAAATCAAAACGGAAGGTACCTGGACTATGTAAAACTGAAATGTAAAAATTACTCTAGCCAGGTGTGGTGGCGCACGCCTTTAATCCCAGCACTCGGGAGGCAGAGGCAGGTGGATCTTCTGTGAGTTCAAGGCCAGCCTGGTCTCTACATAGTGAGTTCCAGGACAGCTGAGGCTACAGGGAGACCCTGCCTCAAAAAGACAAAAAAAAAGTTACCCTAATGGGAGAGGATTCTTTAGCTCATGGTCTAAGCCTGTATTATTCTGTTGTTATTGGCATATAGTGGAGAATGGTAAACTAGCTCTCCCTGAAAGTTAAGAGATTTTCCAGCCAGACGTGGGGGTGCACACTTTTAGTCCCAGGACTCAGGCAGCAGAGGCAGGCAGATCTCTGAGTTCTCCAGGTCAGCTGGGGCTACGGGGAGACCGTGTCTCAAAAAGACCAAAAACAAGAGATTTTTCCCCCAGTTTTCTTAAAAGTCGAGTGGTTCCTGATTATTTTTCTGCTTCCTAGCTTTGATTACTTTTGGGGCCTCATTTTCAGTTTCTTCATGATCTCTCCAACTGATCAGCAGGTCCACTGTTGGGCCTGGCTTAAGAAATACATGCCAAAGGACAGCAACCTGTTGCTGGAAGATGTCACTTGGAAATATACAGGTAATGGGGCCTTGTGGGGTCAGCCTAGTGAGGAGGCAGATTCATCTGTCTTCTACATATGCCTTCTTTATATTTGACTTTTACAAATGAGTGTCAGAATTAGTGTTAAAGAGACACTCTGGTCATAAAAATTGATCTTTCAAGGCCAGGCCTGGTGGCGCACACCTTTAATCCCAGCACTCGGGAGGCAGAGGCAGGCAAATCTCTGTGAGTTCAAGGCCAGCCTGGTCTACATAGTGAGTTCCAGGACAGCTGGGGCTATAGGGAGACCCTGTCTCAAGACCCCCCCCAAAATCTTTTAAAATCACCTCTATATTCATGAAATCTAGTGAGTTAATCCTTCAGCTTCTGTTTATTTGTTTATTGCTAAATTTCCCTACATCTAGCATGTAGGAGTCCAAGTATTTGTAGAATGACTGACTAATCAAAAAAAAAAAAAAAAAAAAGCCAGGCCTGGTGGCGCATGCCTTTAATCCCAACACTCGGGAGGCACAGGCGGGGGGATCTCTGAATTTGAGGCCATCCTGATCTACATAGTGAGTTCCAGGCCAGCTGGGGCTACAGGGAGACCCTGTCTCAAAAAGACCAAAATAAATAAATAAAGACAGGCTAGGTATGGTGGTGCACATCTTTAATTTCAGCACTGGGGAGGCACAGGTAGGTGGATATTTGTGCCTTCCAGGCTAGCCTATCTGATCTACATAGTGAGTTCCAAACCACCCATGGATACACACACAGTCAGACTCCCAGAGAGGAGGAGGGGAGAGGAGGGCTAGCATGGATCTCACTGTATAGCATAGGCCGGCGTCAACAAGCTCCAATTGATAAGGCTGGCAAGATGGCTCAGAGGGTAAAGGAACACACTGCCTAAGCCTGACAATCTGAGTTTGATCCCTGGGACCTACATGGTAAGGTGAGAACTGACTCCTGCAAGTTGTCCTCTGAACTCCACATGCACACTGTGGCACATGTCTACTTGCTCACATACATATGTACAAAAGAAATAAGTAAATAAGAAATGTAATAAACAACAATGGCAAACTCCTTGTAGTCTTCCTACTTCAGGCTCAAAAGCTGGGATTGTACCATGCTCCCTCCCATTTTTAGTGAGTAGTAACGTTCTGATTAACTCTTTATGTGGCAGTACTGATGGGAGCAGCACCTCCTTTCCTACCACTCCATTCCAGGTTTAACCCTTTATTCCTTACATAACCCCTGCCATTCATCTTACCTGAGACCCTACCGGTTGTGATTGATGTCTTGCTGTTAGGTTGTCAGAATACAGAATATTACTGAACACTAGTTGTGTTCTAGCCTGTACTACAGCGCTTAAATGTATAATTCACAGAAGCTGCTGTCACAGGTGGCAGAGTTGAGGGTGGGTAGATAGCTCTCCTCCAGGTCCTGATTTGGTATTGGGACTACTTCTCTCATGTAGTCACACTGGGAAGAAGAGAAACAACTGTATGGTGAGGGTACATGGCCAGGTGTGGAAGTGTTCTGATGACCAGGACTTGATCTCATGACCCTAATCTCACTGCAGAGGAGGCTATAAAACATTGTCTTCTGTAAAACAGGGAGAGGAGCCACACTAACCAAGCTGTTAACACCAGCACAGTCAGCAGTTGCATTTACTAAGCCTGTTGTCAGAGGTATGTACGCTACAGCCCAGGTGCTTAGCACTCATCCTTGGATTGCCTAAGCAAAGGAACAAGTTAGTGGTCTCACCAGCTAGGCCTGGCCATGTTAGTGTTGATGCCAGCTTGACAACATCTAGCATCCTCTGAAAGATGGGCTTCTAAGCATGCCTGAGGGGGGTTATCTTAAGTTAATTGCAATGGAAAGACTTGCCCATTATGGGTGGCACCATTCCCTGATGGGGATCCTGGACTATATAAACGGTGAAAGGGAACTGAGCAGCCCATTCCCTGATGGGGATCCTGGACTGTATAAACAGTGAAAGGGAACTGAGCCAAAGCATGCATCCATCTCTTTCTGTTTCCTGTTTGTGGGTGCGATGTTGAAACACTAGGTGTTTCAAGCTCCTGCTGCCTTGACTTCACCATCATGATGGACTGTACCTTGAACTGTGAGCTAAAATAAACCTTTTCTTCCTTAAGTTGCTTTTGGTAGGGTGTTTTATCACAGCAACAGGCAAAGAAACAAAGACAGTGGACAAATCTAGAAGAGTCCTTTTCAAGACGAGACCAGCTCAGTTGTTCTTCTGGAGAGGCTGGACATCTCTTTCTTTTTTCTTTAGCCCTCAATCTGATTGGCCCTCGAGCTGTAGATCTGCTCTCTGAGTTATCCTATGCCCCTATGACTCCAGACCACTTCCCAACTCTGTTTTGCAAGGTAGGTGCTAGTAACTTCTATTTACTATATATGATGGGGGGGGGGGTTTCATGTATTGGAGCCTGGCCTCAAACTTTCTGTCTAGCTGAGGATGACATTGAACTTTGTATTCTCTTGCCTCTGCCTCCCAAGTGCTGGGATTACAGGTGTGTACCATCATACTTGATTTACTTGATGTTGAAAATCTGACCCAGAACTTCTTGTATGTTAGGCAAGTACTCTTATCAACTGAGCCACATCACCAAACAGTTCTGTTTTTAAAAGGCAGAGATTCTTTCTTTTATAGTGGTGGCAGATTCCTATTCTTGTATTGACATCAACAAAGTGTTCTGACCTTTATTAAGCAAGAAAAATTGACCAAGTTCATTTATTTCCCATCTTTCAAGCTTTATTTTTTATTTTTATTTAATTTTTGGTCTTGAGACAGGGTCTCCCTGTATGTCCAGCTGGCCTGGAACTCATAGAGATCTGCCCACCTCTGCTTCCTGAGTGCTGGCATTAAAGGTGTGTGCCACCGCGCCTGGCCTCAAGCTTTATTTTAATAAGCATTAGGATATCTTTGACTTCTCTGAATGTCAGGCCTGTACATTTATTAGTTCCTGTAGTAGTGGATTAAAATTTTAACACAAAAAGGTAAAAGTATGTTAAGGTTAGATTCTTTCTCCCTAGTTTTGTTTTGCTCTGGTCTTTTTGAGACAGGGTCTCCCTGTAGCTTCAGTTGCTATGTAAACCAGGCTGGTCTTGAACTCACAGAGATCCACCTGTCTCTGCCTCCCTCTTCTGACCTCTTCAGGCATTGTACGACACGGGTGTACCTACCTACACGCAAGTAATACACTCATACACATTAAATAAAAATAAAATAGCCGGGCGTGGTATCCCATGCCTTTAATCCCAGCACTTGGGAAGCAGAGGCAGGTGGATCTTTGTGAGTTTGAGGCCATCCTGGTCTACATGGTGAGTTCCAGGACAGCTGGAGCTACAAGGAGACCCTGTCTCAAAAAATACAATAAATAAATAAATAAAAATTTTTAAAAAAAGAAATGGTATAGAACATAACGTTCTTTCCCATAAGTGACCACTGTAACTGCCTGATACATACTGTACCTCAGTCAGAACAACAGCTGAATGCTGTCTGGGAAGCAGCCAGGCAGCCATTCTGGAAACTTGTAATACGCCGCTGCTCTGTGGGCTCTCTGAAGTTCAGGCTACATATAGGACTTCCACCTGCAGATTGATAGTTTTCCCTGTTTTCTGACAGGGAGAGAATTCTCCATGTTAGTCTAAGGAGATCCTCCACAGCCTTCTCTGCTTATAGGAATGATAATGCTTGTGCCTGGTGAGTGCCACATCATGTCAGGCTTCTTATAGAACAGGCTTCTTTCAGTGCCGCCTGAGACTCAGCACTTCCCTTTATAGGCAGTGATTGAGTCAGTGACCCTGGGTAGTAACTGAGCTGCTGTAACATGCTTTGAACATAAAGTGGATCTCTGTTCCTGGATACATGAATTATGTCCTGTGGGGATCGTCTTTTGTGTGGCAGGTGCCTGGGGTTTGTTGGCAGAATCTTCCAAAGAAGACATTTGTTTAGTCTTCATTGTTCTAGATCTCACTTGACTAACACAAGTCTTTACCATGATTTGATAAAGAAAAAAAAAAATTTTATGCTTAATAATGTGCCAGCATCCCTCAGAGCTTGCCTGAAACAGGAAGTGATAATATTCTAGAGAAGAGATGGACAGTCTGTATTCCCTTTTCAGGATGAAACGCTTTCCTTGCCCCCCTCAAGGCAATCAGTCTCTTGATCAGCATGAGGGACTTCTGCTGACTACTTCCTTTTTCTTTGCAGGAGATGAGTGTGGGCTATGCAAATGGGATCCGGGTGATGAGTATGACTCACACAGGAGAGCCAGGATTCATGCTTTACATCCCCATAGAGGTAAGAGGGCCCAATCTGTCTTTCCCAGGACTTCAAAGCAGTTTCTTAAAATTCCTGAGCACTGCCAGATTTGGAGTTCTATATCTCATTGGGTCTTGGACAGACTTCATGGAAGAGATTTCATAATTTTTTTCTTTTTAGTCTTTTTTGAGACGGTTTCCCTGTAGTCCCAGCTGGCCTGGAACTCACTATGCAGACCAGGCTTCTGCCTCCCGATTGCTGGGATTAAAGGCGTGGGCTACCATGCCCAGCCCATATTTACTTTTTTACATCTACACAGTTTTACATTTGAGCTCTCACCCAGATGGACCAAAGAGCAAGGGGTCATGACCTATGTACTCTTAACCTTTACCCGCCTTGTTTATTAAGAAAGATTTTGTTAAAGTCAGATGAAAGGAAGGAAGGACAGATGCAAAAATGAGGCTCTTAGATTACCGAAATACACCTGGTCGTGTTAAGTTCAACTCTACAGTTTTTCCCCCCTTAAATCATTGAACAGGCAACCCAAGCCCAATTCTTTTAGTCTTCTTTTATCCCTAATGGCAACCAAAGGACTTAGGCCGTTGTGCCTCTGCCCAGGTTTCCTAAGCAACCCCTGTAACCCTGCGGGTAAAGAAATGCCACTTTCCCGCCTGCCAGGTCCAGGGCATGGTGGTGCACACCTTTAATCTCAGCACTCGGGTCGCAGAGGCCAGTGGATCCCTCTGAGTTCAAGACCAGCCTGGGAGACCCTGTCTCAAAAAGACCAAAAGAAAAAAAAAATCCCCATTTCATTTTAAAATACAGTTTCATACAGAAAAACTCATTTTTAATGCAACTAACAGATGTTTGCACATGCATCTCCAATCTCTATATATTTAATTATTACTATTCAGTCAGTTTCTGAGATCCTTGGCACCTGAGCATGGATATAAAGTCATCAATGGTAATATTTTTCACATCTATTAATTAACATGAAACCAATTTTTATGCTGCTTCCTCAAATATTTTTTTTCAAATATCTTATATTGTGTGTGTGTTTCATACAGAACATCCAAAACAATCTTATTCATCTAAATATTTGCATCCCAAATTGCACCCTCCCATAGCTCACCCCCCATCCGAGCCCATATACTCTGTCATCCCTGTTACTGTCCACTGTGTTGTCAGTGCCCCCAGCTGTTCCCCAGTGCTTGTCCATCTGCTGAGTCTAGTCAGCCTATCTAGAGTTCCTTGTTTTAGGAAGATCAGCTCTTTCTCATCTAGCAGCAATCAGTTGTCTGGCCCTATCTTTAAAATTTTGAACTGATGTCCATTATTTGTGCTGTGGTGTACATGCAGGAACACACAGTAAAATGTGCAGAATTTTACTTATAGAAAAAGCTTATAGAATGTGCCTCAAAATGAGGGCAGTAATTAGTTTTCATGAGGGATTTTGTTGTATTGAGACAGGGTCTCCCTGTAGCCCCATCTGGAGCTTACTATGTAGACCAGACTGACCTTGAACTCAACAGAGATCGCCTGCTTCTGTCTCCTGAGTGCAGGGATTAAAGGCATATGCCATCACAGGATTTTTAAATTTTATTTGTATGAGTGTAATGCCTGCCTGCATGTAGGTGGGTGCACCTGTGTCATACAATGCCCAAAGAGGTCAGAGAGGGCATTGGCTCCCCCAGAACTGGAGTTACAGATGGTTGTTAGCTACCATGTGGGTGCTGTGAGTTGAACCTGGGTCCTCTGCAAGAGCAGCCAGTGCTTTTAACCGCTAAGCCATCTCTCCTGCCCCCCCCCTTAATTTTGCAGTTTTTAAAGCGAACAGTATGATTTTTGTTGGACTTTTAAGAGTATGTTTAGATATGAATTTACTTTGTTTGGAAAACCTTTTATGGTCTTCCTGAGATAGGGTCTCCCTGTAGCCTGGAACACTCTACATAGACCGGCTGGCCTTGAACTGAGATCCACCTACCTCTACCTCCCAAGTGCTGGGATTAAAGGCATGCGTCCCCACCACACCTGGCTTGGAAAACCTTTTTTTAAAATGTGTTTTTGGAACCAAGAAAGAGCTCAGACTGAGAGGCTGGATTTTTGTGAGACACAGTGTATTATTCTGTTGCTGTGAGAAAACATTGTGACCAAGGAAACTTATAAAAGGGAGAGTTTATTTAGCATACAGTTCCAGATGGGTAGAGTCCATAATGGCATGGCAGCAGTGGTGACCAGAACAAGCAGCAGAGTGACTGGAGATCTGGCAATGTTTAAGAACTGTCAAAGCCCATCCCTAGTGACCTGCTTCCTGTAGCATGGCTACTTGCTCTAAGACCTATCAAAACCGTACCACAAACTGGGGACAAAATGTCCAAATTCTTGGAGCCTATGAGGGACATTCTCATTCAAACCATCACACATGGATAGTTGCACTGTTTTCTTGGCTCCTCTGTGACTTGTTCTTATGTGTGGCATTAATGTGTACATGTGCAGGACAAAGGTCCGTGTTAGGTGTCCTTTGTTGTTGTTCACCTTATCTTAAAATTTTATTGTGTATGAGTGTATTGCCTGTATATAAGTTTTCCTGTGTTGTGCAATACCCCTGGAAGTCAGAAGAGGATATTAGATTACTTAGAACTGGAGTTACAGGCAGTTTTGATCCTCCATGTGGGTGCTGTGACCTGAAACTGGGTCCTCTATGAGAGCACTAGTGCTTTTAAGACTGAGCCATTTCTTCAGCCTGTACCTTAGTTTTTGAGGCAAGGTCTTAATGAACCTGGAGGCCATTCATTTGGCTAGACTGGCTGACCAAAAAAATTCCAGAGATTTGCCTGTCCCTGCCTACTCAGCACTGAGATTATAGGCATACGGTGCTGTGCTGGGCTTTTTTGTTTACATGCTAGGGGTCAGAACTCAGGTCCACTCGTTTTCATGGCAAACACTTTACAAACCAATTTTCCATAGTCTGCCTTATTCTAGGTTACAAATGTCCTAACAGTTAACTACAGTATAGTGCCCATTATAGGACATTTGTAATCCTATAGTTATACAGTGTGTATGAAAAATGGGATATAGGGGCTGGAGATGGTGCAGTGGTTAAGAACACTGGTGGTTCCTGCAGAAGACCCAGGTTTGAATCCCAGCACCCAAATGGTGGCTAACCACCATCTATAACTCCAGTTTCAGGGGCTCTGACACCCTCCTCTGTCCTCTGCGGGCACTGCATGGGTGCACTTACATACATGCAGGCATACACTCATACACTAAAAAAGAATGTCTGAGCTTGGATTTTGACAGGGTAGCAAAAATTGGGGAACTGGAGCAAGAAAACAAAGCCAGAACTAGATGAAGACTATGGAGGGTGATGGGCTTGTTTTAGAAATGTGAGACTGGGTGTGGTGGCGCAAGCCTTTAATCCCAGCACTGGGGAAGCAGAGGCAGGTGGATCTCTGAGTTCAAGGCCAGCCTGGTCTACATAGTGTGCTCCAGGCCAGCTGGGGCTAGAGAGAGACCCTGTCTCAAAAAGACCAAAAAGTTACTTGCTACGTAATGAAATGAAAGGTAAGGATCACAGGTTTGGATGACCCCAGCTAGTTACTGATGGGCTCTTACACAATGGCTTGAGGACTTTTGTGCAATCTCTTGTTCTTGTTGGTTCTGTTACTCATCACCTCCAAATGTAATCATGATTCAAGAATCTGCTGGTTCCTAACTTTTCCTCTCTCCCCATAGTATGCCCTGCATATCTACAATGAAATGATGAGTGTTGGGCAGAAATATGGAATCCGGAATGCTGGGTATTATGCTCTTCGAAGTCTCCGAATTGAGAAATTTTTTTCCTTCTGGGGTCAGGATTTAAACGCCCTCACAACCCCCTTGGAATGTGGAGGAGAATCTCGGGTGAAATTAGAGAAGGTACTGTTTATCCGGACCCCACTGTGGCACTGTCTTTTGATCAGTGTGATCTGTCTGGGATAGGAAGAGCTGACAGCAGGAAAGGTGGAGAATTAGGATTACAGTGTCCTCAGGATGGGAAACTTACCTGTGGGACGCACATTGTCATGTGAAATCACAATATCCTGACAACACTTTTACATATTTGGCTCTCCAGAAGATGGGAGAACTTTGGCAGAAGTTTTTGAGTTGATAGTGGTCCTTCATTAATCTGCCACAAATATTTGTCCAAATAAGTCATCTTACAGTGAGCTGCCTGTGGTTGAAGCCTCCTGAGTGTTAGGGACCTAATTTGTATAATTTAAGAGCAGTATTCACTCTTAACCAGCGAGCATGCCATTGCTCCAGTAGTTCAAGAAATTGTTCTGTAAAGAATGAGCTTTGTAGCCAGGCGTGGTGACGCACGCTGCCTTTGATCCCAGCACTCAGGAGGCAGAGGCAGGCAGATCTCTGAAAGTTCAAGGCCAGCTTGGTCTACATAGTGAGTTCCAGGACAGCTGGGCTACAGGGAGATCCCATCTCAAAAAAAAAAAAAAAGTTTATTTTTGTAATGGCAAAAAAACCCCAGAATTATAAATGACCGATACATATTTTACAGATAATCATTGTGTATATGCATTGATACATGGGCTTTGTGTTGAATGCATAAAAACATTTTTCTAAGAACAGTTCTAGCAAATAAATGTAAATTGTATTCTTATGTATGCATGCATGATGTTTATGTGAGGGTGTGCTTACTGAGGTCAGAGGACAAGTTTGTGGAGTTGGTTCTCTTTCACCTTTGCATTGTTTCTGTCCCTAGGCTTATGTAGTAAGCATCTTTACATGGTGAGCCATCTCCCTGGATGTCTAACAAATTTCTTTCTAAATTTCTTAAGTATGTACTTCTATTATTGCTAAAACTTCTTTGTCTTTGTTTTGAAGGCAGTTTTCCACATGGCTTTAAGTATACTATTTTCCACTGAGCATGGTGGCATATGCCCTTAATTCCAGCATTCCACACAGGCAGATCTCTGTGAGCTTAAGGGCAGCCTGCTCTACATACTGAGACCCTGTCTCAAAACAAAATCCCAAAAAACAAAGTTGGGGGATCTCTGTGAGATCAAGGCCAGCCTGATCCACATACCACGTTCCAAGCCAGCTGTGGCTACAGGAAAACCCTGTCTTCCAAAAAAAAAAAAACCCAAACAAGGGGCTGGAGAGATGGCTCAGCAGTTCAGAGCACTGACTGCTCTTACAGAGGACCCGGGTTCAATTCCCAGCACCCACATGGCGGCTACAAACCATCCTTAACTCCAGTTCCAGGGAAATCCCAGACCTCTGAGGCATTGCACGACATGGGTGCACATAAAATAATAAAAAATAGATCTTCCTTAAAAAAAAAAACAAACAAAGACCTCAAATCATTTTCCAAAAGCCAGGGCAGGTGCTATATTCCACTGAAGTTTTTTTTTGTCTTTTTTTTTTTGAGACAGGGTCTTCCTGTAGCCCCAGCTGTCCTGGAACTCACTATGTAGACCAGGCCAGCCTTGAACTCAGCGATCCGCCTGCCTCTGCCTCGAGTGCTGAGATTAAAGGCGTGTGCCACCACACCCAGCTCCACTGAAGTTTTTGACCCCTCCTCCCTTGCTTCACATGCCAAGTGCCAGAGTATAGACAAACTAAGATCTTGGTGTTTTTTCCTCTTTCCTAGGGCATAGATTTCATTGGTCGGGACGCGCTGCTCCAGCAGAAGCAGAATGGGGTGTATAAACGCCTTGCTATGTTCATCCTGGATGACCATGACACAGACGTGGACTTCTGGCCCTGGTGGGGAGAGCCCATTTATCGAAATGGGCAGTATGCTGGCAAGACCACCAGTAGTGCCTATAGCTACACCCTTGAGCGCCATGTGTGTCTGGGTTACGTACACAATTTTTCTGAGGACAGTGGAGAAGAGCAGGTGGTGACTACAGATTTCATCAATCGGGGAGAATATGAAATTGACATCGCAGGACAGCGGTTCCAGGCCAAGGCCAAGCTTTACCCGATCACTTCCTATTTCACCCATAAGCGCAGAAAGGATGATGTAGAGCTGAGTGACTTTCATGGGAAGTAATGCCAAGACATCCTCCCATTATCTTACTTTGAGCAGCAGCAGCTTAGAACTGCTTTTTTTCCTGTCCCTGTGCCTCTTTATTGAAGAGTACCTTTGCTCCTCTCGTCTCCAGATATAATTTTTGAACTTGAGTTACTTTTAAACCTTTGCCTTCTAAGACTCTCTTGTCCTTCCATCTTCCTTCATTTTCTTCACCTAATAGTCCATCCTCTTCTTCCACCAGGCTCAAATTCCCAGTGGCCAGCAAGCTTCACTTCTGGAATTGTGTTAAGGTGACAGAGTGATTTTTAAATTCATCTTAAGGCAAGTTGGTGTTACACAGACCTCAGGGCAAAAGTCTATTTCCTTTGAGCTGGACTCCTGTGAGTAACCTAATTTTGGTAGGGTCACTGTGCATCTAACTTAGCTCTTGGAATAGCTTGTGTCTTAGCCAGGCAGATGATTCTGTTCCACTGTGTTGAGAGTTGCCACCTGATACCTCTAATCATCTACCTCACCGGTAAGAGGGATTGCATGGATGTTATCTGTGGTATGGAAGAGACAAGTAATAGTTAATCTGTCACCATCCTCACCCTCTAAACTTGTTCTCAGCTGTTTGAGCCAGGGAAGCCTGCCTTCAGTTTCTTCATCCTCTGCTGATCCGTGTCATGAGGCTGGCCTGATCTCTAGCTGACTAACAAGTCCTCTAGTATTTGAAGGGAAAAACCATGTTAACAGCCTTTGTGTTGCTTTTCCCCAGCAGCCACTGTCTGACCTCAGAAGTGCTGCTTTTCTTTTAGCTATTCTTAGGTCGCTACCCCGGCTTCATTTTCCTCTTCAGGTGACTCCTAGCCTCACTTGTGCAGTCTGCCACCACCCCAGCATTCATTGCCATCCCTTTAGAACAGGGAGACAGTGGGTGGGCTGTCTCAGGTGAGTAAACAAATCTTGTTCATGAGTTCCAGAGAGCTACCAAAGCCCCAGACTACATCCCTGGCATGGAATAAAGCCACACAGGGAGGACTGCTGAGTCCAGTGCATATGATTTAAGGGTAGAGACTACTTTTCTCAGCCCCCCCATCCAGATCCCTAGGAATGGAAAGGGATTTGTACACTTTGGGGGTTCCCCATTCTAAACAGTACTGCTATATTCCTTTGGCGAGACAGTTTAACATTGTAGCCTAGGCTGGCCTCAAATTTGCAGTGATCCTCCTTCCTCAGTCTGAGTGCTGGGTTTACAGGTGTGGTTGACACTTTCTTTTTGGACACAGGGTCTCCCTGTAGCCTCAGCTGGCCTCGAACTCAGGAGAGCCGCCTGCCTCTGCCTCCTGAGTTTAAAGGTGTATCTGTTTTCTAAAGGTAAAACTGCATCTAACACTTAATTTTCTCTTGTACAAACTACCCTAGTCTGGGTTTTTCAAAATCTAAACCACTTTGAGAAGCTTTGATTCAGTTGTAGTTGTTGGTGTCTTGGAAGCATTAGTTCTGCTGTTTTACTTAAAGAATCTTTAAGAACAGCTTTAAAATGATCAGGTTCTTTCTGGCATTTCTGTAGAACCTATTACCATTCAGACTAGCTTTTTCAAGACAGGTATTACCCCCAGTAGGCCACTCCTACTTGGTTATGGAAGCGAAGATTTTGATTGATTTGTTAAAGCATGTAGTTAAGAGGGTTTGCTATTTTGGAGCAAGTGTATATTTAGTGAGCTGAGAGACACTGTTTCCAGGCCAAAGGGAGAAAGGAGAAATGTTTCACTAGAGAGCAGAGCAAGAAAACAGTGAAGGACTGAGGAGAACAAGGGCCAACTACAGGGAATCCCAGCAGGCAGCTGGGCACAACTCCAGGTGTTTGTGCTCTCTACCTGTGGTTGTACTGCTCCACAGCAGTTTGAGTAAATGAAAATTTGGGATTGAATATTGATTGTGCATAGTTACATGGTGACCTAACTGAGTAAATTTACTGTCACATTAGAAATTGGGAAAAAACAGCAACAACAAAAAAAGGCCAACTTGGAGGCAGGCAGATCTCTGAGTTCAAGGCCAGCCTGGTCTACACAGCAAGTTCCAAGCCAGCTGTGGCTATAGGGAGACCATGTCTCCAAAAGACTAAAATAAAATTGGTATATACAACCATCAGTGTTACTCTAATACATTGAGTACATTCAGCATAATTTTGATTCTCTTATGTGTTAATCTTGTTGTTTTATCATCTGTCCTTTTTAAGTAGGGGGAAAACTGCTGAATCTAAAATCACAACATTGGCTTTCCATTAAGTCTTAAGAGGCCTGCTGATGTTGGTGTCTTCCTTTTGAGCCTACAGATAGTGCTTGTCTTGAAAAGTGTGGAGCAGACATTCAGGACTGCTCTGCATGGCTCCCTTTAAGATCATGTTTCTTCAACTGTGATTAGATATTGATCTTCTGGGCTCCCACTTGTTTATCGTGTGCCCTGAAAGAAACTTAATCCTTGGTACTTTATGTCCTTCAAGTCTCCCTTGGTTCATTCAAGCTGGCAGTGTAAATCTCATTTTTCTCCACTATCTCTGATTATGATTTAAGTGCTTTGAACAGACTATTCTGGCTCTAACCTAAAAGCTTTGCCTGTGCTTGGTGTCATAAGCATCTTAGATGGTCAAGAGGGCAGTGCAAACATCTGACCCACCTGTATTAGAGCATTTTGGGTTCCTCATGAGTTCTATCAGGTTGCTGATAGAAATAGGTCCAGAGACATGGCTGAAAATCAAGCATATATCTATCTGCATGGGAGCTTGCCTTTTGTGACAACATATCCTGGGTGAACAGGGTTAGCTCTAACTGATTGTATGTTTCAGCTTTAGGGGGCTGGGTATTTTTTGCTTTCTGTTGTCACATCTACTCTTCACAGGTAAGGTACTCCATGCTCTCTTTGATCTTGGTAGCAATTCAATCTCTCTGAATGAGGAACAGAAAGTATATTGGCCTCTAATAGATTAAGACCTATGGTTGGAAGTATTTAGCTACTTTTTTTTTTTTTTGGACACAGGGTCTCCCTGTAGCCCCTGCTGGCCTGGAACTGGCCTTGAACTCAGATATCTACCTGCCTCTGCTTCCTGAGTACTGGAATTAAAGGTATGTCACCACCATGCCTGGCTGGAAGTTTTTTGTAAGCCTTCTCCTTGAAGTCATTCCCCTTAGCTCCTGCCACTGTTTTTTTGTTTTGTTTTGTTTTTTTTTTTAGCAGTACTGTCATTTGAAATACACTTAAGCTTGCTTTAGAGAGAGTTCCCTCCATGACAGGCATCAAGGGTCAACAGTATCAGTTAGAAATACGCTAGCTCCGCACGGTTCTTTCTGTACACCAAGTGCTGTATCTGCTTGTTCTCCTAGGCTGCCATGTCTAAGAAAGCAACTAAACATGAAAAAAAAGCCTATAGCTCTTAGTACTACACCCTGCTTTTAGGTGGCAGCGGCAGGATGAATGCGAAAGCATGCTTCTCAAAATATGCTTTGTTTTGCTGAAGAGAAGACTCACAACCCCAGTTTCTGTTTCTCCTCTAGCTTACGGACATACTTGCTGGCATCTTGGGGAGAATTTTCTCTTTACAGCCTTGGTACTAGCCCTGGAAGACTGTTCTGGTAGAGCAGTCACAGCACTTTGTAGGGGTGGGCTACAAATTTATCCTCACTTGGCCAAGGTTGTCAGTAGAGGCACTTCACACTCTAAGACACAGCTCTGGTCAACAGTGAAGAATAACCTTCTGCCCTTTGATTTACTGCACTGGCTGCCCTCAAATGTTTATACACACACACACACACAGACACACACACACACACAGGCACACTTTTCTTAAAAAGACTATTCCTCTTGTACTATCTGCAGGGATAGGTTCAGAAACAGGAGAATAGAAATGTGATGTCTGAACTCTTAACTACGTCCTGTGTGCCCGTCAGAAGTGGTGAGTGAACTGTGCGTTGCAAGGTGCTGAGCTGGAAGCCCCGTTTTCATGGCTGTATGGGGCTTTCTCTTGCAGTCCCTCACCATTACCAACAAACATACTGTCTTTCATGAAGACTGAATATTTTGTACACCCTTGCCTTCTCTTGGTCTGTTAAACATTAACAATTTTCCCTGTATAAGATTAAGTTTCTCTGAGGCATTTCTTCATGGGCCTTTTTTTCTCATATTTTGATGCACCTCTTTTTAGTCTTTGCAAACATCTTCTGTCTCTTTGTTTTCCTGTCTGTGATGGACAGGTTACAAGAGGAAAATATTTTTTAACATGTTTCAAAAGATCTATGCCAGGATTTCCTTTGCACACCAAGAACTGATGCTAGGAGCATGTCTTTCTCTTAGCCCAGTTCTAGTGCCTTACACTTCAGAATGTCCAGTGGCAGATGGAGGTAGGAAGATATTGGAATGCCAGTCTGAGTTCTCATCACCCCACATCACCTCTTCTTCCTCAGAATAATCTGGGTGTGGGGTAGAAAGTTCTACAGCCCATTTCATGGAAGGCTTTTCTAGTTGACACTTAACTCTGTAGTCAATGCTTAGGATGTATAAAATGCATTGTAATTAATATAAATTTGTATAAATTTTGCATTTACTGTGCAATTCTGTTCAGCCCCCTTCTGGTCTTGTGCTGTCAGCATGTGGTCCTGAGGACATTCTAGACACTAGAATAAATGAGAAGTTTTTCTCAAGAGAGAACTCTTCTGACTTTGGACACAGGGTGACTGTGCATTTATGGCCAGAATTATTTCTAGCTAGCTGGGTTTCAACTGAGATTTTCATATACTAAGCACATAAATGAATAAAAAGGTGTTTTCATAATTCTTGCCATGTCCAGTTGTGAAATGTCCTTTAACTTGGTTGCCTTCTGAAAGGATAAACACTGTTCATAAAAACCATTCATACTTGTGATAACAAAAGGCTTTGGAAAACATAGACCCATGGCTGGCTGGCTGTGCAGTACTGGCTTGATTGGGAGGAATGAGTACTTTCTTAGGTAAGAATGAACACAGTCCACCACCATGTACATGGTACACCCATGTTTATATAGAAGAGAAAAACAACCCTGTTTGCAAATAACTGCCAAGCCCTTTCCATGCTGAGATCCTGTTGCAGATTTAGCCAGTGGGCTTTTGTTTATCCAACAATTTTTTGCATTGTTCTGTAAGAGAATCCACGGGAGGATTTTACTACTACTACTACTACTACTACTACTACTACTACTACTACTACTTCTTCTACTACTTCTACTTTTTTGTCTTTTTGAAACAGGGTCTCCATGTAGCCTCAGCTGGCCTTGAACTGAGAGATCTGCCTGCCTCTGCTTGGATTAAAGGTGTGCACCACCACATCCAGCCTGGGTTTTATTATTACTTAAATAGCATACCTGGAGACTACACACACTGGTTGGAAACCAGCAGCTCCTCTTGCTCAGATCTTTGTTCCTTCTGGACACTGCCCACCCCCCTGAGGGATGGCTACTATCCAATCCCTAGAATGATATGGCTAAAACATTAATGGGCAAATAAATATGTTCTACAGGACTGATAGCTACCCAATGGGGACACAATGTCACTAGGCAGGTATGGGAACCAACTCTAATTATGGCATTGGTAGAAATACTGACTCTAAACCAGCATGGTAGCACACATCTTTAATCTCAGCACTGGGGAGGCAGAGGCAGGCGGATCTTTGAGAGTTCAAGGCTAGCCTGGTCTACAGAGTGAGTTCCAGGCCAGCTGGAGCCACAGGGAAACCCAGTTTCAAAAAGACAAAAAAAAAAAAAAACCCACAAAACTGACCCTGATCCCTGGAAAATGTAGCTGTCCTCAAGGAACCGGGAACTTGTACACATTCTAAGGGCCGGGGCGGGGGGGGGGGGATCATCTAGAAATACAGGCTACTACTCTAAAGACTTTACTTTTAAGGGGGGAAAGGGAGAGCTGTCCAGAGAAGCTGTTTGCAGGTAGTGGGTCCCTTCCTCTTTCCCATCAACCAGACTAAGTTGCACAGGTGGTACAGGTAAAAAGGATCTCAAAAACGCCCTGCCAACTTAGGAAGCTTTAAAATCTAAGGGGAGGACCCCTAAATACCCCTCAATCTTGAGAAAATACAGTGCTTTTTAAATGATTAGTGATAGAGACAGGACGGCTGGCCTCAAATTTAGAGCGATCCACCCTGCCTGCCTCCTGAGTGCTAGGATTAAAGGTGTGTGCTTCTATGTTTTAATACTTGAACTATTACCTTGCCTCATTTCCCAATCACATACCCACTGTAAAGTGTTTAATGGCAAACACAGATACTGATGCAAAAAACAAAACAAAGTATGTTTTGGCATTTACAAATTGGTTTGATGAAATGAAACCCTATGAACCCATAGTTAACAGTAAATATAGTCCAAAGTAAGTCGAAACGGGGCACTCAAGGATTAAAGCTCTTTAGTTGAGAAAGGGTGGTTATCCCTACTGCTTCTCCACTTAGTAACCAAATTCCGTCTGTTCTCAGAACCAGTCTTAAGAGCACTATGATGGATGACTCCATTTAACTATTCCCATACATTAAGGCCCCACAGCCGATACCTAATATTAAAACTGCTGACCCTGGACTGGGGATGTACTTCAGTGATAGTGCTTGCCTAGCAGGCACTTGGTCCTACACTGAACCACCAGCAGCATGCCCAACCCCAAATCACTGTTCCTATTTAATCAATGGCTGGTAAACACTGTGCGCCTATAGAGCGGGCTAATCTGTTCTCTGTGTAATTTTAATACATATCTTCCCAGGCCACCTGTGGGAAATACCCAGTCCAGTTTACAGTGTTGTCCTCATCCAGTCTTTATGTATGAACCCCAGGAGATTCATTTGATACACCAATTGAAACCCAATGCTTCTTAGTACTTCTGAACTCTGGTAGCAATCAATATACACCTCAACTCCAAATATGACCAGATACTCCTGTGTACCCCAAATTCCTTCATGGTAGGTTCTGGCTATTAGGAATGTCTCTAGATCCCCATGTTGGCCTATAGCTTCTGAATGAGATAGACCTCTTGGCTTTGGGCTCTACTATTCAGGCAACATGTAACTGGCATATCCTGAGCCTGCATCCCTTTATGTCCAACTATGCATTATGTGCTCGGTCACAGAAACAGTACCCCAAAAGCTTAAGGTTACTGAGGCCTCTCAAGGTCAGGATGGAACCAAACTTTTTATATATTCTGGTATATTCTACCTTCAGAAGGGGTAAGTTCCCACTCTTCAGACCTTTGTCAGATGCCAGGGTGCTACAAGAGGCTACCTCTACCTCACATTCCCTGACTGCTTAGGACACCTTGGGATTAACCAATTTAACAAGAATTGAAAGGCATTCATAGCTTTGATAACCACAGTACAGGATAGAATTTAGTGGAATACTGTTGCTTTCCATCTCTCAGCTAGGATGTTCCTGATTAAACACCATGCTTGTCTGAATCTGTCTGCACAGCACCTGATGTTACTTTCACATTTATAATAAACCAATAGGCCAGGACCTAAAAATGCCTCCTTTAAGGCATTAATAAAAGAGTCTAGGACTCTCCTGCTTTAAAAATACTGATGTATAAATAAGTCACACATAACCAATGGCACAACACATGACAGGTTTCTCATTCCCTTCAAAAAACATTACCACAAACTTACAGCAATGGTGTGAGCATGCACAAGACGCAAGCAAACTTGGGCAGACAGAAATGTAGCACAGAACTGTGGAAATGACTTTGTGCTCACCGTGACCTTCAACAGCAAGAGGTGAGAACAGAGGGACTGAAGTGCAGCAGGAAGGAGAGGAAAGCAGCAGGTTTGGAAGCAGAACCAAAGGACACCAACGAGGTCAAACTCAGCAAAACAAAACAGCAAGGGTTTTAAATTTTTTATATTCTCTTAAAATTGGTAAAGAAAAAAAACAAAACAAAACTGTGATAGTCTCTTCTATGAAGAATAACCTCCGCTAAATAACCTTAAGACCCAGGCTGATTCTGCTCACCTTTTTTTTCTTTGACACAGGATCTCACTAGGTAGCCATGGCTGGCCTGGAATTCCCAGAGATCCACTGGCTACTGCCTCCCAAGTGCTGGAATGGCCTTCACTACCACACCTGGCCTCTGCTCAGACCTTGCTATCATTAAGATGGCAGCTCCAGCTTTGCAGGGTGCTCACACTTATAATCCCAACACTCAGGAGGCTGAATCAGGAGAACTGTCCTAAATTCCAGATGAGCCTGGGCTATAGCAGGAGACCAGCTCAAAAAACAAACAAACAAACAATAGGGCTGGAACTCAGTGGTCAAGAGCATGGCTCCTCTTGCAGAGGACACAGGTTCGGTTCCCAGCAGCTACAAAGTCACTATCAACTGTCCATAACTCCAGTTTCAGGTGATCCGATGCCACCTTCTGGCCTCCGCCGCCACTGCACACACACACACACACACACACACACACACACACACACACACACACACACACGGTGCACTTTATGCACACACACTGTGCACTTTACCACAGGCAAAACTCATACACATAATTTTTTTTGTCTTTTTGAGACACCAGGCCCAACCATAAGAATTATATTTTAAACCACAACAAATGTGCCAGCACTTGTAGGGCGTAGTGGAGCACGCCTTTAATCCCAGCACTCAGAGGCAGAGGCAGGCGGATTCCTGTGAGTTCAAGGTCAGCCTGGTTTACATAGTGAGTTCCAGGCCAGCTGGGGCTACAGGGAGACCCTGTCTCAAAAAGACAAAAAAAATAAAAATAAAAAAAAAAAGTGCCAGCACTAACACAGCTCCTGAGCTTTTGCTCTAATTACTGCCACAGGCGAGTTGCTGGTTACAAAGACTGGGGGGAAATGTTGATTGATGCATTTCCCACACGTGCCTCAGTGGAATCAAGACTACCTTACCCACAGCAGAATCTGTCTTATCTGTCTCTGGGCATTCTGGTTCTGGTGCAAGATGCTGTATTCTTCAACGACCGCACAGGAAGATCAATAGGGTTTTAAAGTGTTATGCCAGGGGTGGTGGCACACGCCTTTAATCCCAGCGCACAAGAGGCAGAGGAGTTCAAAGCCAGCCTGGGTCTACACAGTTGAGTTCCAGGCCAGCCTGGGGCTACAGGGAGAACCTGTCTCAAAAAGACCAAAATCTCTGTCACTGAAAAGTGGACCCTTTGGGCTGTCTCCCCACCTGGGCCCCTGACCACATCACCATCCCTGTACATCATGCTTACAGCATGCATAAAGTGGGCTTGGAGACCGCGGATGCCAATCTGGGTATCACACACAACAGTCCCCTAAGGTCACCCACTGGAAAGCCCACGGCCCCTGATTTAGACATTGAGAGGTGATTTCCGCCGGACTCCACAGCAGTCTTAATCACTATTAAAAGGTAGTAAAGCACAGGCGAACCGCCCGTTTCAGGCGGGGAAACACTGCCACCTGCAGAGACGTGGGACAAGTAGCAGGGTATGGTGGGGGCGGGGGCGGGGGCCTGTGCCCCCAGACCGAGGGCAGCCTGCAGCGAGGCCCGGGCCGCTCAGCCAAGAGCCCACCCAGGCCCGGGGCGGCCGACGCGGGTCCTCGAGACCCGCACAGCTCCGCTCACTCAATTCCGGCGCCAAGCGCACCGCCTCGGAGCCTAGGGAATAGCCGGGAGCCCGAGCCAGCGAGGACGGCCGCCCGGGAGCCCAGAGCGTAAGGACAGCAGTGTGCAGGACGCGGGAGTCCGCGGGTCACCGAGGCCGCGCGGACCAGCAGGTCGCAGCCACTCGGAACCGCCCGTGGCCGCCTCCTTACCTCACTCGGCCGCGGGCTGTGCGCTCGGCTACGCCCCGGCGGAAGTGAGGCGCGGCACAAGGGCTGAGGAGGGTCGCCGCAAGCCGGAAACCCGCACAGGACATGGGGAAGGGCGGGACGTCGCGGCGGAAAGTTCCGGGAGCTGGGGGCCCGCGACCTTCCGCGCTTTACGGCCCGCGGCGAGGGTACGGCGCGCGCGCCCCCCTCCGCGCCAGCGCCTTGACGTCACCGAGGCGGTCCCGCCCCCGCACGTGGGCTTGTTTGGGTCTCGGGAGGCCCCGCCCTCCGGCGACGTCTCCGCCTCTGCCACGATGGCGGCGCGCGAGCTGCTCGACTTATGATGGGTCCTGGCGCCCTGGCCTCCCACCGGCTCGGGTTCTGCGGGCTGAGCCCGACGTGCGAGCCAGGGACGGTCCCGCTACAGCGCGGGGACCTGTTCTGCCCAGCCAGGCCTGCGTCCGGTCCTGCTCTGGTGGGTCGGCAGCCCAGAGCCACATCCCGGCCAGGCGTGCCAGGCTTTCTCGGACCGGTGCTCGGCGCTGTTCCCGGGACTCGCTCCAGGCCTCGCTTGGCGAGGCTGAGCGGAATGGAGCGGAAAGCTTGCTTTATTTTCAGCACTTCATCCAGTATCGCTAGAAATGGTGTAACTACCACCTCACCTTGTAAGCTCTGTAGTTACCCGTCTTTTATTTAGGCCTATCTTGCTACAGAACCTAATCTTGGGGCATTATTGTTGGCCAGGTAGCGTCCTGGGTGATGGGTTCCAGCAAATGAAGGTAAGAGTTCTGAAAATAATGGTCCAAATACTGCTGCACCACGAAGTCCTTCATTGCACATCCTGCGTGTTTTATAACCCGTCTCACTAGCCGGTAAATTTCCCCAAGAGTGGTGGTGGTGGACTCAGCTCTGCCCTTCCTCATAGCTGATGCTTTCAGGTTCAAAGCTTGTGGGTGCCTGTGCTAGATGAATGCTTTCCTACTTTAGCCAGTTGTTAGAGACCGGTCAGAAGAGACACTGCTAGAGAAGTGTTTCCGATGCCCAGATTCGGGAAGAAAACATCACAAGTTTCTGTGAGCAATCTGCCTCATCTTTCTAGCCTTTTAGACTTTCTCTACAGGAGACTGACATGAGACACAATTGGGGGTACAGAAGCAAGGTGCAACATTGGCTGCTTTCCCTATCACCATTATTAGTTCTCCATTATGCTTTTTTTTTTTTTTTTTTTTTTTTTTTTTTTTTGCTTTTTGAGATAAGGTCTCCCTGTAGCCCCCCGGTTCTGAACTCATATTGCAGACCAGGGTCGCCTTGATGTCACACAGATCTGCCCGCCCCTGCCTCCAGAGCGCTAGGATTAAAGGCATGCAGCATCATTATAAACTTTTAGGTTCAAAAGGTTTTTGAATTATCAATGCCACATTTTGTCCTCTGGTTTCTCACAACTGCTAGCGCACGTTTGGATGCAATCTGCAGTGATGTAGCGGCCTTGGTGTGTAGCTCAGGCTGGAGTACAACTTGCTATGTTTGAACTAATTCTGCCTCACTCTCCCTAGTGCTGGGCCACCAAGCCTTGCATTGGTTTTCTGGTCTTCATTGTTCATCTTTTCCCTTCATAAGACAAGGTTCCATGCACCTGAGGCTGGCCTGGAACTTCCCTGTGTAGCCAGAGACGACTTTAAACTTCTGATGCGGCTGCCTTTACCTCCTGAGTTCTAGGATTGCAGGTATAAAACACCATGCCTGACTCACCCCGCAGTGCTGGGAATTCATCTCTAGGCTCCACCCATCTAAACAACAAATTCAGTAAATTTACCAAGCTATGCAACTACCACAACAATCCAGTCCTAGAATATTTTTCACCACCCTAATGAGATCTTCTGTGTCCTTTAATTGTTTTAAGATAAGTCATCAGGCTTGGTGGCAGGTCCCTTGACCCACCAAGCCATCTTGCTGATTCACACCACTTCCTTTTTAAAAAATATATTTTATGTGAATGAGTGTTATGCCTGAATATAAGTGCACCCATGTCATGCAGTGCCCGTAGAGGACAGAAGAGGCTCTCGGATCCCCTGGATGTTAGCCGCCGTGTGGGTGCTGGGATTCGAACTCAGGTCTTCTGCAAGAACAGTCAGTGTTCTTAACTGCTGAGCTATTTCTCCAGCCCCTCACACCATTTTTTTGGCTACCTCAACACATTTCTGTCTTTTGTGTAAATCTTCATTAGGCTAAAATATCTATTTGCTTCCTGATTTAGTCACCAAAACATGGGTTACTTAAGAATGTTATTTTCTAAATATTCCAGTATATTTTCCCAGTTGTTGATTGCAAACTTAATTCCTTTGCAGTTGACAAATGTATTTGGATAACTTGAGCTCTTTCAAATGTGTGGCTCAAGGTCTGGTCTAACTTGAGATGTTCCATGGAAAGAAATGGTATTTACCTCTTCTGTCACTTCCTTCTTGCATTTCTATTGCTTCCATCCAGCATCATTTAACGCTTCTCAAGATCTTTCATTAGGAATCATTTCACACAAGTCTGATGCTGCTGACAAATTCTTTCAGCTTGTCAGAGAATGTCGGTTTTTTTTTTTTTAGTCTTTTTGAGACACGGTCTCCCTGTAGCCCCAGCTGTCCTGGAACTCACTATGTAGACCAGGCTGGCCTTGAACTCACAGGGATCCGCCTGCCTCTGCCTCCCAGGTACTGGGGTTAAAGGCGAGCGCCAACACGCCCGGCTGTATTTGCTTTTATGCTGAGATCAGAGGAGGAAGACAGGTGTCCTGCTCCATCATGCTCCACTTTATCCCCTTGAGACAGGGTCTCACACTTCACCTGGAGGTTGTCTTTCTTTTCCAGTTAGGTTGGCTGGCTGGCAAACCCCAGAAATCCTGCTGTCCCTTGTCCCCATACTCCCACCTCAATTCAGGGGTTACAGGCCTAGCTTTTACCCTGGGTGTTGGGAATCCAAACTCAGGCCTTCATGCTTGTCCAGCCAAGTGTTCTTACCTACTGAGCCACCTTCCTAGTTTCCTGTCTTTAAAGAGTAGCTCCATTGTGGATAAAGTTCTAGGTTGGCAGGTTTAAAAAAAATTGTGTGTGTGTGGGGAGGGCGGTACATGAGCTCACTGCTCATATGGTGTTCAGGAGGGAGTAGGTTTTCTCCTTCCACCATGTGGGTCCTGGGAACTGAATCAGGTTGTGAGGCTTGGCAGTGTGAGCTTTAACCTGATCAGCCATCTTCCTGGTAGGTTGGCAGATCTGTAAAATGCCTTTATTGGTTTTGGATTTCATGGTATTCTCTTTTTTGGGGTAACACCCTCTCAGTCTTAGCCCCTTGCAAACAAATGCTAAATGCCTTGAGGACTGAAGCTGACCAAGACTCTTAAAAGAAAAATCTTCATCCATGAAGCTTGAGAGTGGGATGATTCACTCTGCTTAAGGAAGAAGCTAAATAGTGTTTTCCCAACAAGCCAGAGCCAATGACCCATATCTTCCTTACGTTGAGTACTGGGACAAGGAGCCACACCCTGGACCCCACTTCACAAACATCAAGAGCCTCTGGAACCAGCATCTTCATACCTAGGACTCTGCCAAGGCTCTAGACAAGGGAGCACTGAAGTCAGGACCCAGGACTCACAAGGCCCTCAAATGCTTTGGTCTTTCCTTCTCTACTCTTCACTTTCTCTGGATCTCTAACCCTAAGTGACAGCTGCTGGCCCAAACATGAACAAGTGCAAAGAGCCTGGGACCCAGGCCACTGCCTCCTTTCTCACTCCATATCCCATCATAAGGTTACAGCACAATTACCTCAAGAGTTCCCTGCTACCACCAGGCAAATTCATTAGGCTATTAATTTTTTTTTTTTTTTTTTTTTGGTCTTCTTGAGACAGGGTCTCTGTATAGCCCCAGCTGGCCTGGAACTCACTATGTAGACCAGGCTGGCCTCGAATTCACAGAGATCTGCCTGCCTCTGCCTCCTGAGTGCTGGGACTAAAGGCATATGCAACCACGCCAGCCAGGCTATTAACTTAATACCCAGATACAGATTTGCTCTGTGGAGAGCCAGAGAGGCAAAAGCAAAGTCTCAGGGAAGACCTCCACTGACCCTGGGTAGTTAAGAGAGGTCCCAAAAAGAAGGTACTGGCAAGAGTTGAGATCAGGAGCCTCTATAGGGCCAGCTATCCATGTGCTGGATCCCTAGGAGAGGCTCCATGCCTGTATCTGCCCCAGTAGAGCCTTACACACATGGGAAGGATGAGTAAGTAATTCAGGATGCATCACCCCGAGTTGGAAAACCCAAAATGCGACTTCCAGCTCTGCCATGGCACACTGAAAAGGGGATGGAGGTTCCCTTCCCTCCAAAATCCTGTGGTCCTACTCTGCCGGACCCTGTAAGCCAGGAACCAAGGCACTTGGTGGCAAGGTTTGTGAGCCTCAGTTGTCAAGTTCAGTCCTGCTCACAGCTCTATAAACTTGTACTAGCTGAGGAGGTGGTTGGAGATTCCTTCCAGTTATCACAGAGAAGATTTAACAAGTACAAACCTGCGAACTCTTTATTAAATTCTCCCATTTCATCTGTACAGAAAAAAATGCACATTATGTTCAGAATCTCAGTAACATCTCAAAATTACACAGCATGAACATGTAAAAACAAGGAACTGCTGGGATTTTATACATAGAAAGGAAACCCATTTACAAAAGAGGCCTGTTAGTTGTACTTTTCTTCCCCCCTTTAAAAAAAAAAAAAAGCCCTAAAAGGAAAACCATGAAAACAAGTTAGAGGCCTAAGATTTTCACAGCACTTGCTGTGCAACTGTTTTCCTGCCACAACTGCCCTGTGCTAGGAGCAAGTCTCAGGAAGCCTGCTGCTGCCCAGTGTGCTGTCAAGTGACCTGGGACCTGCTCTGGCAAAGGACCCTATGCTGTGAGGTCCAGGGATCAGTTCTGGGTTTAGAGGAGGCAAAATTTGATACAGAGGCATGGTCAGCACACCTCCTCACCTGGGAAGCTCTTTACTACCTGGTACCCAGCGCCCAGGTAGGAGATGACGAAGGAAGAGACTTGTTAGGAAGGATCCTGTCACCACTTGCCTGTCCATTTGTGCTCTGAGTGACAAACAGCCGAGTCCCTACAGCAATCTCACTGGACACCCAGGAGGTGTGTGTCACCCTTCTATCTTGGTTTGTTTACAATTCACTGTTGTCTCATGTCTGGGTAGTAAGAAGGGAAATTTGGCTTCACAAACCCTAACAGGTGACCCCAGTCCTCTCTAGTGGAGGAGTCAAACGGGGAGTGTGGCAGGATAGATCTCAAACCAAAGACATGAAGGGAAAGGGAGGCCAGAACACTAGATCCAGGTGCAGCCCTCTGGGAACCAAAGCCAAGTGGGGCAGAGGTGAGTTAAGACACATATCCTAAGGACCCAAAAGAACCCAGGTCACATCCTACAAAACCACTGTGTGCCCAATAGTGAGAAATCTCAGAGCACATTCTGAGCTTTGGGGATTTTCAAACTCATAAGAAGCTAACTATCAAGATGTACATAATTCCAAGTCACCAGCTTCTTGAGGTTCTATGGACCTGATTTAGGCTGCAGATGCCAGGCTGGGCTGGCTAACTTCTGAGGGATTTGGGCCAGTATCTAAGAGAGCCTGATACACGTGGAGGAAACTTTGTTTTGTTTTGGGACAGAGGAAGGAATGGGAAGGCAAGGTCTCAGGCTTGAGACCAGCTTAGAGTGGAGGCCCCAGAAGCCCCCTGTGGTTCATTATAGGAGGGCCTTTGGGATGGAGGGTTTTCCAGAAGTCATACTGATGATACCCAAGAGTCAATCTTGGGAAGGGTGAGGGACACTAATCACATAATTCCCTTGCTAATGTGTCCAATAAACATCAACATCCTTGCCATCAGATTTTCCTATCAGTTGGCTTTAGGAAACGGGAAGATAAAACTGTAACTTTCTATCCCACCTGGACAGTAGACTATTCACCACACTTTTCCGGCCCCATACTGGAGGAGATGCCCAATTTTAAGAACAGGACAAGGCAGTCATGGTGCCTGCAACAGGCTCTGTCATCACCTGCTCACTACATGCCATTTCACTGGTCATGCTTCTACCTTGGGATGCACTGGCTCAGTAAGCCACAGGCTAGGGCTGGAACTGATAGCTAGATGGTGTCTGGGAAGGCAGAAGTCTGTCTCAGGGGTAGACCCAGACTGGTATGCCTCCCATTGGCACATCTTGCTAGCAGACCTGTCTTGAGACAGCAGCAACAGCAGAGAAATCCAGGGACTTGTCGGTAATGATGTTTCTTGCTCCCAGAGCAACCAAAACCTTTCCCTGGGAGAAGCCCCATCAGAGGAGGTTAGTCTGATTCTTGGTGTTCAGATCTCTGACCTCTTGGTTCACGGTGGCCTTGGCTGAGTTTTTAGAGCCAGCAGAGGGTAATGCTGTACTAAGAGTTCCTGAGACACTGACATGAGCTGGCAAAGCCAGACCACTGCTGTCCTTTTCAGCAAGTGCCTGAAGCCTTGGCCTTCCTGCTTATGGGCACGATACAAGTAGAGCGAAAGGCCAGGGTCTGTTTTCGGCTCTCATGGTAGGGTCTGGATTCTCAATGATCTAACTCATATCAATGACTGACCTATGAGGCTAGAGCCACTACATTAGGCCTACAAAATGAGCTACAGAATGGATGTGCTGGCCCCCCTAGACAAAGACAAGAAAAACTTGCAAAAAGACCCAGCCTGAGACCCTCAAGAGCCAGTCATGGGAAACTACTCCAAGGAAGATAGATGATGAATACTTCCTTACACTAAGCAAGTCAAGGTAACAGCTATTTTTTTCATTCTGATCATTTCTAATGGCAAATATTTCAGGACCCAAACTCATCAAAACCCGTCGTAGACTCAACCAAATCTGCTGTAGACAATGACTCCTGTCTGATCAGAAACAAGAGAACTATCGAGACACGTTAGAAACACAAGGTGGTTTTACATATGTTGGAAGGAGGCTGCAGGGGTCAGAGTGATGATCCCACCCTAGACTTTTTTGGGGGGTCTTTTTGAGACAGGGTTGCCCTGTAGCCACAGCTGACTTGGATCTGCTGTGTGGACCAGGTTGGCCTCAAACTCACAGAGATCCGCCTGCCTCTGCCTGAGTGCTGCAATTAAAGGCATGCACTACCAAGCCCAGATGATCCCACTTAGTTTGCTGGTGAACATCAATGTGATCCTGAACCACAGTGACATTCCACTTCTGGGTGTCAGCTCTAGTGCCCAACTGAGAACCCTGGAGAAGGAGGGGGCCTCAGAACCAGCTCAGACCAGTTAGCAGAGTGCAAGGTGCTGCTTGCACAAGCAGGTGTTGTCTCATCAGACTCAAGAATCCCAGAAGGGCTCCAGAGAATCTGGAAGCCCCTAAAAGCATGACTTAGGGGACAGGCAGCTTACAAGTTCCCCTTGACAACTTCAATTGTCCTATACAGGTGGCATGGCCTTTGGAACTCTCTGCCACCAGAAAAGGCAGAAAAGAAAGGGAGGGAGGAATGGAGGGAGGGGAGGAAAACCACAGTATTCAAATGACTGTCAGATCAGACAAGGAGTGATTTGGAGCAACTGATCTAAAACTGACACAACTTGCACTGAACATATTTCAGGGAAGACACACGTTCAGGTACCATAGCACTCGTAGGTGCAAATGGGAAGCAGAGGAGTAAGGGCACCACAAAGGAGCCTCGGTCTATGTGGACAGTTTTAGGCACATGATTTATAATACTTTGTGGACATCTAACAGGTTAATAAAATATATATTATATAAATATATCTCCTACTGTACATGCTGCCCTCCTGTACAGCCACTATGACTCCATATCCCAAACTCAACCAAAGGTGAACCAGGATGAACTGTAATGCCTAGGCTCCTCCCTCTTATGCCCCAACCCTTTCGTTTTTATACTGGAGGAATGAGGGAAGATGGCTGGGAATCCTGCTCCTGTAAAGCTCAGATTCTGGAAAGGTTGATAAATCACCAAAATACAACATTTAGCCAGTGCCTACCAGAGTGGGTACACACAGCAAATGGACAGAAAATGAACGGAGGAAATCCTCCATCTTTAATGCAATCACTTTCCACATTCCTCCACATGGGGGCACAGAGGAGCTTGTCTGGGAATCTGCCAGGAGCGTGCAGAAAGTCAGGCTGCACAGCCAGTCACACCCTGAGACCCTGCTAAATCTTTAGAAGCGACTATTTCTGGCCTGTAATACAGCTCAAAAACTAAAGTGAAGTGAGTCTGACACCTGTTCCTCCGTGTCCTGCCACCCACACCCTAGTCTCAGAGGTCCTATCCCCCACCCAGTCACTGCCTCTGATGAGGCAGAGAACTTCCAGAGTGACCTGATGCTCAGCTCAGCAGGGTCCACAAAGATGTGACAGCTCCATACCATCCTGGAGGAGGAAGACAATGTCCAGGATCCTGCTGGCTGTAGAAATAAGTTTCTCAGTGCAGACCAGTGGACTGTCCTGCTTGACAGACTTCTGCTCCTTCCCTAGCCACTTGCCATTCATTGGCCTAGGGAGGCTTATGCCTCTGCACTGCAGTGGGGAGGTGACAGAAATTCCTGTTGCTGTGGAACTGTGTCCAACAGTGGTTCATTCGGATGGGAGCTGGGCAGTATTGGTGCTTCAGCAGAAGCAAACAGGACCCAAAGCAGGCTGCTTAGTGTTTCCCACTACTTGGTGAAGTCCCCTGCCTTGAGGTAGTCCAAAGATGCTTCTGGGAGATGAGCCAGACATTTCAATGATCAGATTTGCATCTCCTCCAAGTCCTACTGTCACCTGACAAAGTTACATGAGAAATAACCCCGCTGTTCAAGTCAAAAGTGAAGGAGATGTGTTACTATATACACGTTTTCCTTTAAAATTTTTTTTGTCTTTTCTTTTTTTTCTTGTCTTTTTTTTTTTTTTTTTAAAAAGCATTTGAGTTGCAGGTCAGGTGAGTTGATTCTAGAAGTTCTGTTGGTATGAGAGAGACTTGTCTACAAGCAGATAAACCCAGTTTCTCCAACAAAGGCTACCACCAAAGTGGCCAGTTGCTGATGCTGCAAGGACAGCTGGGTGGCGAGGAGGACAAAGAGGAGGAGGTCATGGATGTGGCCAGGTCTGGACGTGACAATGCAGTGGGCACCTGCTGCTGCTCTACTGTGGGTCTGGTGTCACCTCTTTAGAAGGGCGAGGTGAGCGGGTACACTATACAGAAAGGCTGTACAACTGGGCACTGGGCAGGTAGTTCCTTTGATGGTCAAGGTGGCTCTACCTGTCCTTGAGCTCTCGTGTCACACGCTTGGTGATCCGCCCACACATCAGGCCAATTAGAAACAATATGCAGATGCTCCCACTGATCACAGATAAGATGTAGTTCTTTGAAGGCGATGTCATCACTTGCATGGCAAGATCAGAGAAGCCATCTGCTGGGGCCACCTGGAAGGAAACAGCAATATGACCTGAGGGAAAGTTAAGCAGGTAGCAGGTAAAGCTGTGTCTAATTTGTTCCCTAAAGTCCTAGTTTACGTCTTTTATTTTTCCTTTTCATTTTTAAGCCAGGTGTGGTGGTCCATGCCTTTAATCCCAGCACTCAGGAGGCAGAGGCAGGGGGATCTCCTTGAGTTTGAGGCCAGCCTGGTCTACATAGGGAGTTCCAGGCCAGCTGGGGCTACAGAGAGACCCTGTCTTAAAAAAGACAAAAAAATTTTTTTAATTGTATTATTATTCTTCAGTGCTTGTTTTGTTAGGGAAAGAGGAATTTACTGCTTGTTTGAATATACTGCTTGTCTGAATTTACTGCCTGAATTTACTGCTTGTAACCAGTTAACTCAACTGGAGACACAGGCATCCGGAGATAGGGGCAATCGCTACAGCCCTCCCCCCGGAGCCTGACCTGATCTGTGTCATGTCACGTAGACAGGTCTGGCTTACACAAGATAACAGAAAAGAGTCGTGCCAGGCACAATACCATCCCTCCCCGATTGGGACACCTAAAGGGAGTTGTAACATTTTTCTTAAAGTTATTGGCTTTTGTGTAACGGTTGTGGAAGCCTATATAATCTTTACCTAAAATTGCCTCAGGGTCGATTGCTCTAACCAAACCTGCGTGTCTTGGAAGGACGGTCGGCCCCAGCTAGCTGGTTTAATAAAACTCTGTTTGATTTTTGCATCTCCATACTCGTGCATTTGTTCTCCAGAAGAGTCCCACCGAGTCACGGACACTAACAGTTTGATGTGTATATGTGGGTATATTCATGCTGCCAGGAGGCACATGAAGAGGTTGGAAGATACTTCCTGGAGTCACTTCTCTCCATCTACCTTTAAGTAGGTTCCAGGGTTTGAACTCAGGTTTAGGCTTCTGTGGCAAGCATTCTTACTTGCTGAGCCATCTTGTTGAACCCTATATATAGCCTTTATTTTGAGGAGAAAGAAGAGGACAAGGAAACTAACAGAGCTATAAATGCATATGTCTATCAACTATCTACAATTAGATACCGAAAGATACAAAGAGGTACTATCATCCCTAAGTCCTTCACAGTGCCCATGCCGTTAATTCACTAACAGCTCCTCGCACTGTGGACATCACCGTGTCAAGCTGGGCAAGGGCTCTGCTGTTTTCACCCCTTCAGTGTTGGTACCAGGTCAGCAGGTCAAACTCATTACACGTGATGGCCCTGTGGCCTGGGGTCCTCATGCCTTGCCCAAGGTCATGGGTTTTCATATATTCTGATTTAAGCTCTTCATCATGTTTGCCAATTAAAAAAAAAAAACTAACAATGGTTTATATAATGACAAAATATACTTAACCATATGCTAATCTGTGGCTATTTATGGTTTAGCCTGTTTCCATCCTCTATTCTCACTGTCTTCTCCAATGAACCATTCACTGTGCTATCCTGTGAGAGAATCAGTAACAAAAGGTTCCCTAAGTGCACACAAAGCTGTTCTTTTAAGTATCAGCCTGGGATGCTGGGAGAAGCGTGGCCCAGAGAAACCTACATTCATTCCATGTATATGGGACAGAGTAGGCCAGTGTGAGATTAAAGAATTCTGTGAGAAAACAAGCAGTGAATCACCGAGTCACTGCCACAATTCTACCTTTTGTCTCAGAGCACAAAGCAGTGAGGAAGACCAGCTCCTTCTACCTGGGACTTCAGAGGAGACTTTCGTCCCTGGGGAGGAGTGAAGGGAGGTTTGTCTATAGTGACAAATCCCTTCAGGGTTGGGCTCTGGGTAAATGAGTACAAAAAGTGGTGGTTTGACAAAGCATTGCAGACCCAGTCTGGGGCAAGGGTGGAGAGTGGCTTCAGGTTCAAGTCACATTTCAGAGGTGTACTGACTGATTTTTGGAATAAAACTGCTGCTAGATTTCCAGGAAAAACAAGCCCAGTGAAGGACCCCACAGAGAGGAAAACTGACAGAGGAACCTGCTATCCCAGAGCCTCTGTCTTTACCTTGGCTGCATAACTCCACATTTCAATTCGGTCGTTGAGGCGCTTTTTGCACTCCGGCTGTAACCTCACCCGCTTATCCTCTAAGGCCTCCATTAGACAGGACATCTCTATGGGAGCAAACAATAAAGAAAAGTCTTCAACTGTAGAGTACAGAAACACTTCTGCGAAGTTAGGAGAAGAACTCCAACTACAAAGAACTTGGCTCTTTAGGACCAACCAAGTCAAACTCTCTCCAGGAACCTTGATCGAGACCCCACACGGTAAGGATGGAGTGTGGCTTCCAGGGTTGGCTGCTCAGATCTCTCTTAAAATCTCTCTTATGTTCAGTGGGTATCCTTTGATCAGAAACAAACTACATCACCCAAGTTTCAAGACTCCCAGAAGCTGCCACCTGCTGTGGTCTGAAGGAATCTTAGCATAGAAAGGGAAAGGAGAACATGTTGATGACTGAACTTCTGATTCCATAATTACGAAAATTCCCTTTTGACTAAATTTGTGACTCTGGTCAATTCTAACCTGCAGGATTATTCCTAAATTCACTGTCACCAAGGCCTAGCCTTCCCATCAACCATGTCTCCAGGGGATGCTGTTTGTGGCTGGATCACAGCCACAGGACAGAGTAGCTGCAACTGCTAACTGACTGATTCTTTGTCCTCCCAGGAGAGCTCAGACAGAAGAGTGAACAAACATAACTTACGACGCCCCCGGCCAGGTGTGATAGCTGCACAGTGGTGCTTAATGTCCAGCGCACATGCTGTGTGAAGAACTGGGTCCACAAAGATGTCTGCTTTGCTTTCCTTAAGCATGTTTAACACTTCCTGAAAAGGGAAGGTCATTTTGAATAGAACTTATGTAGAGGAAATATCAGATCTGTTGACTAAGAACACTCTCTATAGTATGCAAATAAACAGGCCAAAGACAGAAGGTGGCAGAAATTACTCTGAGATAGCTGGTTACATGGCCAATACGCACAGCAGACTTTGGCATCCAATTTAATCAACTCCCTCTGAGGAATCCAGTGTGGGCTGAAGAAAGCCAAGGGTATGAAGCACATGCTGAGATGATTGGACAGTGATTCTTGACATGCTGGCATGATACATTATTAGTAGTAGTTTTAATTTTTTTTGGTTTTCTGAGACAGGGTCTCCCTGTAGCCCCAGATGGCCTGGAACCTGCTATATAGACCAAGCTGGCCTCGATCTCACAAAGATCCACCTGCCTCTGCCTGGGTTTAAAGGTGTGTGTCACCCATACTCCACCAATTATTTTATTTTTTTATGTGTATAAGTGTATTGCCGCCTGCATGTATGTAAGTGCACCCGTGTTGTACAATGCCCAAGGAAGTCAGAAGAGGGCAGTGGATTCCCCTGGAACTGGACTTATGGACAGTTGTTAGTCACCATGTGAGTGCTGGGAATTGAACCCAGGTCCTCTGCAAGAGCAGCCACCGGCCATCTCTCCAGACCCCTTATTGTTACTATTTTAAAGGTTTATTTTTATTTTACATATATGAGCATTTGCCTGCATGTATGTACATGCACCACATGCATGCCTGGTGCCCATGGAGGCCAGAAGAGGGGTGTTAGAGTCCTTGAAACTGGAGTTACAGGTGGTTGTGAGCAGCAGTGTAGGGGCTGGGAACTAAACTCAGGTCCTCTGCAAGAGTAGCTAGTGCTCTCAACTGCTGAGCTACCTTTCCAGCCCTCCATTATTTTAAAGCACCTACATGCTAGTATTTTTATTGATACAATACAGCTCTTCTGTTACTTTAGGAAACCTAAAAAAAGGGAAATCTGAAAATCAGACTAATAGGCTATATATTAAAATTCTTAATCCAATTAGGGTTAAGAATATATTTGGCTATGCTGGGCATGGTGGTGCACGCCTTTATTCCCAACACTCAGGAGGCAGAAGCAGGCAGAACTCTGTGAGCTCAAGACCAGTCTAGTCTACATAGGGAGTTTGAGGCCAGCTGGGGCTACAGGGAAACCCTATCTTTAAAAAAAAAAAAAAAGAAAAAGAAAAGAAAAAAGAATATATTTTGTTTAGAAAATGCTCTATCGTACCTCTGTCCTTTTTAAAAAGAGAAAAACACCATTCCAACTACATAAGTAATTATCTGAATTTAAAGATGTTCTGAGCAAGAGGGATATACACATATTAGAAATGAAATCAATTCCACAGATGCCCCACTTATACATAATGAAAACTAGACCAGAAATTATTTTTCTCTTATTAAAAAAAGGGAGGGGGGTGCATGGAGAAACAGCTCAGCGATTAAGAACACTGGCTGCTCTTGTAGAAGACCTGAGATCGAATCCCAGCACCCACATGGCAGCTAACAACCATCAGTAACTTCCACAGGCACTGCACAACACAGGTGTACTTACACACATGCAGGCAATATAATCCTGCACATAAAAATAAAAATTTAAAACACATAAAAAAGTAATCACATTTCTTTGTTTTTTGTATGTACATGCATCCATGTACTACAGTGTGAGTCAGTTCTCTCCTTCCCCCATGTGGGTCCCAGGAATCAAACTCAGGATATAAGCTTGGCCGTAAAGCTTTTACCTGTTGAGCTATCTCACTACACTCCCACCCCCACCCTGCTTACTTTTTTCAGTGATGCGGGGGACTGAACCCAGAACTATGGAAGCACTCTATCACTGAGCTACAACTCAAGCCCCAGATATGCTTTTTTAATAAATATTAGTTTGTGCTGGGCATAGTGGCACACGCCTTTAATCCCAGCACTCAGAAGGCAGATGCAGATGGATCTCTGCTAGTTCAGGGTGACCTTGGTCTACATAGTGAGTTCCAGGCCAGCTAGGGCTACAGGGAGACCCTGTCTCAAAAAGACCGAAAAAAAAAAAAAATTATAGTTCTTCAAGATAACAGTAACAACAAATAATTTTTTATTTTTATTTTATGTGTATGAGTGTACTGCCTGCATGTATGTGAGTGCAACCCGTGTGGTGCAATGCCGTGGAGGACAAAAGAGGGCTTCGGATTCCCCTAGAACTGCAGTTAAGGATGGTTTGCAGCCGCCATGTGGGTGCTGGAAATCAAACCCGGGTCCTCTGTAAGAGCAGTCAGTGCTCTTAACTGCTGACCCATCTCTCCAGCCTCAACAAAAACAAATAAAAACAAAAGCCTCCACACTTAGTTAGTCTACCTTGGAGTGCAAGGGGCAAAAACTGTCCTTTAAGTCCTTCTGACCACATTAGTATAGGCCTCAATCTATGGCTGGTAAACATCCAATAAGGTTAGTTCCACCAGTCTGGTACTTTTAGTTATCATGTGCTACATAGATAAGGCTTAGGTAAAAAAACAAATATTCGAGTGGTTCTTAACTCGGCACCGAAGATGGCGGATCGCGCTTTCGCTGGCACAAACGGCAACACATCCTTGCGGGGTCTTCGTGAACGGTTGGTTGCTGTAGCTCAAGAAATTGCTGAAGAAAGACGACACAAATGTGGTGTTAACTCCTTAACAACTCCGAATAAAAAAAGATCATCATGTGCACCTGTTATCAACGGATCTTTTCTGAAAAATGATGTAAAACAACAATTAGCCAAGGAACGCAGAGAGGAAAGAAAACGACAGCAAGAGGCCAACAACGAAAAACAACTGCTTGAAAAGGAAAGAAAGGCTAAACTACAGTACGAAAGACAGTCGGAAGAAAAACAACGCAAACTGAAAGAACAGAAGGAGAAGGATGAGCGTCGGAGAATATCTGCAGAGGAGAAAAGAAAACAAAAGTTGGCTGAAGACAAGGAAAAATTTAAAGCTGTTATATCTCGTACAATGGAACGATGTAACCGTGTTGATCAACCACAAAAGAGATTGTCCTGGGAAGGATCTGGAATGAATACTGAACACAAATCTGGTAAGTAATATAATTTAAAGATTTTAAGTTCATTACTGGAGCTGGAGAGATGGCTCAGTGGTTAATAAGAGCACACATACACACACACACACACACACACAAACACACACACACGAGCATAAGCTGCTCTTGCAAAGGACCCAAGTTTAGTTCCTAGCACCCACATAGTAGCTGACAATTATCTGTAACTCCAGTTCACACACAACATAAAGAAAATCTATTTTGGTTACGCACTATAAATTTCCCTGTGTTGGGGGCTGGAGAGATACCTCAGCGGTTAAGAACACTGACTGTTCTTGCAGAAGACCCAGGTTCGAATCCCAGCACCCACATGACAGCTAATAACTGTCCGCAACTCCAGTTCCAGGGGATCCGACAGCCTCTTCTGTCCTCCGCCAGCACTGCAGAACACGAGTGCACTTACATACATACACACAGGCAATACATGCACACGCAGAAGACCCAGGTTCGAATCCTACCACCCACATGGCAGCTAACTGTCCGCAACTCCAGTTCCAGGGGATCCGACAGCCTCTTCTGTCCTCCACCAGCACTGCAGAACACGAGTGCACTTACATACACACAGGCAATACATGCACATACATAAAGTAAAATATTAAATAAAATATTAAAAATCATGCGTTTGGCGCTAAAGGGCAGTAAAGAGTCTCTTTCCAGTGATACTGTCTCCTGGCAGCTCTGCTCTCACTCAGCTTTGCACCTGTGGCCTACCTCATCTGAGCAATGCAGCTGGAGCTGAGGGTCGAGGCGGTAATCCAGAGCAGACTCCTGGATGATGATGCGGATCTGGTCCTCACAGTCTGAAGACAGGCGCTGTAGGTGACAGTGGGAGAACAAATCAGCCACCAGAGGGCATTGGGCTTTATCTGACCCCCTAGCCCTGGACTTGGGGAAGACATGAAAAACGTCTTAGGAAAATAGGAGAAAGCTCGGAACACCCATGGAGAAAATTCCCATAAACACAGATCTGTGTAAAGTCTGGCCAGTGTACCTGGTCAGCATATCTCAGCTTGAGACATGAGATGACTTGGCCTTCTAGTTCTGAATCATCCTTGGCCTTGGTCAGGATACCATGACAGAATTTAGGAATGTCAGCTTTACAGGCTTTCCTCAGCACAGGGTTTAAGCGGTAATCTAGAGCAGAAACAATCAGTACATAATACAACATTCCACCTGGAAATTTTCACCATTTTTAAAAAATTTTATGTGTATGAGTGTTATACCTGTATGTATGTAAGTGCACCCATGTCGTGTAGTGCCCAAGGAGGAGAGAAGAGGGCGCTGGATCCTCTGGAACTGGAGTTACAGATGGTTGTTAACCACTGAGCCATCTATCTCTCCAGCCCCTTTTACCAATTCTTTGAAACTCAAATACTTCAAAAGGGAGTATACTATGTCAATGATTAGTAAGTGGCTACTGAGTTCACTTTTTAAAAAACATGTATGAGTGTATTGCCTGCATGTATGTAAGTGCACCCATGTCATGCAATACCCATGGAGGTCAGAAGAGGGTGTCAGATCCCCTGGAATTGGAGTCATGGATGGTTGTTAGCCATAATGTGGATGCTGAGAACTACCCCGGGTTATCTGCAAGAGCAGTGAGTACTCTTAACCTCTGAGCCATCTCTCTAGCCCTGCACTATTTTTTTTTTTTCATGCCAGGAAGGGTTTATTCTGGCTTACAGTCCAAGGGGGGATGTTCCATCATGGCAGGGAGGCTTGGAAGCAGGCTGCTAGTCACACTGGTTTATTCTGTTTTGAGACAGGATCTCTTTTAGTATGTAGCTCAGTCTGTCCTAGATCTCACAATCTTCCTGTGTCAACCTCTTGAGTACTGGGATTACATGCATATGCTACTATACCATCTCCAGGGTGGTTAATCAGCAATGTGACTTAGTACAAGAGCACTTCTGCAAGTTCTCAGGAACCCTTCAACTCCACAGCAGCTTTGCACATCACTGATACTGATATTTTTGAAAGACTTATGAAAGAAATACCCAATACGCTGTGGCTGTGTCCATTAAGCTAGAAGGATTCTCAACCCAAGCTAACATTTCTCTTCTGAAAATGATTAGCTGGGTATTTTGCCATGGTCATGAAGTTTGATTACATCTCTAGAATATTTTTTTCCAAGGAACTCTAGCCCTGATGACTTCTGAATGTTCTACAGCAGCAGCTGTCCAGATGCTCAGCTTTTTTTTTCCCCCTGACCTCCATTCTGTTTTTCCTGGAGGAAAAACACAATTACCCTTAATTCTAATTCTTGTGGATATGCCACCCTCTTTTGGCCTTTATGGGCACTGCATGCATGTGATGCACTTAGACACAGTTAAAAAAAAAATTCATGGGCAACAAGGCACCATAGATAAGTAACCACATGCCTTGGCAATTCCACTTAGTCTAGACTCAGTAGGACCAGGAGAGCTGAGCCAGGATGATACCTGTGTTCTGGGTGATCTGGCGCTTGGTTATCATCTGTTTGCATTTGGGATCCATCAATTCGCTGTTTTTATTTTGCTTCAAGCACTGCAACATGGTTTTAGAATCTGCTTCTGGGCAGAACCTCTGCAAAAAAACAAAATTTAATGAAAAGAACTATTCCAAAATTGGCAACCAATCCATCTGTGATGACTTGTACATCTATTAGAGCTCAGGAAAGCAGCAGGAGGAAGGCATCACTTTGGATAAGAAGGTTAACAGCTAAGCTTCAGTGAGTGCAACCCCACTGCCCTTGCTTTCCTTTCTATTACATTTCTTACCTTTCTCCCTGTTATCTCTCTGGTTCCTATTCTGCACAGGATAACTACTGACTATTAGTACGTTACTTCGCATCTCATGAGTATGATTACTGTGTCAGTATGAGTTTAACACTGGACACCATGGGCCATTCAGTTCTCAATCCTCTTTTTTTTGAGACACGGTCTCTCTGTAGTCCAAGCTGGCCTGGAACTCACTATGTAGACCAAGCTGGCCACGAACTCACAGAGATCCTCCTGTCTCTGCCTCTGCCTCCTGAGTGCTGGGAATAAAGGCGTGCGCCACCACACCTGGCCAGTCTACAACCATAATGGGAAATCATAGGAAATAATCACCAACTAATGTGAACAAGGATCTGGGGCAATATAATCCTATTAAACATGTAAGATAACTCCTTAAATTGTCCTTAAAGCAGAATTCAATTTTGAGCTAGTAATTAACTACCACTCAATCCACATGTCTGTATCACATTGTCTGATATATCAAACTGGTTGGAGCACTTCAGCACCAAGTCTCTCTTGCCAGTTTTATTTCTAGTGTTCTAGTGCCTCTCTCGCTTCCTCCCTCTCCTCTCTCCCCCGAGCCTCACCTCTCCAAGGTCTCATGTAGTCTAAGTTGGCCTTGAACTTCTATTCTCTTGCCTCCAATTCCGAAGCTGGTAATACAAGTGTGCCTCCGAGCTGGATTTATGGTGCTGAGGATTGGAGCCAAGGATTTTTGTATGCTAGGCAGGTACTCTACCAACGGAGTTACATCCTCAGTCCCATTTCTAGGTCTTTAAAGCACATGTGATTACAAGCCACTGGTATCTTAATAAGAGAATGTGGACTCTTTTTATTTTTATAAACTCTCCCCAGGCTCTCTCAAATTAGACCCTGACAGTTACACTTTTCCACAGAACTCAATTATAGCAGGCATAGCTTAAGAGTGCTGGCAAGATGGTTTGGAGGGTAGAGGTGCTTACTGACAAGCATGACAACCTGAGTTTGATCTCAGGAACCTATATGGTGGAAGGAGAGAATTGACTCTAACAAGGAATTCTCTAATTTCCCAATGTAAACTGTGGGATGTGGACACTGTAAATATTTTTTTGTTTCCCTCTGACATTTATTTGATTGGGTCAGATTGCATTTTAAAGAAAAGCTGAAATAAGTTTAAGATTCTTTATGTTTTCTTAAGTTTAATTTCTTTGTATATATGGGCAAGTAAGATAATTTATTGGGGGGAAAACTGAAGCAAAAGAACATGCAGAAAACAAACATGTTTTCCTGCACTGGAGAGCTGACTTGGCACTGGAGACATGGCTCAGCACTGGAGAGCACTGGCTGATGTTGCAGAGGATCAAGGTTTAGTTTCCAGCACCCATATGGAGCTCACAACTGCAAGTAACTCCAGTTCCAGAGCTTCTGATGTCCTCTTTTGACCTTCGCAGGCACCAGACATGCATGTGGTGCAAATACATACATGTAGCAAAACACTCATACCATAAAATTTTTTAAACAATAACAAAGAAACCTTTTTTGAGAAAGGGAGATGATGGGATCAGGACACTGGATACAGCTCTCAGGATATCCAACCTGGACCCCTATGTACTTATGCTTTGGTCCATGAGAAATTAGTTAGCTCAGCTGTGGTTTTCCAACATCGGCAGCATCTGCATTGCCTGGAGAGTTTATGGACAGTCCAGCTGCTCCAACCTAGGGTTCTGGGGGCCCAAGAATCCACAAGCTGGTAGCTGAGACAATGCTGTTGGCCTAGGGACCACACCTGGGGGAACCATGGTCGTGGGTGTGTTTAACAGGAGCAACAGAAAGAGGTTCATGCTGTTACTGTCAATTATGCAGCCTGGCCCTTACCTTAATCATCTGCTTGCAGACTCGCATGAGTGTATAGTCTAGTTCTGGGTCCATCATCTCTGTCTCTTGCAGCTTAAATACTTTCTGGTGACAACGGGTACTCAGCTGCTTCTTGTTTTCTTTCAAGCATTCGATAATCTATGATGTAAGAGTTATGGTCAAGTTAGGAGCTGTAACAGGGATTAATCTACCTATCTATCTATCTGACTGAAGCACTCAGTTCTCATTTTTCTAACCCAGGACCCCTTTGCTTCTAATTCTAAGGCAACAAGAGTCAAGACTTTCTCACTAAGGAGATTTATACTTGTGGATTTATAACCTTAAAGCCAATAAAGGACTAATGACATAAAAATTCAGTATGACAGGGGCTGGAGAGAGAGCAGTGGTTAAGAGCACTGGCTGCTCTTGCAAAAGACCCAGGTTCGGTTCCCAGCACAAACATGGCAGATAACAAATGTCTGTAACTCCAGTCCCAGGGGATACAACACAGCTCTTCTGGCCTCCACGGGCATTGCCCGAGATGGGTGCACTTACATACGTGCAAGCAAAATACTCATACACATAAGTGGAAGGGAACCCACTCAGGCTATCTGGTTTCTTCTACTTTCTTGAGCCATTCTTTGTTGGAATTCCTTATGGAGCACACATCTGGCTCTCTGCATTTGTTCAGAACAACAACTCTGACTATGGATTAGATATTCAGTTGGAAAATTCAATTCAACTCAATGTAGACCATATGAAAATATAGTGTTGGATGTTAAATATAAACTGGATCCTAACAAATAATTCAGGGGGAAAATTATGAAAAGCTGTGATAGAAAAGACTGAGGGATACCATAAAAAGTGTCATGGGATGGATCATAAGACAAGTATATCTTGAAATCTTTCCTTCCCTACATCAAAGCTTTAGATTTTAAACAAACAAGCCAGGCCTGGTAGTCCATGCCTTTAATCCCAGCACTCAGCAGGCAGAGGCAGGCGGATCTCTGTGAGTTCGAGGCCAGTCTGGTCTATACAATGAGTTCCAAGCCAGATGGGGCTACAGGGAGAACCTGTCTCAAAAAAAAAAAAACCTATGAAAATCAGGCCAAGGGACTGACAAGATGGCTCAGCAGTTAAGAGCAATGACTGCTCTTACAGAGGACCCAGGTTCGATTCTCAACACCTACATGGCAGCTACAAACCATCCTTAACTCTAGTACCAGGGGAATCCAAAGCCCTCTTCTGACCTCCGCGGCATTGCATGACATGGGTGCACTCACATACATGCAAGCAATACACTCATACAAATAAAATAATAAATAAAATATTAAAAAAAAAAGAAAAGAAAAGGAAAAAGAAAATCAGGCCAGGGGTAGTGGCATACCCCTTTCATCCCAGCAGAGACAGGCAGGTCTCTGAGATGGTGGCCAGCTTAGTCTACACAGCAAGTTCCAGGACAGTGGGGCTACAAGGAGATCTTGTCTCAAATCACAGAGGGAATAAAAACAAAACAAAAACCACGTGAAAATCTGGATTTCATTCCACAGGTGATTCTACTTGGTGTCTAACAGAGCACTGGGAAAGCTATACAGAGCCTTGAAGAATCCCCAGGAGTTACTAGACAGAGAAAGTGGAGAAGGGAAAGAGAACAAAGAGGAGCCAATAGTTTTCACGGGAGAAACTGGGAAACACAGTCTGGTACAGCATAAAGGGGATAGTCAAACTGATAAGGATGCAATAGTTCTTGTCTCACCAGTAATGAATTAGTTATTACAATACTGCTTTGACATAATTTCTATAATTAAAAATTTAAGGTGAAAAGTTACCTGAGCATTTCCATACTGTACAGTGTTACAGTAGTTCTTAATGTCACTCTTGCAGGCTTCATACAGATCGGGTTCCAAGCGGATGTCCTCTGTCTGCAGGAGAGGAAATCATCATGGAAAAGTGAGCTAATTTTAAGCTGGAGATCACAAGTTAGCTCCTGCCCTCCTCAGCACAGCCCTGTGGTCTCTGAGAGGCATCTCCAAGTCCTCCACACAGAATCACTGTGGCACTTGAGAGATACCCTGTGCTCCTTGCTTCCTGCAGCGTCACTCTTCCAGTGCTGCTACCAACCAGGCACCTGGGAATTACCCTGAAATGCCCTGTCTAGTCCTTTAGAGACTACTCTGAGATAACATAAAGTAATATGAAGTCACTTCATCAATGTCTCATGCCTTTATTATCACTCCTCAAGATCTAGGCTCAAAGTAAGGAAACCAAAGCTTACAGATGAAAACAAAACTATGAGAGGCAGTCACTCAAGGCTGTCCCATTTACACAGAACTACACTAAATCACTGCCATTCTGAGAATCCAGCTAGTAAGTTATTAATGGTGTTTTTGTCTTCATTTCTACTTTTTAATTAGCCTGACAATAAACATTATAATCCACAATACAAAACATGTGAAGAATATTTTTAGCTATTTTTAACATGGTTTGCGCTTGAATTCCGAAAGGAAGACATTTCAGTGCACATGGTAGGTGACTGCCCAATTTCATTTCCCCTGATCAATTTCGTTTCATTGCTGAGTGGTATCCTTGGGACAAAACTGGTGGGTATGGACTGACCATAGACCCCAAGTTAACACAATTTCACCAAGCTAGCATACTAAATTGAAGGGAAGGAGTTCTATTTTTTGATGGAAATGAATAATGGTATTAGTCCAGTTGCTGCAGGCAGCCATTTGGGACCCCAAGGTTAGGATGAAACTGATATCAAGGACAGTAGAGTGTAGGAGAAAAACCTTCAATCCTTGAAAACATTATTGAGAGGCACTGAGCATATTATATGCCTTAAGTCTGTCCCAGTTTGGTTTAAAATGGTGTGTAGTAAAAAATGCTGTATCATTTAAAACCAAATTTAAAACAGTGAAAAAAGACACTAATTGCCATATGGCAAAAATTTTTAACTCCAACTCCATGCTTCATGTTTTACAGTAGTAGCTGAAGTCACTCCTGAGGCTCCTGCCCTCTTCTTCCCCAGACAACTCCATACTAGCCCTGTTGTTTCTGGGAGTCATTACCATCTCCAGCTCCTCCACCCGGAGTTGCTTGCGGCACTTCAGAGACACTCTGTGTTCCTTGGCTTCCTGCAGAGTGTCGTTTCGTACAGTTGTGCTTAGGCAAATCACCACATCTACCCTGCCATGAAAGCAGAAGGCATGAGACTTTATGAAGCCACACTAAGCAGACAGTCTGGGAGCTGAGGACTGGCCAGAGCCACACCATTTACCTAAAATCCATAAAAAAAAAATTTTTTTTTTTTTTTTTTGCCGTATTTTTGAATGTCTTTCTTGAAAGCCTCGCTCTTTTTTGAGACAGTATCTCCCTGTAGCCCAAGCTGGTCTGGTACTCATTATGTAGACCAGGCTGGCCTCAAGAGAAACCTGCTTGCTTAGGCCTCCTTTCTGAGTGCTAAGTTAAAGGTGTATGCCACACCATACCCGATGAAAGTGTCACTCCCCGCCCCCAATAATTCGAACCCCTCCCCCATTTAATAATGACCCAAAGCATATGGTATAAATTTGAGAATTTGGGTATGTCAAAGAAAGACTATAAATCATTTCCTTTAACTGAAAAGTTGAAAGTTCTGGACTTAACAAGGAAAAAAGATGTATGCTGAGATTATAAAGATCTACAGTTCAAAGTGTCTATATTCATATAATGTCTAAAAACACAACAAAAAAAACCCCAAATAATCTGGATCTCAATGTAGTCCAGAATGACTCGGACCTCACAGTCCTGCTTCAGCCTCATGCGCTGAGATTACAGATGTGAAACACCCTGCCTGGCCTTATAATTAGTTACTCTTAATCTCCTACTATGCCTACTTTATACACATTATCATAGGTATGGAGATATAAGGGAAAAGTTTATATGGGCTTTGGTACTATCTGTAGTTTCAAGCATCCACTGGGGCTTTGGAATATGATCCTCACTGATAAGAGAGACTGTTGCACAGTTAGAAGTCATGCAGTGGCCTGAATGCTGATGAGAGTTCTGACTGAAGGGGAGGCCAGGCAGGAAGAACATGTTGAAATGATGTGACCACAGAATGATATTCTTAAATGGGGGACTATATCTGTGACATATTGTGTAACATTCCCAAAAAGTACAGAAGAAACTTGCCCAAAATAGGAACCTGGTCTATTGAAGGAAAAATGTGTTCTAGCAGTATATTTTTACAAAGAGAAACTAGAAAGAATTTGGGCAACCGCGCTGTCAAAGCTTATCAGTTTCCTCATTAACTCCTAAGTGAGTCAAGGTCTGTGACTCATCAATTAGGCAGTCTGGACGCAGAAAAATCTAGAATATTCCCATAGCCCAGGGGCTCTCCAATTGATAATACCTGCAATCAAGCATGGCTGCAGGCAGCTGTAAGCACGATCTATGTGGACAATGCCAGTGTTAGGCCACAATACCAAAGAGAGACACAGGAGGCCTCTAAGCCACTACTGCCAGACAGTAGGAGGCTGCCTCAGTAGCTAAGAGACTTTGGAAGCAGAAAAGACAATTAAAAGATACATACTTCTTTTTTATGTTGGGGCAAAGTTTCAACACATCCTCCTTGCAGGCCATTTTAAACTTGTAGGAGAATCGAAAATCCTTCATCTGCACCTGAAAGAAGAAGGTTAAGTCAGTTGTGACTTTTTGCTCACAACTTTTAGAAGACTGCTCACAGGCTAGGAATGTAGCACAGTTGGTAGACTGCTTGCTTAGCATGCACAAAGCTCTGAGTTCAATCCTCAGCACCACATAAAAACCAGGTGTGCTGGTGCATGCCTATAATTCTAGCACTTGGGAAGTGGATGTAGGACGATTAGAGATCAAAGTCATCTTTGATTACACAGCAAGTTTGAGGCCAACCTGGGATACATACATTGAGACCATGGCTTTAAAAAAGTGGATAGGAAAAGAGGAAGGGGAACAGGAGGGGAGGGAGGAGGAAGAAAACAGTAGAAGCCTGCTCTTAAGACTTTACACAATCTGCTCATTTCTCTTGACTCCGCCTATGACAGCACACTGGCCTCCTGTCCTTCTAGTCACAGAAGTGGCTCCTTCTGCCAAAAGTGCTCTTCTTGCAGATTTTTGCAGTTTGCCCTGCCATTTCCTTCAGGATTCTGTCATAACACACTCCTCTTGAAGTTCCTTCAATCCTCAACCCCTGCCCTGGGTTTGTTGTCTCTTCTTTGAACCAACGCAGATTGCAGCTACATCCCCTGAGAAGCAATCAATAACCTCACCTCAGCTGACATAAAGTGCCCGCTATACCCAATACTTCTTTAGTTTCTTGTAATTAGTAAGAAAGTCCCAATCTTCTTGTTCAAATGGAAGATCTGAGTTGTATGATTTAAAAGAAAAAAAAGGGAGAGACTTAGTGATACACTGCTTACAAGGCAAGGCCCTGGGTTCAATCCTGAGGACCTCCACCTTAAAAAAAAAATCAAAAAAGAAGGCTTAGGATACAATTTATTGAGGTACATCTAGGCATTGAATAGTTACGAAGAGCAACAGATTGCAGAGACAGGAACTACTGGAGCTCTATGACAGGAGAAGAGATACCTACATACTCGTCTCTCTTTTTTAAAATATAGTTTATTTATTGTTATCTTATGTGCACGAGTGTATTGCGGTCATGTATGTAAGTGCCCCATGTTGTACAATGCCTACAGAGGTCAGAAGAGGGCATTAGATTCCCTGAAACTGGAGTTATGGACAGATGTTAGCCGCCAAGTGGGTGCTAGGAATCGAACCCTGGCCTCTGCAAGAACAGCCAATGCTCTTAATCACTGAGCCACCTAAACAGTCTTGCCTACTTATCTCTATCTATTGTGAGCACTGTGACAGGGGAAGAAATACCTAACTTGTCTCTACTGTGACAGGAGCAAGAGACACCTACTTACCTGTCTCTATCCTCTCTACGCTGCATGCTTCTAGGAATAAATCTCATTTGTTACTGCATGCCAAGGAGCCAAGAGTACCCAGTCACGATAGAGAAAGTCACATTTATTGAGAAGAACTCTATCTAGGACTCATACTTCGAAGCAATAAGAGCAGCAGAAGTGTTTGCATGTTCCAAAAGAGGAAAAGATTCAGTAATCACCCTAGCAGCCAAGACAGGAAATGAACTGACCAGCTGAAAGTGAGTGACTCCTATGGCACACTTCTCATTCATGTCCTTCTGGTGTTTGTTCTGGATCAGACACTCCATCAGGTCCCCAGAGTCGATCTGGTTGTCTGCCACATCCTGTAAAAGACAGTCACATTTACAATGATTTGTAATAATTAATAATACAACCAATAGCACCATCAACAAAAAATATAAATAACAGTAAATCTAGAAGCCTTCAAAAAAAAGAGATACATCATAAATTCTTCAAAACAAGCCTGAGAAATAGAGACAAAACTTCAGGAGAATAAAATTAGACAGCAGGTTGTCCTCATGAAGCAGGACTACTCACTGAGGGCTACTATTCCTGTCCAAACTATGAGCTACTATCTCCTTCCACAGACACAGCAGCTGGCTTCTGGGGTAATTATTGGGCTGTCAGAACCTAAAGGTTCCTAAATGCATTTCACTCCCACAATTTAGGTAAAAAGTAAGTAGTAAAGTAAAATAATTTACTCAACATTAAGGGACAAAGGAAGGGGAAGCCACTACTACTGCTAGCAAGTCCCAGAGAGCAACTCAGCTACACTTCTGAGTTTCCCTTCTGCATCTTTTCTTACAAAAATTGTCTCATCTACTGTTGCTAGACATATACTTGGCCACCTACAAAGTGCTGCTAAGTGCTGGAATCAAGCTCTGTAATCAGAGATTTGCAAGATGGTGGTCCCTCTCAATTTGTTTACAGTTCCAACTTTTATTCAAGAGGAAAGCATGCTGAAGACAGAGATGAGCCCAACACCCTTGGGGACCAAAGTCCCACTAAATTTGGTTCTGTTACTAATCATTGTTCCTTTAGACATCACTTACATGGCAGAAGTTCTGAATTATGGGCTCACAAGCTCTCATCAGCAGGGCTTCTATTTGGATGTCCTGTAAGAGATTAAGCAGATTAATCATTCTGCTTTACAAAGGCTGGGGATGGAGAAGGAGCAGTTTCTCCAATGCATCGGTAGCACTGAGGGTTACACATGTTCGTTTAGAAAGCATTCCAGTATTTATCTTAGATTCTCTGACAATATGTAGAGCTTTTTATCCTTGAAATGCAAATTTCCTTTTTCTTTCCCTTTGTTTCTTTTTTTGAGACAGGGTTTCACCATGGCTTACCTGGAACTCGCAGAGATTTTACCTGCCTCTGCTTCCCAGGATTAAAGAAATGAGCTACCATGTGTGGCTTTTTTGAGACAGTCTCAATAGGTAGCCCTGCTGGCCCAGAACTTGTTATGTAGACCAGGCTGGCCTCAAACTCAGAGATCTGCCTGCCTCTACCCCCCCCAAGTGCTAGGATTGAAGGCCTGTGCTACCACACCCAGCAGGCAGGTTTCTTTTATAGGCAGCTTGAACAAATGAAAAGCAAAATTAAGAAAGGTGAATTGAAATATTTGGCAATAGTATCAGAGCATGTAAGCTTCTGGAGTGTTGATAACCTCTGTATTTATACTTATGAAGATTTCAATCTTATGTTTCGTATTTTAGCAGTTTTCAGGGTATAACAGGGATGAACACACATGTTCAATCTTTCTGTATAATCAGAAGTCTCAGGGGTTTTGTCTTTTTTTTTTTATTATTTTATATGTATATGTGTATTGCCTACATGTTGGTAAGTGCACCCATGTCGTGTGATGCCCGTAGAGGTCAGAAGAAGCTGTTGGATCCCCTGGAACTGGAGTTATGGACAGTTGTTAGCTGCCATATGGGTGCTGGGATTCGAACTCGGGTCTTCTGCAGCAACAGCCAGTGTTCTTAACTGCTGAACCATCTCTCCAGTCCTTGTTTGTCTTTTAAGACAGGGTCTTCCTGTAACCCAGCTGGCCTGGAACTCCCTATGTAAACCAGGCTGGCCTCAAACTCAGAAAGATCCAACTGACACTGCCTCCCAAGTGCTAGGGTTAAAGGGGTGCACCACCATGCCCAAGTCTCAGGTTTTTATTACACATACAAATAATAAGCACCAAATGACCTCACTAAAACAGCTGGAAGGAAAGAGAGGCTATGAGTATTTGCAGCACTCTTTAATGTGATTCAGGGCTAAAGTGTAACAGCTATTTTTTTCTCCAGTGAAAAAAAGGCTTAATTATTGGTAATTGTGAAAACCAAAGAGCTAACTATATATAGGGTTTTTCTAGAGATGCAAAAGAAGGGGTCTGGACTCAGCACAATGTACTTTTTTATAAAGTAAACAGGTAAAGTATGATTAGGTTTCTTTTGACTGACAGAGAATGTGTACTCTCGAGAGGACTGAAACAGAAGAATGGAGCAAAAACAGCCAGGCTAGAGGCAGCCTGTCTCCTCGGGGAGCTGTTCATTGCTTACCTCGGACTCTAACTCTGTGAGGTTTCCCACAATGTCTCTGCATTCCACAGCCAAGTCATCTAGATGGTCCTGGAGACACTCAAGCTCCTGCACATAAAAAGGTAAGCCGTTGGCATCAGTTGTGTACGTGAACAAGGGAAGGGGAGACACTGCTCCTTCATACTGGCCCTCCTTTCCTCATCCTTTTAAAACCATCTCACTGAACAGAATACAAAAGCTTTATTTAATTAAAATTAAGACTGTTGAAAAGATATTACTTGATGTAGCACAGTGGTTAAGAGGGTCAAGAGGTATAGTAAGCCAAGTAAATTCAGAAACCCAAACTTAGAAGTCCAATAGGAACTATCTTCAGGTGTCCTCAAAGTCTGTAAATGTTCACAGGTTTTGATTCTGTTCCATTAATATCTTGCCACCCCATTTTTAACAAGTTATTTTGATCACTTTTTGCTTCCCATTTAAAATCTTCACCTAAGGGGCTGGAGAGCTGGCTCAGCAGTTAGGAGCACTAGCTATTCTTGCAGAAGACCCTGGTTTGAATCCAAACACCCACATGGTAGCTAACAACCATCGGAAACTCCAGTTTGAGGGGATTCAACTCCCTCTTCTGTCCTCTATGGGCACCGCACTACATGGATGCACTTACATGCAGGCATAACACATACACATAAAATAAAAATAAATTTTTAAAAAACTAAAAAAACAAAAGAAAACACTGCACTTAAAGATTTTTCTCTTAAAAATCTTTCACTATGCTGGGTGTGGTTGTGCATGCCTTAAATCCCAGCATAGCAGAGGCAGTTGGATCTCTGTGAATTCAAGGCCATCTGGTCTACATGGTAAGTTCCACAAGTTAGCTGGGGCAACAGGGACACCCTTTCTCAAAAACACCGAGGGAAAAAAACCAACCTTTTACTGCATTTTTCAGTTAGTTATTCATGTGTGTGTGGGGAGGGGTGTGCCACAGCATCCAAGTAGAGGTCAGAGGACAACTTGTGAGAGTTAGTTCTCTCTTTATCCCAGGGATTGAAATCAGATCATCAGACTTGGTGGCAAGCATCTCTATCCACTAAGCTATCTTGATGGCCCAAACTCTACACTTTTTTGGGGTTTTTTGGTTTTTTTTTGAGATAGGGTCTCACTATATAGTCCACACTGACCTGGAACTGGATGTATAGACCAGGTTGGCCTCAGACTCACCTAGCTGTGCCTTCCCCAGTGCTAGGATTAAAGGTATGTACATACCACCATGCTCAGCCTTTTTGGTTTTTTTTGAAAATCTGCAATTTGGAGGCTGGAGAGATGGCTCAGCATTTAAGAGCACGGGCCACTCTTGCAGAGGACCCAGGTTTGGTTCCCAGCACCCACATGGTGGCTAACAACTGTCCCTAACTCCAATTCCAGGAGGATCTGACACCCTCTTCTGGTTTCCACAGACACTGCATGATATGGGTGCACTTACATACATGCAGGCTTAACACTAATATATAAAAATAAACAGGCCAGGCATAGTTGTACACGCTTTTAATCCCAGCAATCGAGACGTAGAGTTAGGTGGATGGATCTCTCTGAGTTTGAGGCCAGCCTGGTCTGCAAAGCAAGTTCCAGGGAACCCAGGGTTACATAGTGAGACCCTGTCTCAGACTACTCCCCTAAACAAAACAAAACAAAAAATAAATATTTTTAAAAGAAAATCTGCACATTGATAATGATCACTGGACAATAAATTCACAGTATTTATTAGGGGGCATAGACTTAAATGTTAAGACTCTTTAAGGGCAAAGCAAGTGGGACTTGGGGGCTCTACACTGCACACAGCTGACAGCTCCTGTAATTCATGTTGGAGGCTCTAGCCTAGCACAGATCAAAAGGACCCTCTGAGGAATTCCAAAGGAAGTGAGCACATTAGGGTTTAGATACTTAAAGGCTCTTTTGTCTGGGCTTTAGAAACTCAGCTATAGCTGCCTTGAAGCCTTACTAATATTATGATTCCTTTTAGTGGCTTAGATATGTACAGGTAAGCATATCAACATATCAATAGCTATTCCTCAGCTGAATACTCTGTTAAGAGATCAGGTTCAGGTTGGGTGTGGTGGCATACATCTTTAATCCCAGAACCAAGGAAGCAGACAGATCTCTGGGAGGCTAGAGACTAGTCCACCAGCCAGGGCAACATAGAGAATTCAGGTTAGCCAAGGCAACATAGTAAGAGCCTGCCTAAACAAGAGAGAGATGAGGGAGATGGGGAATAGATCAGGCTTTACATACTGACCATTCTTCAAGAACCTCTGTTTTAGATTTAGAATTAGGAAGAGAAAAGAAGGGCTAGAAGAATTATAAAAGCCAGAATTGAGGGTGGCAGGGAGACAACTTAAAAGGAAAATGCACCAAACTTTTGCAAGTAAGACAACTAAGTGAAAAAAAAATTTTTTTTACATTTATGTGTGTGATGTTTTGCACACCAATGTGTGTATGCACACCAATCATGTACCTGGGGCCCCAGAAGCTAGAACAGGGTATCAGATCCCCTAGAATTGGAATTACAGATGGTTGTTAGTTACCATGTAGGTGCAGTGAGCCAAACCTGGGTCCTCTTCAAGAACAACCAGTGCTCTTAACCACTGAGCTATCATCTCTTCAGCCACTACTGGAAAAATCTTTTATTTTTTATTTTATGTGTATGAGTGCTTTGTCTGCATGTATGTTAAGTTGTACCACATGTGTGTCTGGTGCCCATGGAGGATGAGATGCCCTGGAACTGGAGTTACAGACAGTGTGAGTGGTCATGTAGATACTAGGAACCATACCAGAGTCTTCTGCAAGTGATCTTAACTGCTGAGCTATCACTGCAGTCTCCATGTGACTTTTTAATACTTTAATTCCAAAAGAGGTTCTGGAGTGGTATAACTAGAGCCTAGAAGCCTGAGTTCACTCCTTATTCTGGTATTAATATGTCTCTAAGCAAGTATCAGTTCCTTACTGATTATCCTGCTTCATGATGAAGACATGCAACCTTGTCACATAATTACACTTTGTTTCCAAAACTACACACAAAATCTTAGTGAATCAATCATAGAAAACATGCAATTATTATTATTATTATTATCATTATTATTTGAGACAGGGCCTCACTATGTAGCCCTGGCTGGCCTGAAACTCACTATATGTAGACCAGGCTGCCCTCCTAACTCACAGAGATCCACACCTGCCTCTGCTTCCCATGCCCTGGGATTAAAGGAGTTTACAACCATGCTCAGCAAGGATGTAATTTTTGAGGCTACTCTTTTCCTGTATATGTATTTTCTAATGTATATGTACTTGTGTATACCTGCTTTGTCTGCATGTGTACCATGTGGTGCAGGTGTCCTTGAAGGCCAGAACAAGGCATCAATTCCCCTAGAACTGAAGTTATAGGCTGATGGGAGCTGGGAACTGAACCTGGGTCCTCTGCAAGGGCAGTAAGTCATCTCTCCAACTCCTGTACTTTCTTATGCTGAGAGGTTACTAAAATGGGATGGATGCTAAGTTAGGATCAGACTTCAGTGTTAGGTAGGGAAGTTTGCCTTCTCTAAGCTTCAACTTGGTCAACTAAGTGGAAATAATCCCATTTCCACACATCATTAGTGCTATTCTGAACAAGCACATTATTTATTGGCGCATAACAGAACTTATGAATATATATATTTGCTATCACAAGGGTACTTAATGTAGTTCATAAATGATAGAAAATAAATAAAAATAAAAGATAACATGAATTAAAAATGAGTAAAAAGATGAAGAAAGAAATGGAAAATATGTTTCCTACACGTGCCTACCACAAAATTTTGTATCTTGTCAGAGCTAAGCCACACTCTGGCACTGAGCTTTCTAATGGTTAACAGGAGAGCAAAAATAACTATAAAATACAGTACACAAAAACAAAGTAGCTGCTCATGATAACTACAATTATTCTTACATGAAGACCAAAGAAAAATTTCTTCTAGAAAGAATATTGAATGACAGTACAAAAAGACACTGGTAAAGCAGCACTAAGGTGGACTTCATGGTTGCCATACACAAACAAGACACACAGCATGGTTAGAAAGCATCAGAAGCCTACCTGCCCCGTCTCTGTTTTCTCACTACACCATTTCCCCAGATCTATCAGGCACTTATCCTGGAGGGAAGGATCCAGCTTAACATCCATGGCACGCTGGTGTAGAATCCTTTGGACTTCAGCTCGGCATTCCCGTGAAAGCTACATGGGAAAAGATGAGCGAGACTTTAAAGATTAAAAAAACAAACACAGGAAGACTAAAGAAAACAAACCTCTTGCTACCAAACTAACTAGCCCTATAGTTTATTCCCCAATCTTTATACCATGTTATCTCTTCCAGGATAAGAATTAAATGTGTTAGGAGGTTGCTATCCACATCTCTAGAACTATAGGTATACAGTAAGCATTTTTATTATACTATAAAAAACAGGGCTGGAGAGATGGCTCAAAGGTTAAGAGCACTGCCGGCTCTTGCAGAAGACCCAGTTTCTGTTCCCCAGCACCCACATGGTAGCTAATAACCAGGTCATCCTGGTCTACAGACCAGCCAGGGCTACATAGTAAGAATTCACAGCCAGGTGCAGTGGCGCACCCCTGTAGTCCTACCATGTGGGACTCAAGTAGGGAACTCAAGTCATCAAGCATGTCTACCTGCTAAGTCATCTTACTGGGAGTTCCCTTTCTGAGTCATAGAATGTCTTGACACTAAAAGTGGTAGTGGTATGGTATTGTGAATGTACCAAATGCCACTGAATTCTTTTTTTTGTTTCCTTTGGAGAGATGGCTCAGTGGTTAAGAGCACTGACTGCGCTCTTGCAGATGACCCGGGTTTGATTCCCAGCACCCACATGGCGGCTATAAACCATCCTTAACTCCAGTTCCAGGGGAATCCAACACACTCTTCTGATCTCCGCGGCATTGCGACATGGGTTCACTCACAGACATGCAGGCAATACACTCATACACATAAAAATAATAAAAAAAATATTTTTGGGGGGGTTCTTTTTGAGACAGGGTCTCCCTATAGCCCCAACTGTCCTGGAACTCACTATGCAGACCAGGCTGGCCTCGAACTCACAAAGATCCACCTGCCTCTGCCTCCCAAGTGCTGGGATTAAAGGCGTACACCACCACGCCCGGCTTAAGCTTTTTTTTTTAAAAAAAAAAACTACCACATAGGGGCCTGCTGCCAAGCTTGACAACCCCAGTTCAATGTTCAGAACTCAGAGTCTCAATGGGCAAGGAGAGAACCAACTGCTGCAAGTCATCTTCTTACCTCCACATGCATACTATGGCACATGTACACACACACACACACACACACACACACACACACACACACACACACCATAAATAAAATAAAATAAAAATTATAACAAAACAAGTCTTAAAGCTAGCCCAAGGGACCTGACCCTTTCTCCATTTACAAGAGAAGGAGCTTCCTACTGTTGTGATGGACCAGGTGCCAGGATGCCGGAGCTCCTGTGACCAATGAGAGTCTTATTACATGAGGTGTCATGTTTCCTTACATGGTAGAATGAAAACTGGGTCAGGGTTTTAGCAGCTAAAGCATGACATTTTTCTAATTGTATCTCTTGATTCTGAACCCTAGACAGTCAGGCTCACTAGGCTCAGAAGGGGTATTTGTACACATCTGTCAAGTAATAGCATGGCTACAATCCGTAACAGATGCAGACCTGGCATGTAAAAGGGTCTCTCAGAAGAAAAGCAAGCAACATGTCAGTGTGGCACCAGAGGGAAGCCAAGTTCACACAAATATCCCAAAGGGTGGCTCAAAGTAGGCCAATACCAGACTCAGGTATGGAAGTTTCTACTCTTAAGTAGTGCACTGCCAGAGAGGCCTCATTAATATTAAGCATTTGTGTTCGGCTGCCAAGGGCAAGGCGTAAAGAATCATTTGTATCCTGGCTAAAAGCTAATTGGTCTTTAAAGATAAATAAAGTTAGGACACAGAGTTTAATTGTCCATTTGTGATTCAGATTTTGTTAATTTAAAAAGAAAACCTGGAAATGTTCCCCCACTTCTATTGTTAAAAAATTATCACATGGGAAGAAGCTGCAGGATGCTCATTGAATGATTAAGCTTCTAACAGTGTGGCATCCTCCCATCCCACCACACCAGAAAGGCTTCTCTAGGATGACAGAAGCCAGAGCAACAGTAGCAAACTATTTAAAAAGCAAATGACATTTAGAAGAAACTAATGGGAGAGCATACCCTCCTTCCCTGTTCCTCGGTGCGGTAGGCGTGTCTATATAAACAAGAGAACACGGCTCCGGGAGGCATAAGTTCACTGGTCTCGTTCCAACCATGGGTATGACAAAGGCGAGAAGCATCTCCTTGGCACTTGCGGTATAAGACAGGGTCCAGCCTGGAAGGTTAAAAGAAAAGCAATACTTTCCATACTTTTCATTTACACACATGTAAGGATTTTACTTTGTTTTGTTTTTTAGACAGGGCTTCATATAATTAAGGTCAGTCTCAGAGTTGCTATGTAGCTGAAGGTGGCTTGAACTCCTGATCCTCATGTCTCCATTTCCCAAGTTGGGACTATAGGCATGAGAAACCACATCCAGCTTTGAATGTCACTGTTAATGGACAGCATAGACAATCCACAGAAATTTATTAACCTTCATATACAAGACTCATTTTCCTTCAAAGTGTCATCCTGGCTCTGTGAGATACCTAATATTACTGTAAGACTCTGCACACACACATGCCAGGCAGCAAAGAGAAAACCAAGGTTGTTGTTGCTACCATTAGGCAATTTACAATTTTTCACTAAATATTTTTTCCTAGTACAAATCCACTTCTATATAATATACTAGATTCAGCAAGACCAGGAAATGGGAAGATGATCAGTCTCTTACTCAAAATGAGAACAGTGGATCATGTAATAAACCTGCTTCTTTTCTCCAAATCAGGATGCCTAGTACTGTTTACATTATATTGTCAACTGAGGGGGAAGCTATTTAATGGGAAGAGAGAGGCTAATATTTAATGGGTGGTTTCTAATATTATGTAGCAAGTTTCTGATCAAGGGGGTAAGAGCTAAGAAGAAGAGAAATCACAGTTTTGATTTAGGAGACATGTGTTTAAATAAACTCAGTAATTTCAGGTCAGATGGTCATCCAGGCTTCTGTGGTCCTTTCCAGACTTATTTACTTATTTGAAACAGAGTCTTGCTATATAGTCCAGGGTGGTCTTGAACTTAGAATCCTCCTGCCTTAGCCTCCTAGGTTCTGGGATTATGCACACATGCACTCATGTGTCACTATGCCTGGTCTTCCAGAACTAATTAGAATGAAAACAGACCAAACCTTGAAGTAACCTCTTTCTATTGAACCATATGGATAAACATATGCTTATCACCAAAAAAGACTATAGATCACAGTACAGTGGCTTAACCAAGTGCAACAGGAAGCAGCTGGACTGAGAGGCAGAAACAACAGTGGCTCACAGACCCAGCTGTGCTGAAGATGGAAGTGAAAGCGCCACTAAAAAGGAAGAGGTGATCCTAGTCAAAACCTAGCCTGCATGTATATAAGTGCACCTGCACTGCGCAATGCCCACAGTGGTTAAAAGGGAGCTACAGATTCCCTTGGAACTGAGTTACAGATGGTTGTTAGTCGCCATATGGGATCTGGGAATTGAACCCAGGTCCTCTGCAAGAGTAGTCAGTGCTCTTAACCACTAACCATCTCTCCAGCCCACCTTCTTTTTATTTTTAAAAGAGGCCATGTAGGTGCTGGAAACAGAACCTGGGTCCCCTGCAAAGAGCAGACAGTGCTCTTAACTGCTGAGTCATCTCCCTACCCCCACCCATTTTTTACAATTTTGCTAACAGGAAAGGGAAATTGAAAGAATCAAGTTATGATTTATATATTATCTTTTTAGAGTCAAAGCTGAAGATGCTCTTGTTGCCCACATAGGTACCAGGACTCTTTCAAGCTTGAAATTTGTGGTACCAGAAACATTTTGACTTTGATTTCCACAGTAATGTTGAATAGAGATGCTTGGTACAAACTGGTTGTTTTCAGACACTGCTCTGGAAGCAGTAAGAATAGGTTTTCTAGGGGTTGGAGATTATAGTTATTCCAGAATTTGAAAAGAATTCACTACTAATTATCATAAAAGATAAAGAGGTGGATGGGGGCTTAGCTTAGTGAAAGTAATCATGAAGCTCTTCATTTAAAAACACACACACAGCCGGGTGTGGTGGCACACGCCTTTAATCCCAGCACTTGGGAGGCAGAGGCAGGCGGAGCTTTGTGAGTTCAAAGCCAGCGTGGTCTACATAGTGAGTTCCAGGACAGCTGGGGCTACAAGGAGACCCTGTCTCAAAAAAACAAACAAACAAAAAAAAACACACACACAAGCCAGGTGTGGTGGGGCACACCTTTAATTCTAACACTCAGGAGGCAGAGGCAGGTGGCACTCTAGAGTTCCAGGCCAATTGGGGCTTCAGGGAAACCCTGTTGTAAAAAGACCAAAAGAAAAACAAAAACAAAAAAAGACCAAAACCAAACCTAAAACAAAAGCAACAACCATACACATGCACACACACTTACACATACATGCACTTATACATACATGCATGCATACACACTCCAGAGCCCATCCATATAATATTGACCACACAGAAACAGGATGGTCAATATTGGTATTAAATTAATCAGATGGCCTTCCACTGGTATTAAAACACTCACTTCCAATCCCGGGAGATGAAGTACTGCAGCTCTAAGAGGCGGTGCTCACAGTCTTCTACCATCTTCTCTGTGTACAAATGCTCCATCAGACACGAGAGAATCCTAGTCATAAAGGAGATGAAATTGTAATGAGAGATGTGTTCTGATGTCAGACTCTACCAAAGTTAATCAACCTATGACCAAATTTGTATTAACTCAGTATCCCTTACTTATATTTAAAGTAAATCTCAGTAACTACTTCAGCATGTTTCTCTAAAATTCCAGAATACCATTGCCACAGCACAAAAAAAATTTTTTTTTTTTTTTTTTTTTTTTTTTTGGTCCTTTTGAGACAGGGTCTCCCTGTAGCTCCAGCTGTCCTGGAACTCACTATGTAGACCAGGCTGGCCTTGAACTCACAGAGCTCTGCCTGCCTCTGCCTCCCGAGTGCTGGCATTAAAGGCGTGCACCACCATGCCCAGCAATCATCAAAAATTTTTAAAATCTTTAATATAAATATCCCACTGGCTTAAAAAAATTTTCAACTATTTCAGTCTTTTTCAATGTTTGTTCACCTCAAGACCAGCAAAGGTCCACACACTGCATCTAATCATAAAAGCATCTTAAATGGCCAGGCATGGTGGCGCATGCCTTTAAATGCCAGCACTCGGGAGGCAGGGGCAGACAGATCTCTGTGAGTTCGAGGCCAGCCTGGTCTACACAGTGAGTTCCGGGACAGAGGGAGGTATAGGGAGACCCTATCTCAAAAAGACCCCCCCCCCCAAAAAAAGGCATCTTAAATGTGTTTGAATCTGTGGTAGTTCCCCCTTTCTCTCTTTCCCCTGTTAGGGATGTAGTTTTCTGATTGATGAAGTGATTATATTACAAACATTCTTAGTCTAAGTGCACTCATTCATCTCTTAGCTACAAATACAAAAAGCTTTAAGTAAGAATACCATTCTAACTCCCTCCCACGGCATGAACAGCCGGAGTTTTCACATGAAAGAATGATGATAAACCTAGATGACATTCACAGTACCCAACAATAAACTATAAAGAATTGTGCAGAACAGGAAACCTGCTCTTTCTTGCAGTCTGGTTTTAAGAATTGTTTTCACTTGATATAGCATAAAACTAGTAAGAGAATAAAATATTTTATAGTAAACATTTATTTAGCTTTCCTAGATCTTGGATGCAACGCCAATATTCAGTTCATCAGTAGCCATAGTCTCTATCACATTTTGTCTTCAGTTTCAATTACAATTGGCTGCTTTCTAATGGTGATCAAGTAACCAATGTACACAATAAGTCAGTATACAAACAGGATGAAAAGGATAGCATGTCGGCGTATATGCATTACAAGAAGTTATTCATGACTAATGGAAAGGCTACTCTATGTGCCTAGTCATTGTCAACAAATACCACAATCTTCGGTTTAAATGTCTCTATACCACTGAGGAGGCAGATCAGAAGCCTGAATTCCAATATTAGTTTTAGCAAAAATTTGGTATGTGGCCCTATTCAACAAAATTTCAGTCAAGATGTTAAGCCACCCAAAAATCATTTGAAAGAATACTCTTTGTGCTACTAAGTAAAATACAATACAGATAGTGCTACAAATCAGAGAACCTACATTGGGTCTCCAGATCGGATGTGTTTGCAGGCTGTTTGTATTACAGATTCACAAGCTTCATTCAAAGCTCGATCGATGCGGTAATCTGCACCAGGATCAGTCTCCTGAATCAGTGTTTGAAGCTGGATAAAGAAATAAAAAGGAAGGGAGAAAGTCACTTAGGCCTAGAGAAGAGCAGTGTTAGATCATCAGATGCTCAGGCCAGCACATCACAACACAGTCCAAACAAGGTACTGAAGTTGTTAATGGCCAAACTGAAAAACTCTGGTCAAGTATTTTCCGATTTGTTTTCTCCACCTTGTTGCAAGTTTTTCTGTGGACATCACTATGGAGACTTGTGTGCCTTCACCACACAACAGGCTCTTATAATGTAACTATGCAGGCTACCTCCAGACTATTCTTTAATCAGATTTCCAAACCTGATGCTCAGAGCTTAAGAAAGTAAAGAGAAGACATTTCTAACCAGAGACCAATTGTGTCCTAACAAGACTATGAATTCTGATGCAACAACATCAGCATTGTAAGAAGTTTACTGTTTTGTTAAAGAAAAATTCGCAAGATTTCATTTAAATTACAGGTACAATTAGAAAACAAGAATATGCATACTTTCTTATTTTTCATCAACTATTTTATACAACCAAGAAGTAAATCAAAGTTTGTTCATTATGAGTTTACTAGAAAAATGCTTGTTCCTTTGCATCTGGGACTGAGAGTACCCTCTCCATCACCTGCTTTTGCTTGGCCCATCCTTTATCACAAAATAAAGGCAGCAAAACAGGTGCCTCAAAATGAGGCACAGATGAAATTAAGGATCAGAGATCCTAAGTTCAAGTATGGTTCTGGTTCTGTGTAATATTAGCTTTAAAGGATGGACAAGTTAATTAGCCTCTAAGTCTGAAGGTCTTGTAT